GGAGAGTGAGTGTGTGGGTTCTGAGAGAACACCAGCAGCTGGTGGAGTTTCGACCTAATGTTGCAACTTGAGGTCAAGCAACAGGGGAAAACCTAAAGGAGCTGGGGGCATCCAACTAGTTCTCACCAAAGCAATGGTGAGCTATGCTCAAACCTAAGGCTAGAGACAAGTAAATGTATAAGTTAGTGAAGTAAGGAAAATGTAAGGATTTACATGCATGCGCCGGTCTCACATCATAACCTCTACACCAAAAGGGTGCAATGTCAAGCTTGGCTTGACATCTGACCGGAGGTATATATGCTGATCATATGCCAACTCATGACAGAAAAGATACAAAGGGAGGCTTACTGACCTAGGGACAAGAGGTCGAAACTGAGGTCCCTAGGGCAGCAGAGGCCAGCTTATATACAGGGGGAGATAAGGGCAGGCTGTGCATGTTGGTCCGTGTGCAGCTGGTCCATGCGCAGCATGCTGATGAGGCCCTGGGGGCCGGTGAGTCAGAGAGGCTGTGTCAGCGGGGCCTGAGCTGTGCCGCGCGCTGCTGCCCATCTAATCTAATTGTACAGTAGATAGTGTCATGTCCATATCGGGTATGGAGTACAGAGGTCGCGGGTTCGAGCCCGCGAAAAGGAAAAATTAAAAACGGCTAGGCACTGTGTCAACTCGTGACACACAGGTCATGATTTGTTTTTGGTTTTAATTCAATTTTCCTTTTCAATTTTCTTTTGATCTTACCTTTGATTTCTTTTGGATTTCCAGTCAACAAAATATGAGCTTGATGGAAATGCAATTGATTGTATGTGATTCAATTTTCTTTCAAACAGCTATTCAATTTTCTTTTAATCCCTTTCAAATCTTATCTTCAATTGTCTAATCAATTTTATTTCAGTTTTGATTTCATTCCACAAGCGGAAAGATTGATAAGCCGCTTTCACTTTTCTTTCAATCTATATCTAATTTACCACCCTAGAAAATCCAATACCGCATGCAGTGTGTAGGGAAGGACGTCATGAACACCCATGTGACCCTAGCTTAGGGTTGTTTGTTTCTCACGCTGGACGCGGAGGGCCAATGAACGCATGGCTCTCGACTTACTTGCACAGCACGCCTTTCCATCTTGCATCTACTCAGACAGAGTAGGACATTATTCTATAGGTGGAGCAAGACAACACGCGCATGTTTTTGCTGCACCTTGAAACAGACGGCCTCTCCTGCAGCTTTGAATGTCTACCGGTGTACATTTATGGCGACGGCTAGCTCCACAATCTGTTCTTCTTTCTTACTCCTCTGTCTTTCCCAAATACTGCAGCTTAGGCTCTCAAAGAATATATTTCTGCCCTCTTTCTATATCGCTGAACATCTCGGCGTGTCAAACGAGCTCAGGAAGTGCCTTCCAAGCACTACGCACGAGGCAGACTGTGCTCGGAGATCTTCAAGAGCAAAGATGTCGCTGGTACTATCCAGGTGAGTGCTCTCATCCGTCGAAATTCTTCGGGACTCTATTGAATTTTAGTATTGCAAGTCTACCCAGGGGGAGACCTCCTGGTCTCCTCCCGCAGCACGATCGCGGCTAACTTGGCGCATTCCCTGTGACCACTTGCTTACCACAGCAACCGAAGAATTTCCCATCCTGCTCTATTTGGGCTGAACTGTGAGATCATAGCACCTATGGCGGATGCGCATGGCTTCATTGCATGTGTCCAACGGCAGACTAATTGTCATGACTGCCTCCTTCAGGCAATGACAGACCGGGATTCATGTTTCATTCTCCTGCCGGAAGTGTAGCCTGCATATGGCTTTGATACACCTGGTGTTTCCCTCCAGGGCTGTTGGTTGTGGTCCCCATACCGCGTGTACCCTGAGGGTCTCATCAGGCCATTATGCTATTCACCTCATGTGCTAAAAATAGCGTGCAACGCGCCCGGTCACATGAGAAGGGACGACTGTGAAAGCTGACGCGGGAAGAATGCGCTGCACAAGACAAATAATGTATTGACTTCAGTAGGTCGTAAGGGACGAATGCGGAATGGGTATGCACCTGTACAAGACAAATAATGTATCTACGTAATACTGTCGATGTGTTTAAAGGGACAAACTGAAGTCAGCCTACGCGCGAGAGCGAATGTCCTACCGTACGAAAAGAGGGAACTGTATAGTAAGCCAAACAGCATCCAAACAATGTCCGAGCTGCACCACAGGCGCATCACCGCCAGACGTCTCATACGTACTCGCATCTGTGCAGATGGCTTCTCGAACGATCTCCCGAGTCGCCTGCGCTGGAGCTTGCGCTCTAACAACGACTCACTCACTCCTGTGGAAGTATCTAAGTGTCTAGAGGCCGGCACAATGATGATTCCGCACGCGCTGGATATGGCACAGCAGAATGACGAACTGAGGAAGGACAAGGAACGATGCTTTTGTCACGTGCCACTATGAAGTGAAGCTAGTTGAATAAGAAGAACAGTGTCATACGAGTCGATGTACTCACCATATCCATGCCTGCTGTGGCTATCCTGTCGACAGTCCCCAGTCTGCCTTCTCGACGCCAGAGAGACAACGTAGCGAATCGAGACCTCGATGTTTAACATTGTGACTTCGTTCTCATGTCGGCTGTATCTCGATAGTGAGAATGTGTATGCAAGTGATGACTTCCGAGGCTTAGAGAGCCAATTCAATCCCGTATCCGCTGCTCTTGCACTGCCTGTCGCCCCAAAACGCGCAATCCCTGAGCTGATGGACATGATCTGTAAGATTTTGGCGGATTAAACAGTTGTACTTACCAAGGAGAGCCGTCTGTCTCAACGTACAGCCGTACTCTGTCGTCGCGTTCCTATAACGGCACTATCACTGTCGGCGTCACGAAATCATTTTTAACCATATGAGACGATGAGCAGAGTGCCTATGGCGCATCTTTCCGTGACCATTCTGAAGACTTAGTTTAGTGTGTATATAACAATCCAATACTGCAACGTCATCTTCGAGACTCGAATTATAGCGACATAGTCACATAGTGCCTACAACCTCCTAGTACAATGTGAGGATGCTTATAGGAATCCTAGCAGAAGGACACAGTGACACCAGCATGCGTGGTATATGCGTACTCAAAGAGGCTGCGTACAGCCAGAGGGCAAGGCGTAGCGCTGAGGACAGAGAGAGCTGGGTACTTCAATGCAGATGTAGTTGAAGACGTGCAGCTCCGAGTCACAAAGCGCCCACATGACCCTAGAGTAGGGCTACGTGTAGCGCCCGAGACGCGGGGTTCTCCCCCTTCCTCGATCTTGATCCAGCTTGGCCTCTGCAACCCATGTCCAGTATTCTTGAATATGACTGTCCGGCAGCTTGCTTGCTACCGAATATTAAACACGGCTCTACTGAAATCGACCTCTATCAAGTCAACATTCTATCCATCCGAAATTGGCGCGTTGAGCAAGTGTCCTCGAACCGCCAGAATGCAGGTGGTCTGAGTACTGCCTGGGTATGTACGAAGATGTCGATGGGTCGTCAGTTAGCGAATGGCGACAGCGAGCTCGGAACGGCAGCCCTTCAAAACAATCAGTTGCGCCTCCGGAGCTGCTCACTTGATTCATGCACTGAGCGGGCGCAGATACTCTTCTTTGCTAAATCGCTAAGTGCCGCGAGTCACCCACAATACTGAGCAGCGGCTGGGCTGTGTCTCTCAGGATCCCTTGCGGCGGTATACAGTTTGCTACCAGAGCAAGATAGGATGGTGCGCAGGTAACGTGCAGGGACGGGCATGCTTGGAGGCCGCCAATGACAAAGAGGTGGTTGGCATAATCCAAAGTTGAGTACTATGGTATTTGTCTCAATCCCAGCCCTCTATATAATTATTTCTTCATTCTCTCCCTCTTGCATGGCCGCGGTCGCTACCGGCCCATTGTGAGCAGACTGAAAGTGTTCTCACCCGAGTCGGTTCGCACTGGCAGTCCCCCATCTGCTAAGGCAGATACCATGGGGTCGCCACCTACCCGAACAACCGTCTGCATATCAGCACCAACAGCTTACAGCTGCGTTGGTGCTGAAGCTCGAGCTCATGCAAAGCTACAGTGAGTTGATTACGATTAATACATGCGTTGAGTTCTGCTCTGAACCGGTGATGTCTCTCGTCTCTTTGGGGTATACTTTCTCCCTGGCATGTTGAATTGTTTACCTTTTTCGTTACATCGTGGGCCCCGAGCGTCGAAGTGCTCAGATATCCTTCGATACCGGTCTCCAACGTCGAATTACCGTGCTCGTCTCACACTGCTAGGAAAAACATGCAACTGCGAAAGGCATGCCGGTTGATGGTGACGTGCCCCAAATAAATTGTTGCAGGCGTATATCTATGGCCTGCAGTCATTCCTTCGCATAATCATTGTGTATGTGGCGACCTTATAGTACTTGGTCCACTGCTACATATGTCGCGCCTGCTCTCTTTCCGTCGCTCCTGCTGGAACATTGTGATCTCGAACGCCACACTCCTTGCGTACACGGAGACTGACACGTCTGACCGGGCTTCCACGTACTCCTCATGGTCGTATCCACATAACCTTCCCTGCCTGATGCGCTTATGAAGCTGCTATCCTCGCCGCCATCGGACTCGTCAAGGTCTTTCCCTCGGTGGGGTTGTCCCACTGACACCTTGGCATAAGGCTGTGCGGCGGACGGGGCCTCGAGCTATCAAGCTCATCCTATTTTCCTATACAGGCGTGCTTGGCGCAATTGCAAGGGGTCTACGGGGTCGGAGAGCGCGAAGTACAAGCACGTCAACGTCTTCCTGGAGTAATGTAAGGCAGTCGCTGGTTGATGAGTGCTACTGATGAAAGCCGTGTGGTGCCAACTATTTCTACAGCGCGCGTCACCGTTGGCACAGACGCCTTCGAGAGGTTTGACTGCGGAGTGTTCGGTACTGAGTGCCGTATACAAGCGCCACCAAGGGAAAGAGCACGTGGTAGCTATTCACAGTCATGTCATCATGCTCAGGCCTATGGTACTCTCTTCCCTCATGTCCTGGATGCGTCCGATGATGCCATCCCGCCAATTTCTCCCCATTCGGACAGACGTGTTTCAATGTCTTCTGACGGCGCCTGAGGGCAAGCCAGCTGCCAACCGGCTATCTCGAACTCCATCAGGTCTGACGTGCCTGGAAGTGGTCTGATTTCCGGTGTTCGGTATATTCGCCTTTGTTTGGAACGCATTGCTCAATGGGTGCGGAGTTCCATTTGGAGTTGTACCTGACTGTATACACTCAAACTCGCATTGCGAGCTTGGTTAGACTCGATCATCTCGACAAGTCCTGGAAACAACCAACATGTGTACCCGACCGGTCAACTGATAAGCCGCTTTCCGTGCTTTCCGGAGATGTATCGCACCGCTATAGCTTACTATGTCCATCGCCCACATAGGAGCCTTCTCTACAAAGTTTGCACCTCAGCGAATGCGAATCAAATCAAGCTCATGCACATCGACAATCTCGAATGGCGTGCCGGCGGTCCACGCCCAGAGGTTTCCCTGCACCTGTCTGCGTTCGCTTCTGTCATCCTGCTCGGTCTGGGTGCTGTGGATTTCTCCGCAGTCGTGTTCTTTAGCCGACGGGTTCGCGCCCTTCCCAACCTGGGGTTGCTTCGATGCGAGGCGATGTCCTTCACGAGCCTCGAATTCGACACTCGAGAATCTCCCAAGGATATCCCGAGGATTTCTCAAGGATATCCTCGAGAATTTTCAAGGATATCCCTGAGTCAAGGATGTTTCGGAGAGTGATGTCACACAATTTGAGCTGCACATCACCAGCTTGTCTTTTGCTGTCAAGCCGCTGGCGGTCATCCTCTCTCATTACGTATCTTACGACCTCGCCGTAGACTCCACAGATCTCTTCTACGGTAATAATCAAGCGACCTTCATTGCTGGCGTGCAAGGCCTCATCTGAGCATCTGGCTCTTCGCTACTGAGCTCACAATGCAACTCAAGATGAATGCATGATTGGTGCGTGTGCCAAACTCATCATCACGTCGTCGATATCAGACAATGAGATTTCCTTGTAGGAAGATTTGTCAGTGGTGCCGACAATACATAGCTCCTTACATCGCAGCTCAGCGTGAACCTATACAACGAGGGTATTGAGTATTACTGCCTGGCGACGTGCCTATCTGTGGTCACTTCACCTACTATCGCAGCCATAACACTGGTGTTCATCCTTCACCTCTCGAAGGGTGCCAAAGAAATACACGCGCCATGTCGCAGTTGATCGACCGTTGTACTGATGCCAGTACAGTGATAGAGCTCCGCAGTTTCTCCAACATCCGGGATTTCACATCACGACACAAATTGCCAAGGCTTTCATGCTCTGGCCGCAGCGCAATGTGATGTGATGCAGGCCAAATTTCCCAATCTAGCCCCACGAGGCAGCTTATGGTACGTTACCTGTTCTTTTCTCTATCACTAAAATCTGGATGTTCATGCGGTGTTCGTCATACACGTACATTTTAGAATAATTGTGAGCAATTTATATGTTTCCAGCCTGTGAGCGAGAACCATTTTCTTCGGGGTCTTTTGGGGAACCTGCATTCCAAGATCTGTGTCTACTGAGTGCTGTATCTCACCATGAACTCTCAATGCATGAGCGATGCCGATCCCAGTCCAGAATGTCCCTCTACTGAATAGTGACCATGCTGTTTGCTCTAGGAAAGGCAGTACCATGTGCCATTGGTGTGCCGCTACCAGTTGATATGGTAAACCCTCCTCAAATACAGCTGCAGCGGGACTGTCTGCGTAGTAACAGTGATCTCGCTCGCGAGAGTTAGAGCAACATGTAGGAAATCACTTCTGTGAGAAGACGACTTGTGCGTTCTACAACATTGGAACAGCAACATCAAGAAGTAAGTGCCTCGTTCATGAAATACATTATTGGGCTGCAGAGCCAACTCTGAGGTTCTCCGCTACAAGACTTATACAATTCACCATCTGCTCGTATACTATTATGCTCGAGCATCAACGAAGAAATCATGACATGCCAGATACATTCTGTTTTGTGACTGCAACCACACAGCAGGTATAGGCTAGAACTCTCTTGGGGATTAAGGTGCTCGTACTGAGTGTTCAAAGTCTTTTGGGGACACTATTGACATTTGCGCAGGAATGCATCCCTCCATCTCATGTGTTACACCATGTTGCGGTGTTGCGAAAACCTTTGGTGTGAGGTATTTACTCCAGAAGACCGCAAAAAGAATTTGTGACAATGGGCACAATCCTGTCATGGCTGTGGTCCGCGACACGCGGAAATGAATGGCATCATAAGCGAGGGTTGAAATTCCCCAAATGCGACAAGTTCGAAATTGCTCTCCGACAAGTGTCTCTGATCTTGTAGATGATGTAGTCACATCTTACTTCGGTACTTGCCCGTCCGAGTCACCCAGTGAGCACGTCCACAAACGTCTTCGATGTGTGGCAGAGTGTCTTCAGCTCGACTGCTTTGGCACTATACTGGCTGATGCTCTCACACGCAAAAAAAATAGAAAAAAATACTTATCCGCTGCGATTCTAGTCGCGCAAATCGGAGTCCCTTGCTCTCCAGAGAAAGGCTCTGACCCCCAACGTGTCGTCAATTTTCCAAACTATGTTGACAGCTGCATGTTTCCCGATGATGTATCTATCCCGTATGTGCCCGTCTTCGTTTCGCTCGTTACTACAAAGCGATTCTCTCACTATTTCTGGACGCACGGGGATCTCCGGGCGCTTAGATAAACAAAAGTAGGATCTTTTACCCAGGAGTCGCTAGGCGCGCGAAGAGAACCAACCATTCGCCTTCCCTCCCTCGAACCGGGCGTGCTCAGGTGGGCGCGCTTAAGTCTTCGCACAATTAATACCAGTAGGGGTATGCAGTAATATTATCAAACAAGCCTCCCTTGGCATCTATCACCCAAACTTATTAGATAGAATCCACTTGTTACTATTTGCTGCATAATACAAGGAGGTTTACAACAAAAATCCGAGCGCAAAGGTTAGTTGAACAAAAATATGTTTCGAACAGAAGGAGCAACTACCATTAGGCCACCATCACGGCGCTGAAGATGCGGGCTGCCCAAATTACCTATTCACTTGGGAGGGACACTGGAGTAATTTGGGTAAGAAGAACGATACACATGCCTATTGATGCCGCGGTGATCTCCGTGGGTTAAAACCCTGGTGGGAGAACTACATTGTCTGCTAACAATGTCTTACCGTCCTGCGTGCCATCCAATCAACACCTACATCTGACTGCGGGTAGATCTTTGTCTATGGGTGGGAAGTGTGGACCCACTTCCGTAAACAACGGGGGCGTGCCCGGCTGCCAGCGCTTTGCCTGCTTCCCACCTCGATCGTCCTCGCCCACGCCGTTTCTGTCTTACAGGTGAGTGAGTCCAGCAGAATAGCCATTACCTTGCGCGCATACTTTGGCACACTCTCGAGGAGCGTGGGGGGGCCGCCAGCCGCGCTCTCCTGAGGGCGCTAATGCGATGGCAGAGTCATGTCACTTAATTGACGCTGGGGTCGGTTCTACTTCTGGTCTCGTACCCACCACCGTATCCGCACCCCTTTCGCGGCGGGGAGATGCGGATATGGTGAGTATGGGCACGATAATAACGCTACGAAGGGCGAGAATCGCCGAGACCTTCCGTCGCGCGGACATGTCAGGATCCAGGAACATAGATGGCATAACTCGGTGGGCGTGACATCGAATGGCTCATGGTACATCATGCGCTGATGATCAGATAGCGGCCTGCTCGTTGATATCATAGTGCGTATGGGCCGTGGGAAGCATAGCTTGTCGGCTCCCCGTTGTCTCATTGTTAGACAGCCGACGCGGCGTCAGCCGCACAAGGACCACCCCGTCCACGCTGGGAACCAAGTCCGCCCGAAACTGGAGGGCAAGGACACCGTGCGAGCCGCATTTTACTGTGCAGATGCTAAAGAGGGTGTGGAGCTCATTTTGAGGGGCGGCCTGACGCGCGGACAACATTCTTCATGAACCTACGCCATATGGAGTAAACTCGAGGATTTAGGATAAAAGACTCAGGTGTGGCGTGCACCTTACAGGTTGGCGATAGATCAAGGGCGCTACCCGGCTGCCTTATACTAAGTTTGCAACTGCCCATCTCGCCTGTATGCTGATATATGTTACTAGGTTCAACATCGGCAGCTTGAGTACGGCGATGGGGTCGGACGGACTACTCCGTTCTCAGATCTCGAGGCTTTAGCCATCGGTGACTTGCGGCATATTCTCGTTGAAGGGTGTCGTAGTGGTTGAGCTATTAGTAGCTGCTCATATCCGATGCGCTAAACTTAGTGAGGAAAGCCTTCGAAAGGGATTGATATGATGACGCTCGCGAACCATCGCTATCCACAAGCGCCCATAGACCAGATACATGCAGTTTACTCGAGCATTATATTGCGGTCGTGAACGCTCGTGCGTTCCGTTTAATTTGCACTCTGGGCGGGAGCCGGGAATACCTATGCACAGACGATATACATTGTATGCGAAGGTCAACCGACGATGACGTGAGGCATGTCATAAATATCAAAGCATCCGGCTCTCTTGAACTACAGATTCGGCTTCGACAGGCGGTATGCAGGCAAAAGCAAGAGACGTGCCCGGCCTGGACCTTGCATGATCAACCCGCTCCCACAGGATTGAGGGAAGAGCTACTGCGCTGCATCTGGCGCTTGCAGGTTTCCCTTTTGGTAGTGAGTGTATTTCCCGGGAGAGAAATCAAGGCGGTGCAACATGGCGTCTTCAGAATCTCCCTCAATGTGGCTACCCTGATATAGAAGGGAAGCCTGTGGATGCAAAGGTGGTAATGCGTGGTGGCTGATGGTGCCTATGGGTGAGAGTGCTCGGGGAACGCTCAGGGAAGAGACATGAGAACGCAAGTGGCGAAGCATGTTTGAATTCACATTGAAAGATCTTCCACACTTGGGACATTCGAATGCTGCGAGAGAAAGGCACAGATAAGTGTCAAAGAGTGATAAAATTGGGGAAAGGTCACTCGCGTCGGGCACCAGTATGAGAGTTCATGTGGGTGGCCAGGTGACTAGGTCTGTAGAAGCGCTTATGACAATCGGGACATTCATGCCTCCGCTCTTCGCCACGGGCTCCTCCTTGTAGTGGTTTAGGACGGGGACGCTGTCCTCTGCGAAACGCATTAAATGTTTCAAGATATGGACCGCGTAGTATGTCGCGGTCTAAGATTTTGGATTCGGCATGCAGATTTTCTGGAAGCCTGGAGGCTTCTTCAATGTCCCGATTGTCTATGAGAGAATGAGACGATATAGCTTTGAACCTATCGCGACTACATCCGTCAACGAAGAGACCTTTGAAGGTAAATCTGACGTACTTATTGTGGTTGACGCTAAGCTCCGTTGGAAATATATCATGAAGTGGTGGGAACAGCACGTCAGAGGATCGGTGAGCAGAGGAAGTTGCAGCGGTGTCGTGCAGAGATTGCTGAATAAATTGCTATGAGTCAGGCTGCCGCTGAATTGAGGCAGAGAACTTACAGCATCGTCTCGCGTTTCCCTAGTTATGCCTTCACCCTCCTGTACATTCGCATCCTCCGGGGCCCACGCTGAAGGAAAGTATTCTTCTGTTGCATCAGATATAGACAAATTTCACGACAGAGTGCGCTGACCTGGAAATATTGCACGTATGGACGGCAACGTGTTCTCGAGGTGATTGCTTCGAGGTCGCATATTGGTCGCATGGACACGTCTGTCTACAGGAAGGCAAGAGACCACACGATGCACAAGGCTTGAGAAATATATGACTGAACGTGTGCATTGCCGCCAGAGGCGCTACTGAATCATGATATAATGTTGACCATAACCGTGATCCCAAGATGCGACCGCACGCGAAAAGGAATATTTAGACAACATCCTGGATGTCTTCTTGCGTGAGGAGCGCTGACAACAGGAACTTAAGATTATCTCGAAGATGAGAAAAACCTTCGGCCAGGTCCTGAAATCTATACATGATCTCTCAGTGAGCAGGTGGTCACCCACGAAGAGATTAGGCAATGAATGACTTCTCAAACGCTACTATCGTCATCGCAACATGCAGAACTACAGCGTTGGTTTGAGCGCTGCTGCATAGTTATTGATGGTTAATGCGACTATTACTTTGTGCAATCTGATTGCAGAGGAGACGTCAAGGAAAGGCAAGTCTCCGAGAGTCAATTGAGTATACTGCAAATAGCCCGAAGAATGTGCCGCGTATACATACAATAGCTGTAGGCTGCCCTTTCCAGCGCAACAGTGGGAGAGATAGGTGATGAAGACGGAGCTTTGGTTCACAGAGCATAGCTTGCTGAAGTCCGATGATGGGCGATAGCAATCTGACACATTGAGTCACAAAATTTGATAAATGATAGCACACAAGAAGGGCATACATTTTAGTGGTAGACATATATGTCGAGATGCTCGACATTGTGTCAATTCCTTGCATGTACTCTGCGCGGCCTGGTCGATACTATATAATTACCCCAGTGATAGTCGCCGGGAGAAGTACTGCAGCGGACGGAAACTGGAAGAAGTCGTTGATGATATGTGTCAGTAATGACAAAGATCATCGTATATTGTTGCCTTCGCGAAGAAGTAAGGCTAGCCGATATGTCACAGGATGCTGTGAGAACCGTCGAGATAAGTAAGTGCCATGAATACACATGTCACCCATGAGAACAATGATCCAAGTCGATGAACCCAATATTTGGCGCTTGGAGGAACACGATTGTCGTGTCTTCAGCTAGAAAAACTGCAGCAAATTTGTCTTCGAGGGTCGCGCACCCACGGACATAAGTACTAAGACGCTGGCTCGCATACCACTACGGACGACAGACATGTCCTATCAAGATCCACGACACATGCTTGGATGAACACACAACTTCCTTTGTGTCATGTCAGTTTGCATCGTGTTTCTGGGCACGGTGAAAACGCCCATATAAACCATATGCGCAACGTCTACAGAGTGTATCTTCCGGCGCCACCAATAGATTTTAGAATGCTTCACAGTCAGCTACGGTCTTAGAATATATGGAACCTACTTATTTGTGATGTCTCTGTCTCTTCCACATCTGACACCGATTGGCTCCCACCATCGTTTTCTGTGTCTCATAACTTTAGAGATAGCCTAGCGCAGAATCGATTGAACCACAACGACCAGGGCCCTAGATATGCACAACGAACCCTATTGGGAGCGCAACTTGGGAAACCGTGACACGAAGCCGTCTTCCCAGCGCTCTCTCTCATCCTCGCACATATGAGAGTGCCTGTCCAGCCTTGATTCGAAGCGATGGAAAGTCATAAGCCTAGAATCGGACAGGCTAGCATCAATTGCCAAACATGTCTCTTCATTGAAGAGCTCGGACGTCTCAACCAAGACATCGACACCGGCGTCGAAGGTTTCTAATGTGATCACTATGTCCTTCATGTGTGTCGAGCGCGGGATCACAGGCGCAGTTGACTTCATCCACGATGCTGGGGTGACATAAACTCAGTACTTCGACGTGCGTGTTACAGCCTAGATTCAAGTGTGATCCTGAGTTTTCTCCGGGCTCAACTCATGACCACCTGTATGAGCTCAACAACGTTAGAGGTAGCCAACGACACGTTAAGATCTGCAGCACCCACAGAAAAGAGCGGGGTGCGTAGGAATTTATCACAATGCTCGAGCAGCTCGCCCACCCCAGCGGCGCTTGCCAGAAGCAGACATCCAACTTGACGTGCCATATGGTCGTACTTTGTAGTCTAATTTCCAACGCGTCGCCTTATCGTGAGGTCGGTTTTCTGATGCGGCGCTCTAATATGAGAGCGAGGAAGCGGCGAAAGAGCAATATTCTGATCGCACCTGTCGTGCGGCGCGCTTGAGTTTGCGCCTACATGTGCTTGCTCTTGAGTATCTCGCTTCCCAGTCGCCGTGCTATCGTTTATTCGTTTACACCCTTGTTGTGAAGACCTCAGACCTAGGCACATACCTCTCGAGCACCCTCGCGCTACCGGTCATGCAGCTTGCTGGTCGACAGATAACACAATATGAGACATGCGATTACATTAGATAGCAAGCCATTGGTACATGATATGGTCCAAGCAGACAGGGAGATGTTTTCTAAAGCATCGAGATGAAGACCTCTCGCTCAGGATGGCATCCAACATTTTAGCGCGACGCGTCCGAGGCACAGGATGCGCGTTGCTTGCCTCTATTTGTGCATATGCGTGATATGCCGGGTGATGGGATACGATCCGTGGGAGACCTTGGACCCAAGCAGGACACGTATAGTTCATATCTACTCAAGCATGAGAACCTCAAGGCCTTATGATACGGTCTGAAGATGCATGCTGCAAGACTTGGAATGAACGTAGAAGCCTACGACGTGACGATGTTTCTGAACGAACATGTGAGGAATGTCATAAACGCCTATCTAACCCTAACCTAAAGCTGTTTGTCTCATGTTCGACGCGCTAATGAAGGAAGGCTCTCAACCTCCCTCGTTCTACTTGCTCTGCACGCCTCTCTGTCTTGCATGGCCTCAATCAAGATAGGACGTTCTACTGTAGGCGGAGCACGATGATTCAAGCATGGGGAAGTTGTACTTTAAATCAGATGGCCCCTGTCGAATCTCTCCCGTTGTAATTTATAGCAATGGCTAGCTTCGCGCTGCAGTTTCACATGGTATGTTCGTCTTTCTCACTTCTCTAGTTTTCCGGGTACTGCAGCTTAGACGTGAATCTAATGCTATTCCTTTTGTCCTCTTTTTATACCGCTGAATATCTCGACGCGTCCAACGGGCTTGAGCAGTGCCTTCAGATACAAATGCCCTACACACTGGGCAGGCTATGCTCGGAGACCTTCAAGCGCAAAGAAGACGTTTGCGCTATCCAAGTGAGCGCTCTCATCCGTCGAAATTCCTCGAGCCTCCTTGGAATTTCAATCCTGCAAGTCTGCTTATGCGGAGACCTCCCGGTCCTTCATTGTGATACGATCGCGGCCAACATGGTGTGTCCCTCTCTCAGTCAGCCTACACAATCAATTGCTCACTCACCACAGATACCGAAAGCTCGAGGTTATAACATCTACGGTGCACGCGCATGGCTTCATCACGTGTGATCAACGGCGCACGTTTTGTGCTATCTCGCGCTGCTATAACATTAACTGATTAACATACTCGCGATCCACTGGGACGAGTGTTGAAGAACTCGCTTGCTAGCACAGACTTCCTCATGGCGCATAGCTATTTTACCACCCAGTCGTCCATGCATGTTCCACCCTTTCGTGAGACTCATATGGTGAGTGCTTCAAACGCAGCAGGGCCACTTTCGAATATCAATATTTGACGTATTCATCTAGCTTAGGTGCATTTATGGCGGTGGTACGGTCCTCCCTCGCTTTCACCCCCAAATGCAGGTCCGCAATGCTTGCTCATACCGCTGCCCGCATTCACGCCGCATATATGATATTCGGATCTTGGTCCCTTGACGACTCTTCCGGCAAGGCGCCCGTACATGAGGCCCCGCGGAGGAAGGTCGCGGAATCTTCTTACGCTCGCTAGACTTGCTAGCACATTGTCCATGCGTGACCGTATGTATGCACGGCGTCAAGGAGGACGAGACCATTGTATGAATACAGTCGCACTGGAAAACACATGTACTCTACTGAGCGAAGAGCGCATTATGCCGAAGAATGTTGTGGAGAGGGTTTGCCACGGTGCTTGATATAGTTCTGTCAATGAGGCGCTCTCCGGAACGGCCTTCGTTGCGGGGAACACTCAACTGTGATTGATTGTCTGAACTGCATGCAACCCGCGGCTGCCGCTATGCAAGTGTTGCATTGTAAATGCGGGTTCCTCTCTCATTTTGCCTTCGATACCTGAACTGATTCCTTCGTAGAACTCGGCTACTAAAGGGACACAGCTTGCAATAGCCGAGGTGCGTAGGCGAGCGAGATGTCAGTCTACAGCGCATCCGCAAAGAGTATAGCCACTCTGGCATGCTCGTGAAATCGCGACGGACGGTAGATTTGCGCGTTTAGCAGACACACACACGCTGTATGCGAAGGAGGAGGAATATGAGAGGTCATCGAACCATCAAAGAATTTGATGGCGTAATCCAAGCTTTCGCTGGTAGCGCAAGGTCACATTCCCTCTTGAGAGCTACTACCAGTTACGTATAAGTATCCCGAAGATTAACACGACGTAGTTTGCAAGTGTGATGTTGATATAGGGCAGGAAATTGTTTGCGTTCCCCGTCGACCTTACTCAGTGGGTACCGGACGGTCTGAAACGTCACATTGAGGCACGCTTCGAGCGCGTCAAGCTACTGGCTGCGGCGCTCGGCTTTGGGATGTACATGGTCATCCTCCGACTCCAACTGCTGACGACCTCGGCACGCTTCGGTCGCTCGGCAGAGTACTTCGAATAAGCGCCTATGAAGCCCTAAAATAGGGCTATGCACAGAAGCCTCCGCATTTCATACACGTCGACGTCCAGCTTGTATTCTTGAATGAGCCCGCCCTGTGGCTTGCGTCTCATTGAACGTGAACTGCTCTGGCTCGACGAACTGTACACTCTAACATCAAATCAGCTCCTTCTTTGCCCTATGGATTCGTCTGCTCTATTCACCACTGGCGCGTTACTGAGCAAACGTCCTCAATCATGCCGTCCTCTCGGGTATATGTGCTCCTTGTGAAGATGGGCCGCAAGTGCATGGATGGCGACAGCAAGCTCGGCACAGCAGTCCTTTCTATAGCAGTCTATCGCGCAGTGAACGTACCTCGCTTTTCTGGATTTCTCACTGCAGTTCAGGCACTCTCAGCCGGACGCAATTGCCCTTCCCTTCCCGCGTCCGTGTCAAATCACTGAACACTGCAAGTCGTCCACGATGCTCAGGAGTGGTCACTTTGCGTCTCTCAGGGTCCCCTCGCACTGGACTTCAGTTCCTTTTTAGAACTAGGACGACGTGCTCATGGACGCACAGAACCGGGCATGCTTGGAGGCTGGCAAGGGCAAGGAGACGGTTCGCGCTATCAAAAGGTGTGCGCTCTTGTCTGTATCATGCTCCCTCTCCCCCTGTAGAGTCTCTTTCCTTTGGTATGAGTTCCTTCATGAATGGTCGCCGCAAGTCCACTTGCACACAGCCGAAAGTATCCCCACGTGGGATACTTCGCGCTATCATCCTTCCTTGGAGCGTCCCGGGTCTGGTAATTCGTTCACCTTCTAAGACCGTACGGGGAGATGCGAGCGGACATCGCTGACGAATGCTGTGTTTATAATACAGGACACGTTGCTCTGGGCAAAGACGTTCCCAGAGAGGTACGACGTGCGGGGTGCATAGATATGCCTGCGAGCGTTGACAAGTCCTTCTCTGGAGTACACTCGATTCTCCACGCGCTGACCACATAACGCGGAACTGGTACCGTAATCATCAAGCCGCGAAATGTGTCGAACAGGCGAGCCTGCAATAGGCACGGCCCGAGGCGTACGCTTGTGACGTGACGGTATATCACGTACATACCGTAATAATCGGTTCGAGCCACATAGACGAACCACCGACTCACCGCTTCCTATCGCAATCTGGATGTCGATCATTCGATCACAATGACAGAGCGTTCTGAATGGGCAGAGGGCGGGCCGCAGTGCTCGCAGGTTCATGCTCGATGAGTGTCTGAACAATGATCACAGAACGTACAGCCTTGCTAACTCACCTGTGTATGATCTTCGAGGCACAGTTGTTACTTGCAACAGATTCAAGTTTGGTGACAGCGCATCTGGCGGTGCAGTGAGTGATTGTCTTTCGCTCCCCTAATACTGTACCTGAGTCGACACGGGATATGCGAAGCGCCGTGTCAACGGACCCCGATGTGCATTCTTGACAGCGGGAGTTGTGCGCCGGAATTTTGACCTTTAAGCTGTTCTTCGCTCCCATCTCGAAGGCTTGGAGCCGCACGGACGTCCTTGACAGTGAAAATGCGCATTCCGCAACCTCGTTGTAGTGCCATGCCTGCCCAGGGGGTCGCGCGTTTCTGAGCGTCACCTCATATCAATAACAAAACTGCTCTCGGCGCAAGGTCACAAATTTGATGCAAATATATCTTCAATGTCGAAAATGTTGAGCTAATTGGCGAGAGACGAGTGCAATATTCGAGTCCCAGCTCCCTTGCTTTTAATCCGCAAAGCCGACTTGATGCAAAAAGACGGCGGTCCTGTTTTACACGCTCTCGGTGCTGAGAGCATGAGCTTGGTTCGGTACGGAAATGGAGCGAAAATCCAAAAGACATCCACCAATGTCATACCTAACACTCGGCGCAATCGGACGCGCAGAAGTCCATCGAGAGGTGGTCCCAAACCAGGCTCCTTCCCGCCGCTGTGGGAGTTATAGGGGCTCAATCCGACAAATTTGACGCAAGCTAAGTCCTGCAAACCCATCCGCCACACTTGCGCCACAATCCGGCTACATCCGAGGCAAGATCAAGCTCCGAATCCCAACCTTAAACCCCCATAACTCCCTACAGCGGCTGGCACAAAACATCTACAAACAGCGGAGGAGCGGCGCATGTCACCTAGATTAGGAAGGCAGGATACTGGCCCATCATTACATAATCGTTATGGTCCCGTGTATTACAGTAGCGTTTATGTGTCCCAGTGTCGAGTCTCGTCGTCCTCCGTGCAACTTTGTGACCATGGCCTTCACCCCTCTGATAAAATTTTATACCTGACTTTGACACAGATGCGCGCATCCCTGCCGAGGTTGATTTTCGTCCTTCTGACTGGTGAAGGCCTCATGCAACATCCCTTCATTGAATAACCCATCCTTGGCCTGGCTGGCACTTCAGCACTCTCTATGCATCTGCGATCCAGGTTTTCGACTTTTGCACTGACAATGTTGCTTCTAAGACGCAAAGTGTTGCGAACAATGGGCTTTCTGCGCGTCGTTGTTACATTCACTCATGGGGGTTGCGATGACCTCAATTGACGAAATTGAAATGTTTGGATGTCAATTATCATTTCCGGGAATCAATCCTGCCTCATATGGGAGGTGCGGCGCCGGTCCTCCGCTATTTGTAGATGTTTTGTGCCAGCCGCTGTAGGGAGTTATAGGGGATTAAGGTTCAAATGGGATGTCACATGATATGCACGTGATGGGATGCCACATGATCTGTGGCAAGACTTCTATTCTCGGTTACACAAGATAAAACATTGAGTACGCTATTCGGATGAAGTCCCCTATAACTCCCACAGCGGCGGGAAGGAGCCTGGTCCCAAACTGGGTAAACGCGTCGTGCAGCGTAACCCTAGCGTAGGGCTTGGTCATGATTCTCACGCCTAGTTGGCGCTGCTCCTTTTCAAAAAATGAACATCCTGCTCGCATACGACCATGCGTCGTACAGCATCAAGTCAACATACGGCGACGGCGACTGGCATGACGCGGAATCGGCAGTCATTGAGAGACTTCCAAAAAAAAGATATGGCTCACGCTGTTCAGATGAGTACTCCCGTCATTTTGACAATCATGGGCTTCTGTAGAACCTTCTCACTGCGAATTCATCTTTGGGAGGATTTCTGAACTTCTGCGTTAGCGTGACCTGCGCGCTCATCCTTGAACAACGAAGCCCATCTTGGGGCTAGCCTATTACCGGCGAGCATTCACCTATGGCGAGTGGAGATGATGAATAGCGTGGGTTGATCATTAGTGCAGACGTCTTCTTATATATGTCCACGGACTACAAGCTCATGATTGCAAGAGCGCGGAGCTTCGTGATAGACACGCGTAGCACGATGCATCGTCCGCTTATACGTTCAATACCAAACTGGTTTTCAGAACGTCTCTCCTTTCATACGCAAAGCCGATCTTCGCTGATGTATGCTGTACTAAGAACCAGAGCGCTCACGATGCTGCCCTTTGCGTGCCACGCTATCTGATGCACGTTCTTCTCTGTGACCCTCCGTCGTTTTCCTCGGTCCCATTCGCTTGATGTCACCCTGCAGAACCTGTCTACGACAGGCGCGGCAGTCAAGCTTCTGCTTACAAAGGCGACCACCCCTGCGCCGCTGCCCATGCCTAGCATGCAGCCGGCAGCGCACATTGGTTCTGAGACGACCCTGAGCATGGCGCTGCTCGAAACACTCTTATTTGTCACGGAGGTGTTTGGGGAGGTGCAGATAGGTTGACGGGAAGGGAGGACGGAATGGGAGTAGTGGAAAGCGGATGTCTAAGAGAAGTAGATCCTAGCAGGCCCCGTTGAGGAGCGCGCGAAAGGGAGCATCAGGTCTTTTTCAGGTAAACGCGGACATAGGAGACATTGTAAACGTTGAACACGGCCGTTGGGAGAACGTATCATTTCAGCAACGCAGAATTTTACTTCCTTCCCGTCTCCGACAGGTGGTCGGGCAGAGATGACTCTGGTGGTTCCAGTATGTTTTTAACGTCCTACATCGGTAGCACATTCCTGATGTAAGCATGCAGTCGTACAGGTTTTTTCACGACCCCGTATGTGATCGTCAACGCGTCCTTAACAACATTCAGTCTACCTCATTTGCATCTCCTTACCAGGATTATTCCCGACGCATATGACGTCAGGTCGCATTCATTCTCAATGTCCTTGATGATAAGGCGGAAGTCACCGCTATCTTCGGCTTGAACACTTCCAACAATGCCGGGGCAGTCCGACGAGCTCAACATAGGCGTGCACACCGCTGGGTGGTTCGTTCTGTGACTGTTACGATGTACTCGCTCGCATGAATACCACTATTGATGCCGATGCGTTTCTATCAAGCGTAATTAACTAGAGGGACAGCATTGCTGTGTTCGTAAAAACAACCAACACATCCAATGTACGTCTCCGCAGTTGTTGGTGTTTCCCGTGGACAAGTTCTAGTAAGAAGACCCAAGCGGTGTCACCATCCGGTAATCCATCGCACGACCATATGTTGTACTTGATAATGATATCATGGTCTCGTATACAGGGACTGGACAGCTCGGTGCCGACATTTCTTCCTGAACACCACACTTGTCCAAAACACTTGTCGCTTTCGAGTCGAGCCAACAGTACTCCTCGTAGTAGCTCACGTCCATAACGATGTACCTGATTTATGTCGCTGACACGTTCAAAAACTTGGTCAGGCTAATACTTCGATTGCGTTCGCGTGAGGGGCAGATGGTTGGCATAAGCGTACGCGCGTGTGCTGCAACACTGAGGAGCGGAGATGCACTCGAACTCAACGCAGGCAGAAAGCATCATTGATAAAAAATCGTGACAAAAGGAGGGTTCTCTCACCGTGTCAGGACCCTTATCGATGGGAGGACTCGTCTTGACCCCCTCACGCATCTACTAGAGCGGCAGGGCCAAGGAAATGGGAGCGATGCATCAAATGTCATTTAACGAGCGGCGTGAGCCCGTAAATAGGACGAATGGTGGGACTCGCCATCCACAGCCTTAGCGCACGGACCGCACGTTCGACCACGCTTATTCCCTTTCCTATATTGCATACCTCAGAGCATGCCAATTTCATATGAGCAGTTTGTGTTCGAAGGACGTGCCGAGGCATGTTTCCACAGCTTTTCCATCGCAGCTTAGATTGCAAAGACTCTAAATAAATAGAACATTGTCCCAATATATCAATATAGAATCATCGGAACTGATCGACCATCGGAAGGAAACGAATACAATAAATATAGAAGCGAAGCAAAATAGATATGAACTGCATGGTTGGAGTATATCGCAATGTGCGTGCCTCACATCAGAGGAGATTGCTGTCCACCTGACGCGTACTCGTCCATCTCAATCCCATTCTCATCTTCGGCTATCTGTGCTTCTTCTTCGGCTCCTGAGTCCAAGTTGTCGTCGTTGTTGTCGAGATCGGGGAAAGCATCCGCAAGACCATCCTCTGCAGAGTGGTTGGCGATGTCTGAAGCAAACTCTACACTAGAGAGCCAGGGTTGTGGGGAAGGGCTGCCTTGCGAATCGATGAAGGATAGAGATTGGGAGCCGAATGCTCGTGTTGAGCGTTCTGCAGCCTCGCGGATGCAGATGAGAAAGCGGGAGATGAGAATACTTGACATCCTATAACATGCAAGATTTGAATCTGTCAGTAGATACCTCCATCTACGACACGTGAGGTTTCACGCACGCCGGAATCAAACTTGTTATATCCACTGTGTAAAAAGACTATGGCAACTGCTTTAGTATGGGCAATCAATTACATGTCCACGAACACGCACACTACTAACAGTGATAATGGTCATGATGAGGTCGCCAAGGTTGAGCAGCGAGATGATTCTGCACATGGAATGAATGTCATCTTCCAGGAAGACATACTATCTTGCTTACAGGAAGTACAAGGTACCTGTGATCACGGATTGTGAGCTGCTGCAGTATATTGCATTACCGCACATTAAAGCTAGTACTCACCATCTCGGAACATGACAGTTGTGAGATTGGGCCTTGCAGTCCACATATCACGTACTAGCTCTGTTCTCACAGAGCTTGTACGGCTAATGTAGTACCAGGTTGCTGCAACTACGAGGATGTCCGAGATGACCACAGATGCACGAGTGATGATATCCACTATATCAGGAGTAGGGATATCAGCAATTACATCTAGACATACAGGAAGGAGAAACGCACTCCTGTAAACATGAACCAGTGTTTACGAGCAAAAACAATGCAATTCACATACATGTTAAATACTGCTTCGGACATCGACATACTGGGTGTACACCCAAGTTGAGGAATGACAACCAATGTCTCTTGGGTCAGGCGCCACTATGACACTCCTGCGTTAACCGTAGACATCTTCTCATACTCAACATACTGACTGTGTTAGTGCTAACGGGCACCATACCAAGGAGCCAGACCGGGAATACCCAGCGCCAGTTGCGTCCGCTCAGAGCATGTACACGCAGAGCGGCCACCACTTCAAAGATAGAATGAGGAGAGCTCGGGGAATGGGTGTGTGTGTGGCTTACATGGAAATATCGCAGTATTGACAAAGAATCCCACCTCATATGCATAGGTGTAAGACGCACATCTTGTGGGATAAATAATCCGTAAAGAGGGGAAACCCGATACGATGGAACCGACCTCTAATTGAATGCACGCCGTCAATATGAGATCAACACCTCACGAGATATATGCTGCCTACCTGTGTAGTACTCTGCGGAAGGGGCATGAGCGTAATGATAGTGCCAGTGATAGCAAGCCAGTTGATGGCAGAGAGTAGTGTGGCAATAGATCTTCGCCCCCTCAGACGTCGTACATCATGTGGAAAGTTGAGGGCGACATGATAGATTAGAAGCGCTGAAAGGGTGGTTATTGTCGCAGGATTAGATATGTCACGGCAGTACTGACCAACACATGCATAATCGACACAATTGTCTTGAAAGCTACACCATGGCATGGAATTTAGTCCTACAAAGTTCGGTAGATGCAATTACTTTCATTTGCCTGTGTTCTAGGATCTCTTCAACGGCCTGTCCTGCTGGTGTCCCCGACATTGGCCGATGAGTGAAAGGGGTATGATCTGGAGTAGACAGGAGGTCGCACAATGAGACAAACACGGTATCTCGGTCTATATATATGTCTTGAGTACAGGCTTCTGCATCTGAGCGAAGCAGTGTGATACATGTTTCGCAGCTTGTGTTCAACTGGAGGATGCAGAATCCGCAGCGCATTTGGGGCCTCTCAATTGAGGGGATCGGGCATGTAAACAGTGCAATCAATGAGCGGCTATGATAGCCTACTATTTACGCCGTTGATTGACCGCCTATCAGACCGACGACACGGCGACGACCTCCGGGCAGCTCCCTGAGCACACGAGAGCATTTCTTAGGTTGGAGATGCTCATCGACACATTTGTTGGTGTACTCCTGTGCGTATACGCGTCCCTACTTGTCTGCTTCGCAACGATTGTGATCACCTCAAGACACATTCGAATAAATGTATTCGAAGCTCACCTCATGCGCACACATCATGGAAACAGTTGCGCGAGTCATGATTTTGCTGCTGCGGGTTGGAGCCCAGACAACTGAGCCGCGAGTTGTGACAGACCGAGTTGACATTGAGAGAATGGTAGGTCGTGCTGATACGTCAGGACGTCGTTGGAACACGGCCCACTGACCGAGACCGAACAAAGTGCGGTGGACAGACAAGCCGAGGTAGAAGACATAGGAGGAGCGCGCAAGATGCCGCGACGGACATCTTGTTCCTTCGCGATTGCGATTTAATAACTCTTCGAGTGCCGAGTTCTCCGGTGTGTTCTGTGCGTGGTCCCAGTAAAGCCCTTTGTTATGATCAACTTTGCACTCACGACGAAGTCCCCCATACAAGCTCAAATACCTCCGCTGTCATTTCATGAAATCATTCAGCTGCTGGATGTAATAACGGGACACGCATCATCACACAATATTGGGAACGTGCGGATGGTGGCATACCGCAATTGAGGTGAGACGAAACGGCGAGCTAGTATCTCACTGAGTCCCATCACACCTGAGGGTATCGGTCATTTGTTGACGGCGACCTTCTGTTCCGTATCGTGGCAGTGTCCAAATATGATGCGGAGTGTAAACAGGTGCTTGCGTGGTTGGCTTGTCGTCTTCGAGGAACAGTCATTACCCACAAAAGATTCGAATCTGATACACCGATACACCGTCTGGCAAGGAAGTGGATGCGTCCAAATTCGGACAGGCAACGTCCAATTCGCATACCGCTGATTCCACATATCTGAGGTGCGTCAATACAGAGGGCGTGCAGTGAAATGACCGGGCTCGAAGCTCCTTTCATCATAGCGAGATAGATCGACCTGTGCACGCAACCTTCAGACGGTACCTTTAAGCTCATCGCAGTAGCCCAATCCATATATACGCTGCAGGGACATCCTAGAAATGTGAAACTCAATAACCGATGCGGAGGGAAGTCAGTCATAAATCGGCTGCTGCTAGACATAATGCTTCCGGACATGGTGTTCTCAAAGGGTTAGCACATGAGCGAGCGCATCTGCTATTCCGCCTGTTTAAGATCAGGCAGTCTGCTCACCAAAGTGATGCGTCCTCCTTGACGACGGCTATGCTCCATGGATATTCCCTCATCGGGACGTTCTGTGGGCACCGCATGTTTCTGAAGACTAACCTGGGATATGCACATCGGACAAGAAAGGTGTGCGTACGGCACGTCCTCGATATCTTCGGCGTGGATCTGTATAGCGAGAGGTTGTGATTCCGGAACTTCAAGCCTCGTCCCACCATATGAGGCTGACCTAGGTGCTACTGACTGGAGAAGCATCAGCTGCACAAGGATGATCCAGACTATGCGACATCCACATGAGACCTGCTACGAGTAGCGTCTCTTATTTCGCATCGAATATGATGGACACAAATGTGATCGCGTGACCCTAGCGTAAAGCTGTGCACCATGGCTCTCACGCTCAGCTGCAGGGCGCCTTTTCCCAGTCCTCGGCTCGTCGTTGCGTCATCGCAGGCGGCGACAGTGAGCTCTGCACGACTGCCCACGGCACACCAATCTGTTTCGCCTCCAGAATGCTCGCGACTTCTCTAGATCTCTTACTGCAATCGTCGTATCCTTCTGGCATGCCAAATCGCTGAATGCTACGGGCCGTCCAGGACCTGCCGCGCCGCGTCTCTCACTATCACTCGCACTGGCCTTCAGCCTGCCAACAGTACAGCTAAATGGGATAATGTGCTAATGGAGACGCAGGGCCGGACATGCTTGGAGGCCGCCAAGGACAATGAGACAGTTCGCGCGATCCAAGAGTGAGCACTGTTGCTTTTTTGATGTTCCCCATTTCTGTTTACAAGCTCGATTCTATACGTTTCTTCTCGAATGACCACGGGTCGCCGCAAGCCTCCTTCCATCCATCTGAACGCACCCTACTCGCGTTACCGCACATTAGCATCTACTCGTTCGCAAAGCGCGGGACTAATTCATATCATGGAGTTGTCACTCACGCTCACGGCCGACTACTCACCACCAACAGTCGCCCACGACTGCAGAAGCCTTCATCGCGTTCACGATAACCGTGTGTGGCTTGGATGCTTTGATCATTGCTTTCGTATGCGTTGTATCCTCATCGCTGCTGGGATATAACCCGTCTCCCCGGGGCGTCCCCATTTGACAGCTCGGTTTGGTAATCTGCTCACCTTCCGAGACCGTATGGATATATGAGGGCGTCCATGGCTTGTAGGTTCATTGTGGGTATCGGATGTACATACATTCTTCGATCTTTGCCTACCCACTGATGGTTGCTCAAGACCTTGGCACATAGCTCGATTATAATCACCGTCTCGAGCTGATAGGCAGGAACGCAACCGCTTCAGGCAAACCGTTGACGAAAGTATGCGTCCAGTTATTTGTATTATGTGTGCGTTCGTGATCCGCGGCTAATTCCTCGGTTTCATACAGTATATGGCGTTGCCATCTTACTGGGTTCACTGCTACAGACGCCGCATCCACCCTCTCCATCTCAGAAACTGTTGGCTCGAATACTGGTGCTGCATTCCTAGCGAAGACGGAAACTAGCGCGTTCCTGATGTTTGCACCAGTCTACCTACAGAATGCCCATACGTTCTTCTCCGAACGACCCCCTGCGCGATGCGCTCGTCAAGCCGCTGTCTCCGCCATATATCTGACTGTCTATGTCTTGTACCTCGATGCAGTCGTCCAACTGTATCATTCAACAAGAGGCTGTACGGTGGATGGGCATACGGGCTATCAAACTCGCCGTGCTCCGGATGCGGACGTGGTCGAGCGCGATCGCAAAGGTCCATGGTATCGGAAGGTGAGCGCATTGGAGTGATGGGAGGACGTGCCAGTCGCTGGTGGGAAGAACGCTGCTGACGAATACCGTGTGGTACGTCCTATCATTACGACGCGCATCACTGTTAGCGAAGGCGACTTCGAGCAATGCGACCTTCGGGGTGCTGAGACCCGTGCACGAGCGCTACTAGTACGCGATGGCTGATCATAATGCCGTGGTCTTTCCCTGTATGATTCTGTTTTGAAGACTTCCAGTGGGTTTCCGCCATCAGGACGATGGAGCTATCGAGTACGTGTCCTGTATGCATTCATACGAAGACTATGCTTTTGCTGACGAACTCCTCAGAGCATCCGGTCCCTTGTGCAACAATCGCAGCATGTGGGACCGGTCTCATCGCGATGCGCTATATCGAGCCCGCGAGTCTGCAATGGGAGTGTCATGAGACGTGTAAGGGAGCTCCGTGACAGTGCACAGGGCACACAGGGCTAGTATGGGCGCGCGAGAACCATCGTCTGTGTCGAGCGATAGCGCCATGCGCGGGATGCAAACGTGCAAGAGCCTGCCTTGTAATTGCTTATGTCTATTTGCCTCTCTCGTTGTATCATATGTTAGGAGAAGCAATTAATCCATGGATTCACTCCCTACGAAACACGCGTCGAGCGGTGCTCCGATGGTCCAACTCGTAGGTGCGCACCGTCACCACTCGTCCACTCACCGCCGCTCCCCTATTTGTTCCCCTGTGATCCACATGACGTCCATCACCTAGTGCGTCCTCAGTCATCATAACGTCCCAGATTCATCTTGAGGATCCTGAAACGGACAGGCAGTCACGCTTACAACGTATCTTGTGGATATTGATACGCCCACTCACTGAAGACTAAACAGAGAAGACATGCAGCCTGCCCATCGTTCTGGAAAGGGGATCCAAACGCATGCGAAATATACGGGAATACGAACGTGCAGCGTGTTGACACGGTCGATTGGTCACCGCATTACATTGCGACGAGAACATAGCAAAGTTGTAGCTGCCAGACACCGATGCGCGTGTACTCTATATGACAACCATCGTTGTTTCCCTCACCTGAATCGGATGGCTCTGAACATAGCACATATACCAAGTCGGTTCAAAGCAGCACGTTGGCTGAGTGCGACATCTGTGCGAGAGGGCTGACGGGAGTGCAGACCAATACAGTTGTGCTGAAAACATATCGCGATTGCTTTCCTTCGACAGCTCGGATTGTGAGCCAATTGCTATGTGCTTTGAACTAGGACTTCGGTGTTGAAACGCGCTGACCCGCGTGGTCAGGAACGAGCTCGCAAGCTCGGGCGCGCGAGTAGCCGGGGGCCGGAGGCCCCTATCGTAGTATATAACGACCGCGCGCGATGTACACACGCTACGCGATTGTCCCTTACGGGCATCGCTACGCCCGTGGACAAACGCGCCCCGCGCCGTTCGCACCATTGTTCCAACATTCGGGACTTTGCTCATGAGCAAAAAGTAAATATAAATGGGACAGCACGCAATATTAGATGTATCTGATCATCGAGACCGGTAAATATACTGGGGGAAATGAGCGCCCAATAAATAACAAAGTCAGAGGAGATGGAAAATGAGCGACAGCATGTGGGGACATGATCAGGACATGAATGCATCGACGGAACAATTAGCGGTTGCATATTCATGCAACTCTATTTCATCGTTGATCCCATTAACTGTGCTATCTTCGCTTCTTGAATCCACGTCGTCTTCGAGATCAAAGAAAGCATCCGCGTCGCTATCTCCCGCAGAGGGGTTGACGATGTCGGCGGCGAACTCTATGCTGGAGAGCCATCGATGAGTGCCAGAGTCGTTTTGTGAGTCGACGATCGAGCGTTCTGCAGCTTCGCGGATGCAGATGAGAAAGTGGGACACCAGTATGCTCGACAGCCTGTAGGATGCAAAGTTGATATGTCAGCGGATCTCGGAGACCATGATGGTGAAGAATGTACAGACGCTGAAATCATGTTTATCATACTCAAGCCGTCATATATCTAGGATAACTATCTCAGTATGGGCCATAAAATGATTTAGATCATCACGCACATTGATATTAACAAAACAAATTGCAAGGTCAATCACGTTAAGTAGCGAGATGGTGCTGTCGCGGCGATGAGTGATGTACTCTAAGTAGCCATCATTACCCACTTACATGAAGTACAAAGTGCCTGCAATCACAGACCGTGAGCGATCATAGTATATAATGTCATACATTCCGGGTGATACTCACCATCACGGAACATAACGGTCGTGAGATTGGGTCTTGCAGCCCACACACCACATACCAGCTGCTCTCTTATAGAGCTTGTATGGCTAATGTAGTACCAAGTTGCTGCAACTACGAGGATGTCCGAGACAACCACAGACCCACGAGTGATGATCACCACTACACCGGGAGCAGGCACATCAGCAAGGTCATTTCGACGTATGGGAGGAGGCGACTCACACCTGTAGACATTAATCAGTGTGTAAAACATGAAATGGTCATCGAAATCCACATACGCATAGGTTGTGGCTTGAGAGACAGATGCACTGCCCGTACATCCATGTTGAGGAACGAAAAGCCACGTCTCTTGAGTAAGTTCCCACTGAAATACGCCTGCATTAGCCGCAAACACCTTGTTATACTCCATGTACTGACTAGGTTGATGCTCACGGACATCATACCTATGAGCCAGACCGGCAATACCCAGCGCCAGTTGCCCCTACTCACGGCATGCACACGCAGGGCGGCTACCACTTCAAGCACAGAATGAGAATGGCTCGGAAGACTGGAATTGCATTACATACATGGAGATATGGCAGAATTGACGAGGAATACCACTTCGAAGGCATAATTAAAAGACGCACATCTTGTAGAATGAGTATTCTGTAATGGATGGTAGCCTGATATAAGTGGACCAACCTCTGTTCGAGTTCATGGCATCAATACGAGATCAGCATGTTAAATACTGAACAATCCATACCTGTGTAGTATTGTTCGGAAAGGGCATGTATGTAATGATAGAAGCAGTGATAGCAAGCCAGTTGATGACAGAGAGTAGTGTTGCAATCGATCTTCGTCCCCACAGATGTCGTACATCATGTGGCAAGTTTAGGACGACATAATAGGCGAGGAGAGCTAAAGAGATATTTATCGCTAAAGAATTGGATATATAACGGAGATACTGACCAACACATGCATAATCGATGCAATCTATTTGAAAGCTACACCATGGCATAGATGTTAGTCCTACAAGTTTAGGTAGTTGCAATGATTTCCACTCGCCCGTCTTCATAAGCTTGTTGCTCCGACAGCATTCCTGACATTTCCTGCTAAATGGTTGCAAGTGGAGGTTAGGAAGTGCCAGGAATGAGAAGATAGCAACGAATATATATGGTACGGATTTCTGTGATTGACGTACGTTGAAAGGTGGTGGAAGCTATGTGGCGCAGCTTGTGATTGGATGATGCAAAGTAGGGCCTGCGCTGCGTTCAGGGGCTCTCGATCGATAGAATCATGCATACAGCACTAAATTCGATCAGCATCTGTGGTGACGCACTGCCCACACCGAATAGTCACTCACCGCACCACCAGCAACGCAAAGCTGTGGTGATTCATTACCGTGCCCCTCATGGGTGAAGCTTTCGAGATCAATGGTTTCATCAAATCGCTCCCTACAGACACAGCCGATCGTCGAGGCATGTACTAGAATCACTCGCCACCCACTGCCTCTCGGCAAGGACAAGTCATTGCATTATACAACAGTGGACAAATGCAATGTATGCTTTTTGCTGCAGTAGGCGGGTGCCCAGAGGACAAACAATCTAGAAGCACCCTCTGCCATTTCCAGAGTGACACACTGCAACACGACCCGTCAAGGTAATAGACATACCTTCTGTACGCAAGTACGGGTTTCTTGCTTCCATGTGATCGCAATTTAGTGGTCCCTTCTGAATCTGCAAATATAGGGCCGCTGCTGCCTAATTTACAACGACCGAATCTCGGAGATACGGACTGTGTCGTTTCTGAATCACCTCCTGATATAGCGTTGATTGACAGTCAACGAAGCACACAGCCTTGTTGGCTCATTTGAACACGGGTTATCAAAGTACGCCCGTTACTTACGCCAGATCCGAGGAGTCAGGCTCGCAATCCTCGATCACGACAGACGATGTATATCGTGACGCGTCCAACATTTGTATTAGATTTTGCGTATGGCAGATTCCAGTCAATCTGGGAAAGGGAAACACAGTCTCGACGTGCCTTGATATGCCTTTTCGATTGGGAGATAGGTCGCATTGTGCACCGGCACTTCGGCCTTTGCGCTTTGTCTTCGTGCCCAAAGTATAGCTCAGCACCCATATGCGTACAGAGCGATTCTCTTTACAGATAATGTACACACCTGAGTTATGAACCACGAGACGCAGAGGACACAGTAGGTACCTTTTCTGCTGATCCTGTCTTGCTCAGGCTATCGATCCGTCAGCCACGGTGTCTGTATCTGATATGCCACCCCTTGATGTTCGAGGATGCTATGCCGCTTACCAGAAGCAGACATCCAATTTGACGCGTGCCATATGGTCGTCCTCTGTCATTACCACATGGCTATGGTGATCCACGGGAGACCTTGGACGCGTACGATCCGTCTTTAATCGTACCTGTTTGAGGCCTTGTAATATTATCACGCAGTCTGAATCTGCAAGACTCGAATTGAACGTGAAGCATACGACGTGACAGTGTTGCTGAACGAACGTGTAGGGAAGGAACGTGTAACCCTAGCCTAGGGCTATTAATTCTCGCGCTCTACGCGCCAATGAAGGCTTGACGCTCATTCTCCCTCGTTCTACTTGCGCTGTCTTGCGTGGCCTCAAGCGAGATAGAATGTTTTACTGGTTACTGTAGGCGAAACAAATCGATGCAAGAACGGCTACGCCGTACTCTAAACTAGACACCATTTGTGGCAGCTTTGGATTTCTACCGCTGTCAATCTATGGCGACAGCTAGCCTCGCACTGCAGCACCTCCGTGATCTCTTTGTCTTTCTTGCTCCTCCGACTATCTCGAGTACTCCAGCTCAGGCGTTCTCGGAAAAATCTATTGCTCCTCCCCTCCTGCATCGTGCACAACAGACTCAGATAGTGCTTTTCAATGGCCATGCCTTACACAAGAGTTGAAAGCCTTCAAATCGCTTGCGCTGTCCAGGCAAACAGTTGCATCTTGGGAATCTCTCCGTGTCTCTGTTGAATCCTAGTGCTGCACTTCTGCTCGTGGGGAGGTCTACTGGATTGCTGTTTTGGTATTGCCGCGGCGGGCCTGGCGCGTCCCCCACTCATGTCAGCCCACAGGGACGACCGCTCACCTATGACGAACGGTAATGTTTCATGGTGCAGGATGCTCATACGTCTGGACGTCCTACCACGGATATCGATGAACTCCATACCTAGCTACAACAGGACGGAAGGGCAGAAGCTCGATGTCGTCACGTCTACGGTGAACGTGTATGATTCTATCACTTCAGGTGTCGCCTACACATGCGTCTGACGGCGGGATGATGATCTGTATCTCCTCTCGACTATAGCAGGCTGGCAACCGTGGTTAGTTCTCCTTCAGAAGCGCCGTCTGCGCATTATTTTGACCGCCTGGCGTTTCACCCAAGGATATATTTCCCGCATTTGCCATTCTGGGGCTCTCCAGCTCGTTCCCCCGTCTGTTTGAAAGCTGTACCCACATATAGAGAGTTCGGGGCCGCATTATGGACTTCGCGCTGCATCCACGCTTTCCCAATACTTCACAGGTCACTGCCCGCATTCCAGTGTCCTATACCCACAGCGTTCTCTCGAAAAGATGTTCCACTGTCACAGGTTGGCGCGCAGTGGTACTCTGCTCTCATCCCGCGCTATAATGCATGAAATCATTGGAACATCTTTCATGTACTGCTATACGTATCGAGGAACTCGCCTACCGTGTGTGTCGTGTGTTCATAGTGCATAGCTACGCCTACCCCAGGTTATTCTTGCAGTGTCAATACGTTTTTGAGCTCACTCGATTGACCACGCATGGGGACTGCATCCCGAGCGTTGAGACCCTGTGCGACCATTCATAGATAACATTATCCGGTGCATTTTTTGACGATCGTACACTGCACCATGTGAATGTACCTACAGTGCGCATTAACACAGCTCAGTTCCCCGCTGTGTATCTGACCTACTGACCTACTTCAATTGGACGTCTGGCCCGACGTACCCATCTGAGGCCAACGGGAAGGATGGCCACCCACCCTATTACGTTTGTCACAAGGACGCAGAGAAACAATTGTATAAGTGTGGTTGCATCATGAATTAACGTATGCGTCCTCTGAGCGAAGAGCGCGTCATGAAGAGAGATTGCGACGGAGTTTAATATAACTTTGTCAACAAAGCGCTTTCCGGAATGGCTGACCTGCGGGGAACTCTCAGCATGCGATCAAACATTAAGACTGCATAGAACCTGCGGCTGCTCTTGCGCAAGGCTGGTATTGTATGGGTAGGCTTCTCTCGTGTGTCGCATCCAATACCTGTACTGAATATCTTCGTAGAGTTACGCTATTGAAGTGACGCAGCCTACAAAAACCATTTCGCGAGGTGTGTAGACGAGCATACAGCGCGTCCACGCAGGGAAGTCTCCGGGATAATATATGTGTGCGAGGATTATATCAACTATGGCATGCGCATTTATTCTGTATGTCGCGTTCCAGAAGCTCAGTCAGTTCACCAACGTTGCTGCCATAGTTATCGGCGTGTGCATTGCCTCACTACTTCAAGGCAAGTCTGACTTTTCTCGGCGCGGTCCATCGTGTCCGACCACATTGTGGAGAGACGCAGAATCTTTAATGTCCCATTCATCGCGTCCGACATAGAAACTGCTGTTTTGTTCCCTGTCTCCTGGAACATATCACAGCATCACGCTCACGCGAGAGGTAGTGAGGTTACAAAAGGCACAGTCAGAGCACGAGCGCCCGTCCGTCGTGGAAGCACCATATATGACATCATCTATTCCCTCTTCGATGCATTCCCGATTGCCCTTGGAACGAATGGGCGACGGGACGGACGTTCTTTGGCATCGGGGTCGGACCAGGCACTGACATCGAGGTTCAGAACACTGTCCCTTTTGTCGTGTCCCAACTCATCATGTTGCAGAGCCTTGCGACGGGTTCAACAGGCTCACGAACTGATTCAGACACCACCTCACACCGCCACCGCTGTCAGCCGACTACTGAATCCAGCACAAGTTGGAATCAACGAAGGGTTGCAAGATATGCATAGCAGAACGCACTTGAAAATCCACAAGGACATGGATCACGTTATACATGTGAGTGTCCTTTTCGTTATGATATCTCGGACTCCCATAAAATGTTCTACCCGAGAATCCGCTCTCTGGAAGGCGTTTTGAAGGTTTACGCCAGTGTTCCCTGCGGGCTCATTCTTAAGAGATGGCGGCGCTCGCCTGTCACGTAGGACGGTCATCTGTGCAGGTGTTTTACCACATGTGTCGACGAACCAAAAGCGCGGAACCCCGAGGACGTCACGTCCATGGCGGACACGCGTGGCTTCATCGCGCTCAGAGTGATCTGCACTCACATATATCTTTAATACTGAATCAACTGTCAGGACGTCTCCACTTCAGGCGGGAGACTCGGACTCATCCTGCGGAACCTATCTGCCGTCGGTGCGAAATCACGCGCGCAATGGACATATTTCTGCCGTTGCTCCGAAATGTGCCTACACCGCTGCTAGTACCCAGCGCGTTGATTGGCGCGCGCATCCGTGCGGAGAATCACCCGAGCGTCCCATTGTCCCAGATCTTGCGGCTCGTCGGGGAGGTGTTTGGGACGTGGAGTATCTAGGACGTGAAGATGAGCTAACGCGAAGACGAGGTGGAAGGCGAATGAAGGAAAGGGTAGAGTCTCAGCACTGTGCTGATGGACGTTGGGTCAATTGTTGGATGCACACGGAGTCTGGCCCTCTTTCCTGGTTACCGCAAACGCAAAAGGCGTTGTCGACATCTCCACTGACATCAACGCGGCTTCCTTGTTCGCGACGCGCGTATGATGCCACTATCCGCCTTCGAATAGTCGCCAAGCGGAGACATCCCGCTTGGTGGTCCCTGTGTCTACTGTTCATACGCTCGTGCGAAATCCCTAGCATGGGCAGGGACGGACCTGCAGCTTGCTACGACCCGGTATGCACCCGCTAACGCGTCCTTGACTGCAGAATAGTACCTAGCGCCTTTCCGTCTCCCGGGGACCCTTCGCAGGCCCTTGTTCTCATGCTTAACATGTCAGATTGCGAACGGGGTCAATCTTCTCGGCAGCATGGTCCATGCCGCCGTCAGCCCTCTCTTGAACATGCTCGCGACGCTGGGACTGTCTTATCCAGATGGTCAGCGTCGCATTTATTGAGCGCAGGCTGCAACATGACGCATGAGCAAGGGCACAGGTTAAATTGAGCAGTCGCGACATTTTCGGAAACGTGCTCTTGGTTCCCAATCGGGCAGGAGTGAGCGACGAATCCATATGGAAGTGAAGGAAAGATTACTGCGGGTTGAGAATGTGCGTGACTCACGAAGGAGGTTGCCGTCCATCGATCGTATACTTCTCTATATATGTTGCGTCATTGCCTGAATCCTCTTTTTTCTCGTCCTCTTCGCCTGTCTCGTCCTCTTCGCCTGTCTCGTCCTCTTCGCCTCTTGAATTGAAGTCAGCCTAGAGAGCGGAGAGGACATGTACCTGATTATCCCCTGCATATTGACGATGTCCGTAGCGAACTCCAGAGCTGCCTTGGGAATAGATGAAGGAAAGAGACTGAGTAATGCATCCCTGTCTTGAGCGGCGTGCGGCCTGGCGGATGCAAACGAGGAAATCGGAGGTCGAGACGCACGACATCTTAGGAATCGTGACAACTCATGCGTGAGTGGATGCCAAGCCCTACGGTGCACCGGAACGTCCATATACTGTATTGAGATCCATTATATCCCGCACGAAGAAATGGGTCTAGGACGGCCATTCGGTCGTGGACGACGACGCACACCACTGGCAGCAACCGTGTTCACTACGGGATAAGTCTTTCTTTGTGGCGAGTCGGAATATAGCTGGCGTTAAAGCTTCGCACACATGCGCTAGGAGAACAGCTTGATGCTAATTGAAACCGTGCGCTCGGTGAGGTGGCGGAGGAAGCGAACCACATAACCCTAGCATAGGGCTTACCCATGATTCTCACGCCTTATCTCGCTCTGCTTGACATCATGCAAATCATAACTAGTTCGTCGACCTCTGCCCCCTCAAGTCGATCTGAATGTGCACAGGCGACATTGCTCGAATACGAGCATGCCTTGTACGTACAAGTCAACATGGCCACGCCAGCCAGCTTCATGCTGCAATCATCGTCTTTACCATGGCTTGCCACGGCGACTCAGGCACTCGTGTCGAACACTGTCGATTCTGCCGTCTCTCTTCGGGGCGCTGTGGCGTGCTCACGCGCTGGTTCACGAACTATCTCACGCTCTCCGCCGTGACCAGCGTACTATTAGACTTCGAGCAAGATGGAATAATCGAGGGTTGCAGGATATACAGGGCAGAGTGCTCTAGGAGATTCAAGGACAAGGTCATGACTCGTGCTGTCCAGATGAGTACTCCTGTCATACCACAATCCTGGGCTTCCGTAGATTCCTCTCACCGCGAACCCGTTTCTGGGAGGCGTCCGGAACTCCTGCGTCAGCGTGTCCTACGCGCTCATTCTTGAACGTTTCCAACAACAAAGTCCATCGTGGGTTAGCCTATACCTGCGAGCACTCGCCTATGACAGATGGAGATGGATGGCGTGAGGCGGCTATTAGTGCAGGCATATAATAATATATGCCCACGAACGACAAGCTCACGACTGTGAGAGTGCGGGGCTCCGTGATAGTCACGTATAGCCCCATCGCGCTAGGCATCGTCCGCTTATACGTTCAATGATGAACTGGATCTCAGAACGTCTCTACTTTGACACGGAAGGCTGATTCCTGCTGGTGTATGCCTCAGTGTGTTCCAAAGCGCACACAATGCTGTGCCATCCTTTGCATGCTACGCTATCTGATGAACTTGTCCGGATGTAGACGCAATCGTACTGATCGTGCCAGTCCTTCCTCAGTGGACACCGTTCTTCACAGTGACCCTTTCCCGTCTCATTCGCTCAACGCCCCTCCGCAGAACTGGCCTATCGCAGGCGCGACAGTCAAGCTTCTGCTATTAAACGCGATCACCCGGGTGCCGCTGCCCATGCCAGCACGCGGCTGGGCGCGCACATTGGTGCTGGGGAAGCCCTGGGCATGGCGCTGGTAGAAACTTTCTGACTCGTCAAGGATGTGTTTGGGAAGATGCAGATAGGTTGGCGGGAAGGGAAGGCGGAATGGGAGTAGTGGAGAGGGTTGTCTAAGGGAAGTGGATTCGAGCAGGCCGTGTCGAACGCATACGGAAGTGAACGTCTTTCATTTTCCAGGTGAATGCGGACACAGAATGCGTTGCCAACGTTGCTGCTGAAAAAGGCCGTCGAGATCACGTATCATCTCGAGACTACGGAAAGTCAATCCCTTCAGGTGTCCGAACAACTATCGAGCAGAAATGATTCGTTTGGTGGTGCCAGTGTGTTCCGTCTAATGTCCTACGCCGATGGTGCATTCTTGATGTGAGCACACGCAGTCTTGCAGCTTTCCATGCTCGCCAACCCGTCCTCGACGGCAGAGATCGCGTTTCATTGCACCTCCTGACAAAAGATTTCCCCCGACGCATGATACATCAAGTTGCTGTCATGATCAATGTCGGCAACAAGACCACCGCCACCTCATCCTAGGTCTAAACACGTCCAAGGCACCGAGACAGTCCGGCGAGCGCAACATGAGCGTTTCCACCGCCGCTAGGTTCATTCTGTGGTCATCACTATCTGCAGGAACCGACGCGCCACTGTCGAACGTAATCGACCAGATTGTCAGCATCACTACGCTCCAGAAGACGACTCACTTGACAAAGGTACGTCTCCGCAGGTGTTCGTGTTGCTCGCAGACGCGTCTCAATCAGAAGACCCAAGCGATGTGGCCGTCCGGTAACACATTGCGCGAGACTATATGCTGTGCTTGATATTGATAGCATGGTCTTATTACAAGGACTGGACAGCTCAGCACCGACATTGCTTCCCGAACACCGTGCGTGCACTGGTCAAAATACTCGTCCCTGATACTATTCCCTGCAGTCGCTCATGTCAACAATGATGAAGTTCATGTATGTCACCGACATATTCAACCCATTGGTCGGGCAGATGGATGCATTTTTTTCGCGGGAGTGGCGAGTTGTGGGTATGGGTGAGCACAAGTGTGCTGCGGCACAGAGAGGAGCGGATGATGTGCTCGAGCTTAATACAGGTAGAGAGTATCCTGCACAGACAACTTTGAGGTTCTCTCTCTGCATGGGAGTCCTTATCGATAGCCCGCACATCAATCTAAAGAGACAAGAGAGGGCTTGCCTTAACTTCTTCGCGCATCTGCTAAAGCAAAAACACCAGAGCAATGGAAGCGACGTGTGAAACATCGAACAAACAGCGTGATCCAGGATATATTACGAATGGTGGAACTTGCCATCCACAGCCTTGGCGCACGGACCGCCCGTTTCGACCACGATTATTCCCCCTCCTATATTGCCAATGCCATGTGAACGTGCCGAGGTATAATTCCACAGCTTTTCCATCGCAGCTTAGATTGCAAAGACTCCAGATAAATAAAACATTGTCCCAATATATCAGTATTGAATCATCGGAACTGATCGACCATCGGAAGGAAACGAGTACAATAAATATAGAAGCGAAGCAAAATAGATATGAACTGCATGGTTGGAGTATATCGCAATGTGCGTGCCTCACGCTAGAGGAGATTGCTGTCCACCTGACGCGTACTTGTCCATTTCAATCCCATTCTCATCTTCGGGTATCCGCGCGTCTTCTCCGGCTCCTGAGTCCAAGTGGTCGCCGTTGTCATCGAGATCGGGGAAAGCATCCGCAAGACCATCCTCTGCAGAGTGGTTGGCGATGTCTGAAGCAAACTCTACACTAGAGAGCCAGGGTTGTGGGGAAGGGCTGCCTTGCGAATCGACGAAGGATAGAGATTGTGAGCCGAGTGCCTGTGTTGAGCGCTCGGCAGCCTCGCGGATGCAGATGAGGAAGCGGCAGATTAAGATGCTCGACATCCTATAAGATGCAAGATGTGACTCTGTCAGCAGATATCTCCAACTACGATGCATGAAATGCACGCACACTGTAATTAAACTTGTAATATCCGTCATGTAGAAAGACTAGGGCGACTGTCTCAGTATGAGCAATGAATTACATGTCCACGCACACGCACACCGCCGATAGTGATAGTGGTCAAGACAAGGTCAACAACATTGAGCAGCGAGATGATTCTGCACATGGAATGAGCGACATAACACATGTATACATAATTTCCTTCTTACAGGAAGTACAAAGTACCTGTAATCACGGATCATGAGCTGCTGCGGTATAGTGCATTACTGCCCATTAAGACTGGTACTTACCATCCCGGAACATGACAGTCGTGAGATTGGGCCTGGAAGCCCACATATCACGTACCAGCTGTGTTCTCACAGAATTTATATGGCTAATGTAGTACCAGGTCGCTGAAACTACGAGGATGTCCGAGACAACCACAGATGCACGAGTATCCACTATATCAGGAGTAGGGAAATTAGCGAGTACATGTAGAAATACATGAAGAAGAAACGCACTCCTGTAAACATGAACCAGTGTGTACCAAACAAAACAGTCAATGCAATCCACATACATATTATTTATTGCTTCAGAGATCGACACGCTGCTCATACACCCAAGTTGAGGAACGACAGCCAATGTCTCTTGGGTCATGCGCCACTATGATAATTCTGCGTCAGCCATAACCACCTTGTCATACTCAACATACTGACTATGTTAGTGCCTATGGGCACTATACCAAGGAGCCAGACTGGCAATACCCAGTGCCAGCTGCGCCCGGTCACAGCATGTACACGCAGGGCAGCCACCACTTCAAGATAGAATGAGAAGGGCTCAGGGAACGGAGTACATTGCCTACATGAGGATATGGCAGCGTTGACAAGGAATATCACTTGATAGGCATACGTGGAAGACATACAACTTGTGGGATGGATAATTTGTAAAGGATGAAAACCCGATATAATGAAACCGACCTCTAATTAAATGCACGCCGTCAATATCACATCAACACGCCACGAATCATGTGCTCCATACTAATGTAGTACTCCGCGAAAGGGGCATACTTGTGATGATAGTACCAATGATAGCAAGCCAGTTAGTGGCAGAGAGTAGTGTGGCGATAGATCTTCTCCCCCACAGACGTCGTACATCATGTGGCAAGCTGAGGGCGACATGATAGATCAAGAGAGCTGAAAGGATGATTATTCTCGCAGCATTTGATAGGTGACGAAGATACTGACCAACAGATGCATTAACGATACAGTTCTCTCGAAAGCTACACCATGGCATGCAGGTAAGTCCTACGAAGCTCGGTAGATGCGATAATTTTCACTTGCTTGAGTTCAAAGATCTCTTCAACGACCTTTTCTGACAGTGCCTCCGACATTGTTCGATGAGTGAAGGCGGTATGATCTAAGGTTGACACGAGAAGTTCGCAAAATGAGACAACCACTGGATCTTGGTCCACATATATATTTCGAGTACAGGCTTCTGCATCTGAGCGAAGCAGTGTAATACATGTTTCGCATCCTGTGATCGACGGGAGGATGCAGAATCTGCAGCACATCCGAGGCCCCTCGGCTGAGAGGATCAGGCCTGTGGACAGTGCAATAAATGAGCTACTATGGCAGCACACCTGTCAGGCCGTTGAATGACCGCTCATCAGACCGACCGCATAACAGCGATCTCCCGGCAACTCCCTGAGCACAACGAGAGCACTTATGAAGTTGGAGATGCTCACTCACACCTTCGTTCATTTACTCGTGTGCGTGTGCTCATCACTGCTGGTCTGCTTCGCGATGATTGTGATTCATCTCAAGATGCATTCGAAGAAATGTAGTCGATGCTCACCTCATGCGCAGACATCATGCAGACGGTTTCAGCAGTCATTATTTTGCTGCTGCGATTTGAAGCGCGGGAAACTGAGCTGCGAGCCGTGATAGACCGAGTTTCCATTGAGACCATAGTGGGCCTTGCTAATGAGTCAGGACGTCGTTGCGGCACGGGTCACTGACCGAGACTGAACGAAGTGCGGCAGCTAGACGAGTTGAGATAACAGACATAGTGAGGAACGCACAGGATGTCGCGACGGACGTCTTGTTTCTTTGTGATTACGATGTCATGATTCTCCGAGTGCTGATTCCTGTGATCTGTGCTTGCCTCTATTAAGTAGTCTTCGATGACGAGAAACCGTGCTGCTGCTGGATGATGGTAGCGACACATGCATTATCACACAACATTGTGAGCGTGCGGATGGTGGCATACCGCAATTGAGGTGAGACGAAACGACGGGCTAGTAGCTCACTAAGTCACATCACAACATGCACAACATGAGGGCATTGATCGTTTGTTGACGGCGACCATCCGGTGCGACTCGTTGCAGTGCTCAGTTATGATGTCTAAAGCGATGCCTGCGTGATTGGTTTATCATCTTCGAGGAACAATCACTACCTGGAACAGATTCAAATCTGATATACCGCCTGGCAAGGAAACGGGTGGTCTAAATCTGTACAGGCAGCGTACACTTCCCATACCGCTGATTCCATATCTCTGAAGAGCGTCAATACAGGGAGCGTGCAGTGGAATGACCGCACTCGAACCTCTTTTATGATAACTACATAGATCTCCTTGTGCATTCGACCTTCATACCGAGTTTTAAAGCTCATCTATATGACCCAATACATATGCGCGCTGCAGGGGTACGCTAGAAATGTGTGTGCATTGAAAATTAGTAACAGATGCGGGGAGAATTCGATCATAGATTCGGTGCTCCTAGACACAACCCCTCTCGACATGGTGTTCGCAAGGATTTAGCACATGAGCAAGAGTATTTCGTGTGCCGCCTGTCGAAGAGTAAGCACTCTGCTCACCAAAGTGATTCGTTCTCCTTGCTAGACATATCCTCGTCGGGACGTTGTGTCGGCATCGCATGTTTTTGAAGACTAGTCTAGGACGAAATCACGATACGCTTCGGACGAAAAACGGTATGCATACGGTACGTCCTCGATATCTTTGGCGTGGACCTGCATGATGAGATCGTAATTCCGAAACTTCAAGCCTCGTCCCACCTTATTAGGCGGACCTGGATGCTACTGGAGAGCATCGGGCGCACAAGGATGACCCAGACTATGCGCCGCCTACATGAGACTTATAACAAGTAGCGTCTTTCATTCGCCATCGAATATGTAGGAAACATATGATCGCGCACTGCGTAACCCTAGCGTAGGGCTGTTCACCATGGTTCTCACGCTCAGCGGCAGGGCGCCTTTCAGCACGGTTCACCGTTGCGTCATCGCGTCGGGCGACAACGAGCTCTACACGACAGCCCATGGCATACTCATCTGTTTTGACTTCAGAGTGCTCTCAGCTTCTCTAGATCCCTTACTACACTCCCAGCCAGCACAATCGTTCTTCTCCTTCCGCTTTCGTCATGCCAAATTGCTGAACGCTACGGGCCGTCTACAGCGCTCAGGACCGGCCGCGTTGCATCTATTAGTAACCCTCGCACTGGCCTTCGGCTTGCTAATACCACCGCTACATGGGATGACGCGCTAATGGAGCCTTTGATGAAGATCATCAATAGAGGAAGCATCAGCAGACGACCCCGAACGTAGCGCGAACGGGGTGCAGCGCCTCGGGCTGGCTGCAGGCGTTGATAGCTTATGCGCCGGAGCAGATAATATAAAAGGCAGTAAGGGAGAAGTCGTTGCGCAAGTGAATAAGCAGGGGGACCAGAGTAGTGCCAGTACTATCAACAAATATGCATCCAGCCAGAAAGGCAAGGCATAGTGCATAGTGATATAGACCACTCTGTGGGCGCCTGCATGACCCTAGAGTAGGGCTCCCCGCGCTTTCCCGCGACGCGCAGAGATCATTATCTTTACTTCTAGCCTCTGCATTTTATGCGCAGCATCCTTGCATGCATACGCCCTGGGGCCTGCGGCTTGATTGTATTAGGATATCAACGTCTGATAAACCCAATTCTGCGAACAGCTATCTCCTTAAAGTTCACGCATCCTGTGCCTTCGCACTGGTCTGCTCTATTCAGCATTCGTACGTTGAAAGATGTCTTCAAGCTGTTGGATACAGGCATTTCTTTTCGGGTATGTACGCCTTTCTTTCATATGGGACACAAGCTAAAGAAAGGAGACAACGAGCTGTGAACAGCCGCATTCCACATAGTAATCCTGTCGTGTGTCCAGTCGACTCCTGACTTCTCTAGCTATCTCACTGCAGTTCATCCACTGTCAGCGAGCGCAATTGCTCCCCTTGCATCATCCTGAAACACCGAGCGCTGCGTCTCGCAGTCTCCCTCCCCCTCATCTTCGTTTTGCGAGTAGAGCAAGATAGGATGACGCGCTGGTGAAAGCGCAACGCCGGGCATGCTCGGAAGCCATTCAAGACGCGACGGATCGCACTTTCTAAAGGTGGGTACTATTATCTCTTTCATGCCTCCCCCAGTTCCCGTAAGAACCTATGGTATGGACTTATTCTTGGACGCTCACTGGTCCCTGCAAGTATAGTATTACCCACTCGAACGTATACCTGCTCCGGTTAGTTCACACTGATATCAACTCTTCTCTGAAGAGTAGATCTAGTTGATACTATGGAGTTGTGACTCGCGCGGACGGCTGAACACATGACATTTGCACCACCAAGTCACCTATGACTGCTCTAGTGCAGGAGCCCAAATTCATCGCATCTGTGTTAGGTGTGCGCAGCCTCGGTGCATTCATCATGGCTTATGTATGCGTCTGAGTTCTGATTTGCTGCTCAGAATATATTTCGTCTTTCCGGGGGCGTCTTCATATATCACAGCTCGGTCTGGTAATTTGTTCGCTTCCGAGACCGTACCGGGGAAATGGAGCGTGCATCACTCGCCAGTATGCTGTGGATATCGAGTGTCACAGTTTTCAGACATCCCTCGATTTCGGCCACTTACTATCTATCTCTCCAGCAGTTGTGCCGACGTCCAGCTCAGCGCACGTACCTTCCTTTCAATTGACATTGTCATCTCACGCTGCCAGGCAAGAACACAGCTGCTTGATACTCGCCGGCTGATGGTGCCGTGCGCCAAGCAACGTGTTACAGTCATGTGTTCGTGGTTCGTAACTATTTCTCCGGGTTCAGAAGGCGGATGCGGCGCTATCATTTCGCTGGGCTCACTACTATGGACGTCGCGCCTATTCTTGCTCCATGTCGAACATTGTGGCAGGTGCTGCTGCACTCCTTGCGAGGATCGAAGATCCTGGTACATACCCTGCCTCTACCGCATTTTTTATGGCCATACCGGCCCACCCACAGAACATCCATGCGTTCTCCCCCAAACAACTCCCTGCTTGACGCTCTCATCAAACTGCTGTTTGCGCCGCATGTCTGACTGTCGATCTCTGTACTTCAGTGCACTTGTCGACTGAATTGAGGGTGCGCGGTGGACGTGACCAGAGGCTGTCAAGTTCGACATATTCCCAGGTGTGAACAAGCGCAGATGCCACCACAAGGGGCCCGTGGTATCGAGCGCGGCAAATCCGTTTTCAAAATAACGTGAGCGCGTGCTGGTCCTTGGTGGGACGCACACCACTGACGGATTCCGTGTTATGTCTACTCATTTTTTAAGATGGGTTGCCGTTGGTGAAGACGTCTTCGAGTGGGTCTAACTGTGATGTGCTTGGACCCGTATACACGTGTTTCCACGGGAAATAAGACGCGGTGATTCATCATTCATGCTGGTCTCATTGTGCTCAGGTCATGCGCTGCATCCAGAATGCGTATCAAAGAACGATGCGACAGCACATAGAGTGCCCTCGGATTGTGCTGCGTGTGCGCGAAGCATCACTCAGGTGTCGAGTGAGTGGACACGCCCATCCTATGCGATCGGCATACGCTGGACTGAAACCAGCAAGAATATGAGCGGACATCGGTAGATGAGCCGACGGATCCACACCCTTACCTGTTCGAGTTTCCGTATGATGTCCTTTGATATTCGTCCTGTCTATTATGTTCGGAGAGGCAGTGATCTATGCATTCATCCCGCAGCCCGGATCACAACTCTCCAAACCTGTCCCGATCGGTGCTCCAATGGCCTCTCTGGCGAGTGCCCCGTACCCGTACTCTTCGACTGGCAGCCGCTCCCTTATCTATTCTACTGTCCCCCAATGGCACGCGTTCCATCACGCGACTTGAGTTTTATGACGTCCCGATTCCATCTTGGGGATTATGACACGGCCAGACAGCCTCGCTTACAATATATCTTGTGAATATACGTTGACATGCGCACTCAACAGAGAATAGACGCACGTCGATATTCCCGTCGATGTTGGCTAGACTCATTATCCGTTCCATTATCCGTTGAAGCGTTGACAACCAGTCAGTACGTTAGTCCTAAATTAATGTCAAAAGCACGACTTCTCATATCTCAGCCTGAAGAAGTCTTTGTGCAGGCTCAGGTCTCGCAGGGGTTCGAGGGCAAGAGAGGACGGCTGCTACTTGGCCGTCCATATGAACAGCATGCACGACACACAGAATAGATAAAGATGAACGAGCAGCGTGTCCATGCGAGCCATCGGTCCCCGTGATCCTGCGACGAAAGCACAATATACTTGCAGCTGTCTTTCATTGAGGCACGCGTATCTCATGTTATCGATATCGCCGACATTGACAGACTTCGGTAGCTCTGAGCACGACACACATATCACATGCAATGCGGATTCGAAGAACTCAGTTTGACATCTGCACATAAGAATGCACAGACTCACTAGGTGGTGTAACTGGTTACTGTCTTGAAGACACATCCCTTCATGCCTGTAAGCGCAGTTCCGTGACGGCTCGTATGGCGAGCTACTTAGTACAAACCTCATACCGGAATTGTGGGACATAGAAAACAGAACGTGGATAAATAGAACAGCTCGTGATATTGCATGCACCTGGTCGCCGAAACCGGTGGACGTACTGGGGAAAAAAAGTAAGAACTGATGAATAACGCATCGAGAAGGGAAGAACAATGAACATTAAGACAGAGGAAGATCAGGATGTCAATTCATCTACGGAACGGACAGAGGCTCTAGCTCTATTGCATCATTATCCGCGTCTCGTGCATCATCTTCGCCTCTTAAGTCCAGGTCGTCCTCGAGATCACCGAAGGCGTTCCCGTTTCTATCTCGCGCAGACGAGTTGGCGATGTCGGCGGCAAACTCTATGCTGGACAGCCACGGCAATGGGACAGAGTTGCCTTGCGAATCAATGAAGGACAGAGATTGGGAAGTGAATGTTTGTATGGAGCGTTCTGCGGCTTCGCGGATGCAGATGAGAAAGTGGGAAATCAAGATGCTCGTCATCCTATCAGATGCAGAATTTATGTGAGTAGATAACAGCACCTGTTGCGCATGAGGTACGGACGCTGTAATCAAGTCTGTTATATCCACTGTGTAGGAATAGGACTAGAGCAACTAGGTCAATATGGTTCATCAATCGACTGTGGATTAACACGCACACTGATGCTGATGAGATTGACAACAAGGTCAATAACGTTAAGTAGCGAAATAATGCTGTAGAGGCGATGAGTGCCGTACTCCACAGAATCATACTTCCCTACTTACATGAAGTACAAAGTACCTGCAATCACAGAGCATGAGGAATTATGGTATGCGTTGTCACACATTCTGGCTAGTACTTACCATTGCGGAACATGACGGTTGTGATACCGGGCTTTGCAGCCCACACTCCACGTGCCAAATGTTCTCTTACGGCGCTCGTACGGCAAATGTAGTACCATGTTGCTGCAACTACAAGGATGTCCGAGACGATCACGGATGCACGAGTAGTGATCACGACTGCATCGGGGATAGAGACTTCAACAAATACATATGGAAATATAGAAGGAAATCACTCACCCCTATAACATGAGTCAGTTTGTAGAGCACGAAACGGACAACGAGATCTGCGTACGCAACATATAAAGCTTCGGGCATCGATACGATGCCCGTACATCCAAGTTGAGGAATGAAAGTCCATGTCTCTTGAGTCAGGAACCACTATGATACTCCTGTGTTAACCACAAACACCTTGTCATACTCAGCGTACTGACTATGTTGGTCCCCACAGGCACCATACCAAGGAGGCAGACCGGCAATACCCAATACCAGTTTCCCCTGCTCAGGGCATGTACACGCAGGGCGGCTACCACTTCAAAGATAGAATGAGGATGGCTTGGGGAGCGGGAAGCGTGCTGCTTACCTGGAGATATAGCAGAATTGGTGAAGAATATCGCCGAATAGGCGTAGTCATAAGGCGCACATCTTGTGGGATGAATAATCTGTAAATAATCGTAACCTGATATAGGAAAACTGACCTCTAGAATACCACCATCAATACAAAATTAACATCTCAACGAGTAGATGCTCCATACTTGTGTAGTATTCACGGAGATGGGGATGTCGGTAATCATACTGCCAATCATAGCAACCCAGTTGAAGATAGAAAGTAGTGTTGCAGCGGATCTTCGCCCCCACAGACATCGCACGTCATGTGGCAGGTTCAGAGCACCATAATAGATGAGGAGAGCTGAACGGATGATTATTGCTGGTGCATCGGATACGTAACGGAGGTACTGACCAGCACATGCATAAAACATGCAATTCCCTTGAAAACTACACCATGGCGGGGATGTAAGCCTTACAAGATTCGGTATATGCAATCGTTTTCACTCACATGGACTCCACCTCTGCGTCAAATGACTGTTTCGACGATAGTGATCCCGACATTTCCTGCTAAATGGTTGCAAGGGAGATGGAGAGAAGTGGCATGAATGAGAAGAGAGCAGCAAATCTGTATGGTACTTGGGTCGCTGTCTATATATATATATATGTCTAGTACGGACTTCTGTGCTTGATGTTGGAAAGTGGTGGAAGCTATGTCGCGTGGCCTATAATTAGATGATGCAAAGCAGAGTCCGTGGCATCAGGAAAACCGGACGTCGTTGACGCCCGTAAATTGCTGATACGCTGACCTCAGCGTTTCAGAGACGCCAGCAGGTCTGCAGGTCTGCAGGTCTGCTTGTTCGTAAATGAATCAAGCGTCTCCGCTCTACTTAGTGTGATTGGTCGCATTGTGCATTAGCACTGCGGCCTTTGCTCATTGTCTTCATGCTCACTGTACAGCCTGGCACCTATATGCGTACAGAAGTATCTCCTGTGCAGCGAACGTACGCACATGAGTCATGAATCGCGAGAAGCAGAGAACAAAGGCATCTTATGCTTCTGTTTTTCTCAGGCTTTCGATCCGTGAGACGCGGTCTCTGTGTCTGATATGCCGACCCTCGACGAAGATAATATTCTGCTTACCAGAAGCAGACGACCATTTAGACGCGTGCCGCATGACATGGTGATCCGCGGGAGACCCAGGATCCAAGCATAACACGTACAGCGCGGTCTGAAGCTGCAAGCCGCAAGCTTGAAGCTCTGAGCACTGCCTCTTGTGTCGTCTCCACCACGTCGCGTTGCAGAACCCTCTGGATATTTCATGAAACTCATGAACCGATTCAGGCGCCATCTCACACCCGCCGCCACCACCAGCTGGCTGCTAGATCCGGAGTAAGTTAGGTTCAATGAAGGGTCGCAAGATATGCAGAGCAGAACGCACTCGAGGTTCCATAAGGGTAAGGACATGGATCACGCGCAGGCTTGTCAACGTCTCCGCAGACATGAACACAGCTGCCTTATCCGCATATAATGCCACTATCCGCCTCCGAACAGTCGTCAGGCGGAGACATCCCGCTTGGTCGTGCCTGACGCTAGGCTCGTGGGGAATCTCTGGCGTTGGTAGGGGCGAACCTGCAGCTTGCTATGGCCTTGTACACACCCGCTGACGCGTCGTTGACGGTGAAACCTTGTGTGATGCAATGCCATTCATCGGAGACCCTTATGCTTATGTTTAACATGTCAGTGTGGGCACGAGGTCAACGTTCTCGACGGCATAGCCCAGGACGCCGTCAGCCTCCACTTCAACGTGCCCGCGGCGCTGGGACTGTCCGGTGAGGACAACCTGACGGCATCCGTTGCTCACAGGCTTTCCGCCTTGCCGTAATGTCCCTGTCTCGACGTGCTCGCTAACGTTAACATCGCCGCGAATGCCTACGCGTCATCGTCAGGAATGTTCGACAAGGGGACAGCATCGCACTATTCCCGCAATAGCCTCACGTTGTCCGCAGACGCTTAGCCAATAGAAAGCCCCAGCTGATGTCGCTAGCGGCTATACAAAGAATCAATTGCGCAGGGCCTGTTGTGGTACGTACTCTGCATGGTAATTTTCGTCTTGGCGTCTTGGATTTACTCAAGGCAGAAGTTCAAGGAACAACATAGCGATCTAATCAAAAAGGACGTGATCCCTCACGAACAGCCTGTTCATCACCTTTCTTGCTAAGTGACACCCTTGGGACGAATAAACGTACCTCGTCGCTCGTTCCTCCGCTTCACTTGTCATTTGTGCTGCTCTGGGTTTATGCCTAAGTAGACGCGCGAGGAGGTCAGAGCGAGTCGTCAATTGGACGGCTCTGCAAATGCCGTTCTGAGCGGCGAGAGTCCCTAGGCCGGCTGGACCTGACACCCGTTCAGCTCGTGAGCGTCATGATTACCGAGCGCAGCTGCGACATGACTCATGAGCAAGCACGCAGGATCGATCAGGCAGTCCAATACATCATCGTGGTAGCCAATCGGGCAAAAATGAATGTCGAAGTGATAGGGAAGTGAAAGAGAGATCACCGCGGGTTGAGGATGTGCGCAACTCAATGAAGAAGGCTGCTGTCCATCGGCCGCATAATGTTCCATTAATGTTGCGTGGTGTCTCCCCGCTGTACCTGTCGTGCATCCTGTCGTTCAACAATACATACTTCCTTGCTTACAGGGAATACAGCGTACCTGAGATTGCAGGCTATGAGCTACCGCTATATAATGCATCCGCCATACGTGGGACTCGGAGTGTAGCTAGAGTGGAACTTGCATTAGAGCTTCGCACACATGCCCTAGGAGAACAGCCCGATGCTGATCGAAAGCGAACACGCAGCAGCTTTTCGAGAGGTGGCCTTAGATGAAGGTGAACGAGCGACGCTTTAGGACGCGTGGTGCAGAAAGCGAACCGCGTGCGTAACCCTAGCATAGGGCTTGCATGCCAATCGGACCGAGTTCATCGACCTCTGCCGCCTCACGAATGTGCACAAGCATCGCTGCTCGAATACGACCATGCCTCGTACGAGTCAACACGGCGGCGCCAGCTAGCTTGGTAATACACTCATTCTTCTCCCACGGCGACTCAGGTACTCGTGATGAACACTGTTGATTCTGTTTCTTTTCGTCGGGACACTGGCGTGCTGGCGCACTGATTCACGCACCATATCACGCTCGCCGCCGCCGCCACCAGCGGATAGGGCAGAGGGCATGGTTGATGTTGTCCAGATGAGTACTCCTGTCATTCGACAATCCTGACCTTCCGTAAAACGCTCTCATTGCAAAAACACGTTTGATAGACTTTCTGGAATCTCGGTGAGCGTGACTTCCGTGCTCATGTTTGAACAGAAAGTGCCGTTTGGGGTTGGCATATACCAGAGAGCACTCGTCATAGACGAGTGGAGATGATGAATGACGCGAGGTGGCCTCTAGTGCAGACGTCTTATAAATGTCTACGAACTACAAGCTCACAGCTGCGAGAGCGCGGAAGCTCCGTGATAGCTCCATTGCGTTAGGTATCTTCCGCTTATATGTCCGATATGTGACTGGTTCTCGGAATATTTCTGTTTTGATACGGAATGCTCATCTTTGCTGATGTATGTCGCACTGAGTTTCATGGCGCTCACATTGTTGTGCTCTCCTTTGCGTGCTACGCTATCCGATGCACTTGTCCAGATGTACGTGCATCCATATTCATCGTGCCAGTCCCTTCTCAGCGGGAATTGTTTTTCTCTGCAATCCTCCGTCGTTTTCTTCAGTCCTATTCGCTTGATGCCACCCAGCGAAAACTGTCTACCGCAAGCGCAGCAGTCAGGCTTTTACTGCCAAAGGTGGCCACCTGCGCCGCTGCCCATGCGTAGCACGCGGCTGGTCGCGCACCATGGTGCTGGGATGACCCAAAGCATGACGCTGCTCGAGATGATCTGGCTTTTCACAGAGGTGCTTAGGGAGGTGCAGATAGGATGGCGGGAAGGGAAGACGGAAGAGGGGTTGGTGGAGGGAGGTTGATCCGAGCAGGCCGTACTGAATGCGCATGGAAGTAAGCATTTCTCCTTCCTGCCAAGCGAATGCTGACATAGATTGTGTTGTCGATATTACTTCTGAACATGGCCGTTAGGACCACGTATCATCTCAACACCACGGAAGCTCACTCCCTTCTGGCATCCGAACACTGGTCAAGTGAGAACGACTCGTCTGGTGATATCACTATGTTCTGTCTAACGTTCTACATTCATGATGCATCTTGATGTAGGCACATGAATCCTACAGCTCTCTACGGCCCCGTATATGCTCGTCAATCCATCTTCAACGGTAGAAACCATGCCCAGTTTCGGCCACCTCATTTGCATCTCCGTACAAGGATTCTCCCCGACGCATATCACGTCAGGTTGCGTTCGTTATCAATGTCCTTGACGACAAGACCGACGCCATCGCAACCTTTAGCTTGAACACGTCCAAATCACCGGGACAGCCCGGCGGACGCAACGTGAGCGTGTCCACCACCAGTAGGCTCGTTCTGCGACTGTTACGATGTACTCGCTGGCGTGAATATCACTATAGACTCCAACGTGTCTCCGTCGAGCATAATTGACCATAGGGACAGGTTCGCTGTGTTCCAGAAAACAAATGACTTGTTCAAGGTACGTCTACGTAATTGTGAATGGTTCTCGCAGGCGCGTTTTAATCAGAAGGTCTAAGTGGTTCCGGCATCCCGTAATCCATCGCGTGCGACAAAATGCTGTACTCGATATTGATAGCATGGTCTCGGTTACAGGAACCGAACAGCTCGGCGCCGAAATTCCTTCCTGAACGCCACTCGTCCTTTTCGAGTTGAGCTGACAGTACTCCCTGACACTGTCCCTTGCATTTGGTCATGTCCACAACCACGCACTTGATATATGCCGCTGAAATTGCCACAGCATTAGGCTATGCGGCTGGATGTTTTGTTTTCATATGAGTGTCCAGCTGTTGTTAGGGACGAGCGTGCGAGCTACAGCACGGAGAGGAGCGGGTGATGGACGCGAGCCTAATCTAGGCAGAGTGTAACCGCAAAGTATACAAACGGAGGGTGTTTCCCCCCGTCGCGATCCTCATTGATTTCCTGTGCATAAATCTAAAGAGCCAAGGGAGGTCTCCCTCTCGCATATGTATTAAAGCAGCAGGACCAGGGCAAGGGAGCAACGCATGAAATTGGAATGAACGAGCGGCATGATCCAGGGTATAGGACGGATGGTGAGACTCACCATCTACAGTAGTACAAGGACTACGTGTTTCGATCACGATTATTCTGCTACCTACAGTGCACAGCTCAGCGCATGCAAATGCCATAGTCTCAGAGCGGCATAGGTCCGAAGGAAGAGCCAGAGCTTATATCTGTTCGAGAGTATGAACAAAATCTCTATGAGCGTCACAATGGTTCATGCTTTTCTGCAGCTTAATTGAATAACAAAGACTCAAAATAAATAGAACATTGTCCCGATATATCAGTATGGAGTCATCGGAGCTGAGCGACCATCGGAAGGAAACGAGTACAATAAATACAAAAGCGAGGCAAACCAGACATGAACGGCAGGGTTGAAGTATATCGCAACGTGCGTGCCGCACACTAGCACACTAGAGGAGATTGCTGTTTATCTGCCGCCTACTCATCCATTTCAATCTCTTCTTCGGCTATCTGTGCTTCTTCTTCGGCTCCTGAGTCCAAATTATCATCGTTGTCATCGAGATCGGGGAAATCATCCGCATGGCCATCCTCTGCTGAGCGGTTGGCAATGTCTGAAGCAAACTCTACACTAGAGAGCCAGGGTTGGGGGGGAGCGCTTCCTTGCGAATCGACGAAGGATAGAGATTGGGAGCCGAAAGCCTGTGTTGAGCGTTCTGCAGCTTCGCGGATGCAGATGAGGAAGCGGGAGATTAAGATGCTCGACATCCTATAAGATGCAACATTTGACTCTGTCAGCAGATACTTCCAGCCACTATGCGTGAGGTTTCACACACGCTGTGATCACATTTGTTATATCTAGTATGTAGCAGGAACACTAGGGCGACTATCTCAGTATGGGTAATCAATCACATGCACACGCACACGCACAATACTGATGGTGATAATGGACACGACGAGGTCGCCAATGTTGAGCAGAGACATGATTCTGGTCATCAAATGAATGTCATCGTCGGCGAATACATACTTTCCTTCTTACAGGAAGTACAAAGTACCTGTAATCATGGGCCATGAGCTGCTACAGTACATTAGCGCATGTTCTGGCTAGTACTCACCATCTCGGAGCATGACGGTCGTGAGATTAGGCTTTGCGCTCCACATATCACGTACCAGCTGTGTTCTCACAGAGCTTGTACGGATGATGTAGTACCAGGTTGCTGCAACTACGAGGATGTCCGAGACAACCACAGACACACGAGTGATGATCGCCACTACATCAGGAGCAACATCAACAGAAGTGTCTGTACATATGGGAGAAGGCAACTCACACCTGTAAGTATGATTCAGTGTGTAGGAACCAAAACAGTCAATGAATCCACATACATGTTAGAATATGCTTTGAACATCGATGTACTGCTCATACACCCAATTTGAGGAATCACAAGCCATGTCTCTTGAGTCGTGAGCCACTATGACACTCCTGCATTAGCCGCAAACACCTTGTCATACTACGTATACTGACTATGTTAGTGCCAACGGGCACCATACCAAGGAGCCAGACCGGCAATACCCAGCGCCAGTTGCGCCCGGACACAGCATGTACACGCAGGGCAGCTACCACTTCAGATAGAATGAGAATGGCTCGGGAACGGTAATTGTGTTGCTTACATGGAGATATGGCAGAATTGACGAGGAATACCAATACATAGACATAGCCGATAGATACACATCTTGTCGGATGAATAATCTGTAAAGAATGCAAGCACAATTCATGGGAACCGACCTCTGATTGAATGCACGCCGTCAATATGAGATCAACATCTCACGAGATATATGCTTCCTACTTGTGTAGTATTTTGCTGAAGGAGCATGAATGTAATGATAGTGCCAGTGATAGCAAGCCAGTTGATGGCAGAGAGTAGTGTGGCAATAGACCTTCGCCCCCACAGACGTTGTTCATCGTTCAGGGCAACATGATCAATAAGGAGAGCTGAAAGGATGACTATTGTCGTAGCATTGGATAAGTCACAGAGGTACTGACCAACACAAGCATAATAGATACAATTCTGTTGAAAGCTACACCATGGCGTGAAAGTAAGTCCTGCGAAGTTCGGTAGATGCAATGATTTTCACTTGTATTCCAGGACCTCTTCAACGGCCCGTTCTGGTAGTGTCACCGACATTGTCCGATGACTGAAAGGGATATGATCTGAAGTGGACACGAGAAGATCGCACAGTGAGGCATCCACGGGATCTCAATCCACATACATATATTGAGTACAGGCTTCTGCATCTGGACGAAGCAGTGTGTTACATGTCTCGCAGCCTGTGTTCGACTGGAAGATGCAGAATCCGCAGCGCATTTGGGGCCTCTCAATTGAGGGGATCGGGCATGTAAACAGTGCAATCAATGAGTGGCTATGATAGCCTACTAGTTACGCCGTTGATTGACCGCCTATCACTGGGCAGCTCCCTGAGCACAACGAGAGCATTTCTCAAGTTGGAGATGCTCATCGACACATTTGTTGGTGTACTCCTGTGCGTATATGCATCCCTACTTGTCTGCTTCGCAACGATTGTGACCATTTTAAGACACATTCGAATAAATGTAGTCGAAGCTCACCTCATGTGCATACATCATGGAAACAGTTGCACGAGTCATGATTTTGCTGCTGCGGGTTGGAGCCCAGACAACTGAGCCGCGAGTTGTGACAGACCGAGTTGACATTGAGAGAATGGTGGGTCGTGCTGATAGGTCAGGACGTCGTTAGAACATGGCCCACTGACCGAGACCGAACGAAGTGCGGTGGCCAGACAAGTCCAGATAACGGACATAGCAAGGAACGCGCGAGACATCGCAATGGACATCTTGATTATTTGAGATTGCGATTTCATGATTCTCCGAGTGCTGATTCCTGTGCTCTGTGCCTCCATCTAGTAGGTGGGCTTTGATGACGAGAAAACACACTGCTGCTTGAAATGATAACAACACATGCATCATCACGCAACATTGAGAACGTGCGGATGGTGGCATACCGCAATTGAGCTGAGACGAAACGGCGAGCTAGTAGCTCACTGAGCCTCATCACAACCTGAGGATATCGACCATTTGTTGACGGCGACCATCTGATCCGTATCATGGCAGTGTTTAGATATTATGCGCAGTGTAAAAAGGTGCTTGCGTGATTGGCTTGTCGTCTTCGAGGAACAGTCATTACCTGCAACATATTCAAATCTTCTACACTGCCTGGCAAGGAAACGGATGCGTCTGAATTGGGACATGCAGCGTCCAATTTGCATACCGCTGATTCCACACATCTGAGGTGCGTCAATAGAGGGAGCGTGCGGTGGAATGACCGGGCTCGAAGCTCCTTTTATCACAACGAGATAGATCCCCTTGTGCATTCGACTTCCGGAAGATGCCTTGAATCTCATCTCAGTAGCCCAATCCAGATGCACGCTGCAGGGATATCCTGGAAATATGCGTGCATTGGAAATTAGTAACAGATGCGGAGAGAAGTCGGTCATTAATCCGCTGCTGCTAGACACAACGCGTCCGCACGTGGTGTTCTCGAAGAGTTAGCACGTGAGCGAGCGCAGCTGCTATTCCGCCTGTTAAAGATCAGGCAGTCTACTCACCAAAGTGGTGCGTTCTTCTTGATGACGGGCATGCTCCGTCCTCGTCGGGACGTTCTGTCGGAATAGCATGTTCCTGAGCTCTAGTCGAGAGTGAAATCACGATAGACATCAGACAGACAAGCGGCGTGCGTATGGTATGTCATCGATATCATCGGCGTTGACCTGTATAGCATTAGCGAGAGACGAGATTGTGATTCCGGGTATGGACGAAACTTCAAGCGTCGACCAACCACAGGTGGTCCTAGATGCTACTGACTGGAGAAAACATCAGTTTCACAAGGGATGACCCACTCTATGCGCCACCTGCATGAGACCTGCCACAAATAGCGTTTGTCATTTCGCATCGAATGTCTGGGACACAAATGTGATCGCGCACTGCGTAACCCTAGCGTAGGGCTGTCCACCATGGTTCTCACGCTCAGCTGCACGTGATCGACGGCGGCGACAGCGAGCTCTGCACGCCAGGCCACAGCACACCAATCTGTTACGCCTCCCGAGTTCTCGCGACTTGTCTATATCTGTCACTGCATTCTGAACTCCACGATGCTCAGGACCTGTCGTGCGTCTCAGTATCACTCGCGCTGGCCTCTAGCGCTACCCTGCTAATACTACCGCAAGATGGGATGACGCGCTAATGGAAACGCAGGGCCGGGCATGCTTGGACGCCGCCAAGGACAATGAAACGGTTCGCGCGCTCTAAGAGTGCACCTGAGTACTGCTTTTTTGTTGATGCTCCCTATTCCTGTTTACAAGCTCGATTCTATATGTTTCTTCTCGAATGACCACCGGTCGCCGCAAGTCTCCTTTCACCCACCCAGATGTTTTTCCTTCTCGGGTCCCACACACTGGCATCCACTCGTTCGTGAAGCGCGGGTATAATTGAAATCATGGAGTCGTTACTCACCCGGACGGCCGACTACTTATCAGCACCGGTCGCCCACGACTGCAGAAGCCTGCGTTCATCGCGTTCATAATACCTGCGTGCGGCTTGAATGCGTTGATCGTTGCTCTTGTATGCGTTGTATCCTCATCCGCTACTGGGATATCTCCCGTCTCCCTCGGATATCTCCATATGACAACTTGGTCTGGTAATTGATTCACCTTCTCACACTGTTCGGGGAGGTGACAGCGTGCATGGCTCGTCGATGAATTGTGAGTATCAGGTGTTCATACGTTGATTCCCGCGTACTCACCGAGAGTTGCTCAAGACCGGCGCACATAGCTCTATTCCAATGACCGCCCCCATCTTGAGCTGATAGAGAGGAACGCAACTGCTCTAGACACATTTGCTGATGAAAGTACGCGCCCAGTGACTTGGTATATGCGTGTGTTCGTGATCCGCAGCTGATTCCTCGTTTTCATACAGTGTATGCGGCGTTGCCATCTTGCTGGGCTCAATGCTACACACTTCGCGTCTACTCTCTCTCCATGTCGCATTCTGTTGGCTCCAAAACCAGTACTACTGTATTCCTTGCGAACACGGAAACTGGGCTTACAAACACGGAACCTGGGATTGCAAAGACGGAAACTGGGAAGTTGATCTGGACTCTGGCGCGTTCCTGATGGTCGCACCGGTCTACCTACAGAACATCCATACGTCCTTCCCCGAACGAACCCCTGATTGACGCGCTCATCAAGTCGCTATCATCGCCGCATTCTGACTGTCGACCTCTTGTACCTCGTCCGACTGAATCCTTCACTAAGCGGTCATACGGCGGATGGACATATGGCCTCTCAAATGCTCCGTGTCCCGAAATCAGACGTGCTCAAGCGCGATCGTTTGTGAAGGCTCATGGTATCGGAAGATGAGCGCATTGGAGCGTGCTAGTCGCTGGTGGGATGGGTGCCGCCGACGAAACCCGTGTGGTACTTACTGTTTATACAACGCGCATCACTATTGGCGAAGATGTCGAGCGGTGTAATCTTCGGGCGCCCATGGTATCGATCGCGCCGAAGCCTTCCTCGAAATAATGTGAGCGCGTTCCGGTTCTTGGTAGGATGCGCACCGCTGATGATGGTTACTGTGTCATGTCTACTTATTATAAGAGATGCGTCGCTGTTTGGTGAGGACGTCTCGAGCGCGTTGATCCGCGAGATGCTTAAACTTGTATACACGCGTCCCTGCGGAAAACAAGACGCGGTGGTCCATGTCTCCGCTTTGGTATCATCGTGCTCAGGGCATGCGCTGCGTCCAACAGGTGAGGGCGCATGAGAGAGCAACCTGACAGCACTCAGAGCGCTCAGGGACAGTACTGCGTGTGCGAGAAGTATGGTCTATGTATCGAGTGATGGGATATGCACAGCCTGCACTATGGGCACATGCGTAACACAAAGGAGCAAGAATATCCAGTCTTCAATAGACGAGCTGACAGAGTCCGCCCTCTTATCACTGTTTGGGCGTTTGTTTTCCATGATCTGTCCTATATGTTCGGAGAGGCGATTATCTATGCATTCAGTCAGCAGCAGCCCGCCTCCATCAATGCTCTGACGGCCCATCTCGCGGGTGCTCAGCGCCCGTCGATGCTGGCTAGATCCCTGGTGCGTTAAAACGCTAATTGCGGGCCGGTGCGATAGTCCTCGGCTCATGTCCGAAGTGCGGCTTCTCGATGTCGGGCCTGAGGAGGACTTTGCCGCAGACTCATGTCTGGCAGAGGATCCAGGGCGAGAGAAGACATCTACGACTTGCCCGTCCATCCGAACGGCATGCACGGCACATGGGCTAGATGAACGAGCAGCGTACCAATGTGATAGATCGGTTCCCGTGGTGCATTGCGACAAAGACGCAAGGACCTACAGCTGCCATTCGTCGAGGCACGTGTACCTCATTCTTCGAGTGACATTGTTGGCATCAACTCCAGTAGCTCTGAGCATGGTGTACGTATCCCATGCAACGCGGATTCAAAGGACTCAATTTGACATCTGCGCAGAAGAATGGATAGACTCGCTAAGAGGCACAATTGCTTCGAGGATACAACTCCTCATGCCTGTAAGCGCAATTCCGCGCCGACTCATATAGCGACCTACTTGATACACATCCCAAACGAGAACTGTGAGACATGGCTCATGGAAACAGGCCTTAGATAAATAGAACCGCTTGAAATATTGCAAGTACCTGGTTGTTGAAACAGATAAACACACTGGGGGGGAATGAGAAGCCAAGAAGTGACGAAGTCAGAAGAAAGTGAGAATGAAGGGCAAGATGGAGGAGGATGATCAGCAGGTACGTCCATCTACAAATGTAAAGAGGCTGCGCATTCTTCCAACTTCATTCCATCAACTGCATCATTTTCGCCTCTTGAATCCAGGTCATCTTCAAAATCGGAGAAAACATCTGCGTCACCATCTCCCGCAGAGGGGTTGGCGATGTCTGCGGCGAATTCTATGCTGGAGAGCCACGGCCGTGGGATAGAGTTGCCTTGTGAGTCGATGAAGGATAGAGATTGGGAGCTGAAAGCCCGTGTGGAGCATTCCGCGGCTTCGCGGATGCAAATCAGGAAGTGGGAAATCAGAATGCTTGATATCCTATAAGATGCCATATTTCACGTGTCAGCAGGTACTCTACACTATGGCGCATGAGGATTCACGCACGCTGCATTCAAATATGATATATTTGACGCGTTGTCAGACTAGAGTGACAGTTTCAGTATAGGTAGTCAAGAGATTGTGGATGAATACGCACGGCCCAGGTTGCGACACAATCAGCCATATTGGGCAGCGAGATAGCGCTATGCCTGCAATGAGTACCATCAAACAAGGATCTGTTCTTTCTCACATACACGAAGTACAATGTACCTGATATGGCAGAAGATGAGCTGTTATGGTAAACTAGGCTGAACATTCTGGCTAGTACTTACCATCTCGGAACATGACAGTCGTGATACTGGGTCTTGCAGTCCACATATCGTGTACCAGTTGTTTTCTCACCGAGCTTGTACGGCTGATGTAGTGCCATGTTGCTACGAGTACGAGGATGTCCGAGACGACCGCAGACACACTAGAAGCGACCGCCACTACATTGAGAGTAGTTCGGACGTTAACATCGGCATCTAGACATATGGGATGCGAGGACTCACTTCTGTTAATTATGATCAGTGTGTTGAACCCTAAACAGTCAGTATATTGATTAATGTGCATACACATGATACAGAATACTGGAAGAGCCCCCCACAGCGGCCATAAGTTCAAGCTTTTCGAAGATGATCCATGCCTGTTGGGTCAGGAGCCACGATAATGAATTTGCTTTAGTCGTCTTGCTGTTATATTCCATGTACTGACTATGCCAATGCCCACGGGCATGATACCAAGGAGCCAGACTGGCAATACCCAGCGCCAGTTGCCTCCGCTCAAGGCATGTACACGCAGGGCAGCTACCACTTCAAGGACAGAATAAGAATGGCTTGGGGAACGGGAAATACACTGCTTACGTGGAGGTATGGCAGTGCTGCACATGTATACCGCCTGAAAGGTATAACCGTAAGCTTGATATCTAGTGGGGTAAGTATTTTGTGACCAATGGCAACTTGAAAACGGGGAACTGACTCCTAACATTGCACGCCATCAATACAAGATCAGCACCTTATGAATGTAACCTCTCATACTTTCTTAGTATGATATGGGAAAGGCATAATTATAAGGATGGAACTAGTGATTGCAAGCCAGTTCATGGCGGACAGTAGTGTTGCGATTGATCTTCGCCCCCATAGACATCGCAGATCATGTGGCATATTCAGGGCGCCATAGTAAGCCAGGAGCGCTGAAAGGTGATTAAGGCTGGAGTATCAGATAGGTAACGGTGACACTGACGAGCAGATGCATATTCGATACAATTCACGTTGAACTTACATCATGACACAGAGGTGAGTCTTATAGAATACGGAATATGCGATGATTCTCACCTGTTTAGCCCAGGCATCTTCAATGGTCTGTTCCGATGGTGATGCCGACATTTTCTGCTAAGTGGTCGCAGGCAGGAATCAAAAGAAGAATACCGGATACGAGAAGGTAGCAACGAATAGGTACAGGACTTGAGTCCATATATATGGGACTTTCGAAGCTATGTGACATAGCCTCTGGATCACTGACGCAAAGGATGGCCTGTCGTGCATTCAGATGTTCCCAACCCAGAGAACCATGTATGTGACACTACAATTAATCAGTGTCCGTAGCATGGCCATCCTGTCATCACATCCTTGTCATGACGCCTGGCTTCAGAAGGACAATATGATCCGCAGGTGGAGCAGAACACGTTACACAAACCTTAAGCCCTGAGGCCTGATACCCAGTCAAAATCGCATCTGAGCAGATCCAGGGGAATCGTGGTGTATCGGAGCAATTGACGTGCTGTCAGAATTTCCGATAGACCACGTTATGCCCCGCTGTACCTCCCAATTCTGGACTGAAACCGAGGGGCATATCGGAGCCCATCGGTGCGGAACGAAGCTATCTGAATATTCTCGCTACGCTCCAATTGTGCATATATGCTCTGATTGTTAATATACACTCCATTTGTTCAAATACACTCCGTTTGTTTATATACATGCCGTTGTCCTTAAACAACCCACTGCCCACGCCCAGAGATGCTCCACCACTTGCTTTCAGCCTGACCACTTCTCGTCTGCGCTTCCACCAACATCTCGGGCTCGCTGATGTTGCAGCCGAGCAGACACAACATATGGCCTGTCAGGATTGCAGACCCCAGCTCAGTCAATCTACATAGTCACATATTGTCAGCAGAGAACACAAGTAGGACAGGACAGGTAGCAGGACGCACTCTCGCATCTCAGACTGCATGAGGGTGAACTAGTTGATGTCAGCAAGGACATCTATCACTATGCTATTCATCATGCTGCCATCGCCAATGGTGTGGGGACTGTCTTCATGTGTAGCCTCATGTTCTGAAGGGTTGTGTGTGCCTGTCCGCGCTAAGCGCCACACAGAAGATGTGGCAAGGAGTATGTACGAATGAGACCTATGAGGTGTAGCACGGCAAGCAGAGTCAGCTATATCAGACAGGGGGTACTCGCAGAGAGTAGACGCACCAATGAGTATTCCTACCCCACCAGGGGCCCGCCACTGGGAGAGGGAACTGGAGAATGTGAGTACGAACTAGATGCCTTCAATAAGAGGGACGGAGGTGGAAAGAACACTGATCTCGAAAATGGGGTCACTATATGCGCATTAATTTTTAAACATGAGCTGATAACGACTCACGTAAAAGGGATAACACCTCATGCCTATGCGATTATCTCAGTCAAGGTGTCCGTGTACCCCATATACAAGTTCACCCCGCGTGTGGGCACGCGCATGACGCCGCGACATCGCGTCAGGATCTGCGCGACATTGTCGCGCTCCTTGCATTCCTGATCAGCACTAGATTCGGACCTCTTCATTTAGCCCGAGTACTGTAGTTAATAATGACTCACCGTGCTGCCGCACACTTAGGTTTCTCGACACGAGCTTCGGTCGATGTTTCCATCTCACTGAAGCTCACAAATTCTTCCTTACTGCCCCTTGTACCGTACGTATGCTCACCTCCTGTAGAGCGACCGGACGCCATTAGATACAACTTCGCTCGTTCCTCGTTGAGACACGTCTGGCCTATCATATACGATCTACTCACATGGCTGCTGTGTCATCAGACGATGAGGATATCGTAGGGGGCTTGTAGTGCGTAGATGCCGTGGTGGGTTTTCCTTGATGCTTACTATATGTCTCTACAAGTAGAGGGATAGGATACTGCCGAGTTTGTGCTTGATTGTGGTAGTAAGAGGGAGAAGAATGTAGAGTGCGCCGCGCGGCCAGAGGATGCAGTCACATGATCAAATCTAGTTCGTGTATGGAGACAAGGTGTCCAGCATATATGACGAATTGTTGTGTCCAGTGGAACTTATGACGTGCATGAAGCATCCGCGTCATGCAACACCGGAGTGTGATCAGACAAAATAGCCGCCATTTTCACTGGGAATGACATTTGATGTGACGGGCCTAGATAAGGGATGTCTCGCTCAGATCGGCACCGCTCTACTCAGTTGGACGAGACAAGCCCCGTTCTGCCTCGTTCCGCTCAGATGCACTTTTGACTGGGCCTGATATCTCATCGCACAGTCTGAACTCTGAAGCTGCAAGGCTCGGATTGGACGTGAAGTCCACGGCGCGATGATGCCGTTGACCGATTGTGTAGGCGAAGGATGAACGCCCGGTAACCTACGGCTGTTATTTTCTCACGCTTGACGCGGAGGGCTAATGTTATGAAGCCATGACTCGAGTCGGCACTCAACCGCTTCGTTCAATTTGGACTTGAACACAGTTCTCTGTCTTGGCCAAGCCTCAATCAAGTAGGAGCTTATATCCAATGTACAAGAAGAGGATGCAATCTCAGGGACGTTGTATATTGAACCGAGACGGTCTCCGCCAACTTGAGTCGCAGTTTCAGCTTTGAGTTTTTACCGCTGTAAATCTATGTCGACAGCCAGCTCGCGCTGCAGCACCTCACACCATCTGTCCGTCGTTGTTGCTCTTCTGAATATCCCGAGTGTTCTAGCCTTGGCGCTCTCGGAAAACACTATCGCTCCTCCCCTCTTGCGTCGTGATATATCGCGTTCAACAGACTCAGAAAGTGCCTTACAAGCATCATGCTTTACACATAACAAGAATGCTGTAAAAGCTGCAAGAAGAATATATCGCTCATGCTGTCCAGGTAAGTATTCTCATCGAGAGAAGCATCCCCGTGCCTCTGATGAATCCTAGCACTGCACGTCTGCTCATGGGGAGACCTTCCCGTGCGCCATCATGGTATTTCCGTGGCGAGCCTGGCGCATACCTTACTCAGATCAGCCCATAGTGACGACCGCTCACCGACGCCGAATGGGAACGAATCATGGCGCAGAGTGCTCATACGTCCGGGATACGTCCGGGCTTCAAACCTATTTACAATAGGAGAAAAGCTCGAGGTCGTCACGTCTACAATTGACGTGCATGTCTCTATCATCTTGAGCGTCGCCCGCACACGTATTTCACAGCCGAATGGTGATCTGTATTTCCTCCTTTATACAACGGTGGGCTGGAAACCGTAGTCCATTCTCCTTCAAAAGCGCGGTCTGTGTATGATTCCGACGGGCTGATGTGTCATCCGATGATGTATTTGTTGCATTGGTCATGCCGCATGTTCCGAGGGTCTCCAGCTCGATCTTCGGTCTGTTTGGCTCGTGTACCTGCCCATAGAAATATCAGGGTCGCATCGAGGGCCTTGCTCCGCACACACTTACAGGTCATTGCCGGTGTTCTGGTGTCCCATGCCCCCGCCATTCTCCCCAGCAGATGGCGCAACGTCAAATCTGAGCGCGCAATCATACTTCACTCACATCTCTGATGTACTGGGGCACGTATCGGGGAACTCGCTTACGCGTGTTCATGGTGCATAGCTAACTTTGCCGTAGGCCGTCTTTGCAGTATCCATACTTTCGTGAGTTCACTCGACTGACTCATGTATGACACACACTGAGCAGAATGTCGAGGAAGTAGTGCTCGGTGATGCATCACGGATTCGGAGGACTGGAGACGTGCACACCGCGTGAACGAGATACAGCGATAGCGAGGCCGAACATATTCAGGGAGGGTTGAACGAGAATGGTGAGTACTTCAAGTTCCAGTGTATGCTCAAATATCTAATGGTAGATCATTACTGAACGACGTTGCTGACTTCACGACAAATGAATTACCTCGGCGCATCGCATCGTGGCCTACCACGTTGCGGAGAACACATTCCAACGTTGTATGATCTCTTGCGCCACCATTAGTGTGGGCGGCGTAGAAACTGCCATTCCCTGTTTCCCGGCTGTTCTCCGAGGGCATGGGGTTGGCATGACACAGCCTCAGGCACTCAATGCAGCACTACCCATTCTGTCTCCCATCGCATCATGTCGCAGAATGCTGTGGCGATTTCATGAGGCGCACTGCACTGACTGGTTCATGCACCATCTCATACCTGCCGCCGCCGTCAGCTTAATACTGAATCGGGAGCAAGATGCAATCAACGAAGGATTGTATGACACACGGCAAAACACACTCGAAAATCCATATGAGCAACGGCATAGATCATACTGTACATGTGAGCGTTGCCGTCTTCAATTTTTTCTGATCCAGGTTTATCCCCAATGGAGGGCGTCGTCCTCTGTCGGATAACACATCCGTTTACATATCGTGGCGGGTGTTTCATTCTATCATAGACCCTGTCCTGATACCCGGGCTCCCGTAAAATGTTCTCCTTGAGCCTGAACTACTACGCCCCGCGAGGCTGTCCTTGAGAAATGCGAACGCTCACCGATGTCGAAGGTGTAGGACTGTCATATGTGCAGGTGTCTTACCATATGTGTATGCGAAGTGCAGGCTGACAGCGCGGAACTCCGAGGCCGTGACGGACACGCATGGCCCCATCGTGCTCTATATCTGTCATGTTGAACCACCTGTCAGGACGTCCCCGCTTCAGCATGGACATGTCCATCTGAGATCCAGAGCACTCGCGATTCTGCGCCGTCGCTTGACGTTTGCGAGTCACGCTGTCTGATGCACTTGGCCAGACGTAGGCGCATTTGCAGTCATCGTGCCAGCTGCTTAGCGAGAACCGCCTTCCTCCGCAGCTCGTTCACTCGAGCTCGCCTTGCGGAACCTGGTTGCCTTCGGTGCGTGACGGACAAACATTTGCCGATGTGTGTCGCACCGAGATGTGCCTACACCGCTGCCAATGCCCAACACGTGGCTTGGCGTGCACATTGGTGCGGAGAACTCGCCGAGCATCCCACTGCTCCATATCTTGCGGCTCGTCGTGGAGATGTTAAGGACATGGAGTATCTAGGATGTAGAAATGAGCCAACGCGAAGGGGAGGTGATAGACGAATGAAGGAAAGGGTGGAGTCTCAGCGGTGCGCTGTTGGACGTTGGGTAGAGCGGACTGTGTCAAAAGCGCACGGAAGTAGGCATCTGGCCCCATTCCCTGGTTATCGCAGACGCAGAAGGCGTTGTCAACATCTCCGCTGGCATGAACACGGCTTCCTTGTCCACGTATGGTGCCGCTATCCGCCTCTGAACAGGCTTCAAGAGGAGACATCCCGCTTGGTGGTGCCCGATACTATGCGCTCGTGGTGGATTCTGGCGTGAGCAAGGGCGGACCTGCTATGGCCAAATGTGCACCCGCTAGCGCGCCCTTGACGGATGAATCTGGCTTAGCACCAGTCCATTTCTCGGAGATTCCTTCGCAAGCACTTGCTCCTATTCTTAATATCTCAGATTGCGAACGGAGTCAATGTTCTCGACGGCATGGCCCAGGCCGCCGTCAGCTTCGGTCTGAAAGTGCTCGCGACGCTAGGACCCTCCAGCGAGGACAACCTGACGGCCTGTCCGTACTGTTGTTCTCTCGATATGTTCGCTGATGTGAACATCTCCGTATATCCCAACGCGTCGTCGCTAGGCATGTTCCACAAGAAGACAACATTACGCTTATCCAGGGCATTGATTGGTTCAAGCTATAGTGGAGGACTTGTTAATGTTATTTGCGTTGCAGAGCGACAGCCTCACGGTGTTCGCGGACGTGTTCCCAGTTAAGAGCCCCAGGCGATCTTGCTATACAGGAACCAATCGCGCAGGATCCCTTGTTGTACGTACCCTGCATTGGGCTTTTGGTCTCGGCGTCGTGTCCCTGCTCAAGGCAAAGGTTCAATGAGCGCCGATCGAAGTACGAGGGGCATGGCCTCCCACGAACAGCTGGTCCATCACATCTCTTGCCGAGTGGTACTCATGGGAGGAATGAACGGACCTCGCCGCTCGTGTATCTGCTTTATTTGTCATCCATGCTGCTCTAAGTTTATGCCTGAGTAAACGCGCGAGGAGGTCAAAGCGAGCCGCCAATCTAACGGCTCTGGTAATGCAGCCCTGGGCGGCGAGAGTCCACAAGGCCAGCTGGACCGGATTCCTGTTCAGTCCGCGAGCGTCACGATTATCGAGCGCAGGCTGACACATGATGCACAAGAAAGGATTCAGGATAAATTAGCCAGTGAAGACACTTACCGATACACAATCGTAGTAGCCAATCGGTCAGAAATGAACGACGAATCAATAGGGAAGTGAAGGCAAAATGAATGCGGGTTGAGGATACGCGCGACACACGAAGGAGGCTGCTGTCCGCCGACTGCATGTATGTTGCGTCCTTGCGCCCTTCGCCTGGATCGTCTTCTCCCGTACCGTCTTTGCCTCTTGAATTGAATTCAGCACGAAGGGCATGTGTATTATTATCCCTTGTGTATTGACGATGTCTGCAGAGTTGCCTTGCGAATAGATGGGAAAAACTAAGTGGGTACTGGACGGCCATTCGGTCGCGGATGCCCACGCACACCACTGACAGCAACCGTGTCCACGACGAGACCGGTCATTTTTGGTGGCGAGTCGGAGTATGACAAGCATAGAATTTGCTCAAAGCTTCACAAAGCTAAGCTAGGAGAAGAGCTTGGTGCTGACTGAAATCGTCCAGGTGGCTGAGCGAACCGCGTAACCCTAGCGTAGGGCTTACACATGATTCTCACGCCTTGTTGCGGTGGTCTTGACTGTGACGACGTCATGGCAATCGGACCGAGTTCAATCGCTGCTCGAATACGACCATGCCTCGTACGACTCAACACGGCGGCGCCAGCTAGCTTGATACTGCAATCATTGTTTTCCATATGGCTTGTCACGGCGACTCAGGCATTCGTGTCGAACAGTATTATTTCTGTCGTCTCCCGTCGGGACACTTTGGCGTGCTTACGCACTGGTTCGCACACCATCTCACGTTCTCCGCCGTTACCACCATACTACTAGACTTTCAGCAAGATGGAGTAATCGAGGAATTCCAGGTTACACAATGCAGAGCGTTCTGGGAGATTCTTAAGACAAGTGCATGGCTCGCGTTATCCAGATGAGTACTCCCTAGAGCCCTCTCACTGCGAATCCACGTTTGGCAGGCTTCCTAAACTACTGCGTTGGCGTGACCTCCGCGTTCATTCTTGAGCAGCAAATCCCGTCTTGGGTTTGCATATACCGGAAAGCACTCGTCTATGATCGGTGGACGTGATGAATGACGCGGGGTGGTCACTAGTGCAGACGTCTTATTATATGTCTACGAGTTACAAGCCCACAGCTGCGAGAGCGCGGAAGCTCCTCGACAGAGACGTATAGCCCCATCAGGCTGGGTATCTTCCGCTTATACGTTTAATAATAGACTTGTTTTAGGATCACTGTGCCCTCCCTTGCGTGCTCCCCTATCCGATGCACTTCTCCATATGCACGCGCATCCGTAGTGATCGTACCAGCCCCTCCTCAGTGGAAATTGTTCTTTGCATTTCTCTGTTGTCCTCTTTGGTCCCACTCGCTTGATGCAATTCTGCGGAATCCGCCTACCGCACGCGCGGCAGTCAAGCTTCTACTGTTAAATTCGACCACCAGTGCGCCGCTGCCCATGCCCAGCACGCACATTGGTCCTTGGGAGACCCTGAGCAAGGCGCTGCTTGAGATGTTACGGCTTGTCGCGAAGGTGTTTGGGGAGGTGCAGATAGGTTAGCGAAAGGGGAATACGAAAGGGTATGGAGGATGATTGATCTGAGCAGGCCGTATTGAGTGTACACGGAAGTGAGCATATCTTCTTCCTTCCAGGCGCATGCAGACACGTAAGGCGACGTCGACATTGCTGCTGAAGACGGCCGTCGGAATCATGTATCATATCAACGCCATGGGAACGTACTCCCTTCTGGTCTCCCGACAATGATCGATAATGCATCCTTGATGTAAGCACGCGCAGTCCTATAGCATTACACGACGCTGTATATGCTCGTCAAGCCGTCTTCGATGGCAGGTACTGTATCCAATGTTATTCCACCTCATTGACACCTCCTAGCAAAATGATTACTTGACGCATTACACATTCAGTTGCGGTCGCGATGATGAATGTCATTGACACGGCCACCGCCGTCTTCGTGTTGAACACGTCCAGGGCGCAGGGACAATCCGGCGAGCGCAACATGAGTGTGTCTACCGCTGGTAACTTCATTCTGTGGCCATCACTATGTGCTCGCTGGCGTGACTATCTCTGTAGGGACTGACTCACCGCTGTAGAGCAAATTCTACCGGACGGACATTGTTCATGGTACGCCTCCGCAAGTTTTCATGTTGCTAGTAGACGCGTCTTGGTTAGAAGACCCAAGTGATGCTGCCATCCGAAAACAAATTCCGCGAGCCTACATGCTATATTTGAGATTGATAGCGTGGTCTCGTATACATGGACTGGGCAGCTCGACGCGGACATTCCTTCCTTCACACCACATTTGGACAAAATACTCGTCCTTTTCGAGTTGAGCCCACAGTACTCCCTGATACTATTCCCTGCAGTTGCGCACGTCGATATTTATGAAAGTAATGTATGTCACCGACACATTCAACACGTTGGTCTGGCAGATGGATGCATTTCCTTCGTGGAAATGGCATGGTGTTGGTGTGGGCGAGCACAAATTTCGCTGCGGTACAGGAAGGAGCGGATGACGTGCTCGAGCTCGATACAGGTAGAGGGTATTCTGCACACACAGCTTGAAAATTCTCTCTCCGCATGGGCGTCCTTATTGATAGCCTGCACATCAATCTAAAGAGACAAGGGAGGGCTCGCCTTAACCTCTTCGCGCATCTGCTAGAGAAGAAAGACCAGAGAAATGGGAATGACGCGTGGAACATTTGACGAACAGCATATTCCAGCATATAGTACGGACGGCGGAACTCGCCATCTACAGCCTCAGCGCACAGACCGCCTGTCTCGACCACGGTTATTCCTCCTCCCATATTGCATACCTCAAAGCATATCAATTCCATATTAGCGGGTCTTGTCCGAAGAACGTGCCGAGGCATATCCCCACAACTTTTCCGTCGCAGCTTAGATTGCAAAGACCTCAAATAAACGGAACATTGTCCCAATATCAGTATCGAATCATCGGGACTGATCGACGATCGGAAGGAGATGAGTACAATAGATATAGAAGCGAAACAAAATAGACATGAACGGCAGGTTGAAGTATGTCGCAACATGCGTGCCCCACACTAGAGGAGATTGCTGTCCACCTGCCGCATACTCGTCCATTTCAATCCCATTCTCATCTTCGGCTATCTGTGCTTCTTCGCCACATTCCGAGTCCAAGTTGTCGTCATTGTCATCGAGATCGGGGAAAGCCTCCGCATGGCCATTCTGTGCAGAGCGCGTGGCGATGTCTGAAGCAAACTCTGAGCTGGAGAGCCGGGGTTGGGGGGAAGCGCTGCCTTGTGAATCGACAAAGGATAGAGATTGGGAGCCGAATGCCTGTGTTGAGCGTTCTGCAGCCTCGCGGATGCAGATGAGGAAGCGGGATATTGAGATGCTCGACATCCTGTAAGATGCAAGGGTCGCCTCTGTCAGCAGTTACCTCCCAGTACAACACATGAAGACCACGCACGCTGTAATCAGATTTGTTATATCCAGCCCGAGGGTGCACTAGGGAGACTATGTCAGTATGGGCAATCAATTACATGTACACACACACGCACACCATAGATGGTGATAGTGTTCACGATGAGGTCAGCAATGTCGAGCAGCGAAATGATTCTGCTCATGAAATTAATGACGTCATTCATGAGTAACCACTGTCTTTCTTACAGGAAGTACAAAGTACCTGTGATCACGGAGCATGAGCTGCTGTGGTATACCGCATATTAAGGCTACTACTCACCATCTCGAATCATGACAGTCGTGAGATTGGGCCTTGCAGTCCACATATCACGTACGAGCTGTGTTTTAACAAAGCTCGTACGGCCAATGTAATACCATGTTGCTGCGACTACGAGGATGTTCGAGACAAGCACAGATACACGAGTAATGATTAACACTGCATTGCGAGTAAGGGCATCGATCAGTACATCTCGAAATATGGGAAGGCAAAACCCACTCCTGTAAATATTATTGAGTGTGTAGAACATGAAAGGGTCAACAGGTTTTGCATACACATCATATACGACTATGGAGATTGACATACTGCCCACACATCCAAGTCGAGGACTGACAAAAGATGTCTCTTGGGTCAGAAGCCACTATGATACTCCTGCTTTAGCTGTAAACACCTTGTCATACTCAACATACTGACTATGCTGGTGCCAACGGGCGCCATGCCAAGGAGCCAGACCGGCAATACCCAGCGCCAGTTGCGTCCGCTCACCGCGTGTACACGCAGAGCGGATACCACTTCGGAGATAGATTGAGAATGGCTTGGAGAACGAGAGTCGCATTTCTTACATGGAGATATGCCGGAATAGACGAGGAATGTCACCACATAGGCATAATTGTAAGACGCACATCTTGTGGGATGAATCATCCATATGGAATGGAAACCCGATATAATGGAACCGACCTCTAATTAAACACACGCCGTCAATATTAGATCAACATCCCATGAAGTATGTGTTCCACACTGGTGTAGTACTCCGCGGAAGGGGCATGGCTGTAATGATAGTACCAGTGATAGCAAGCCAGTTGATAGCAGAGAGTAGTGTGGCAATAGATTTTCGCCCCCAAAGACATCGTACATCATGTGGCAAGTTGAGGGTGACATGATATATCAAGAGAGCTTCATAGATGATTATTGTCGCCACATTGGAACTGTCACAGAAGTACTGACCAACAGATGCATAATAGATACAATTCTGTTGAAAGCTACACCATGGCGTGGAAGTAAGTCCTACGAAGTTTCGTAGATGCAATGATTTAAACTTGCGCGTATTCCAGGAACTCTTCAGCAGGCTGTTCTGATGGTGTCCCCGACATTGGTCGATGAGTGAAAGAGATATGAGATGAAGTAGACACGGGACGGTTGCACAATGAGACAGCCACGGAAACTCAGTACATATATATATATTGAGTACAGGCTTCTGCATTTGAGTGAAGCAGTGTGATACATGTTTCGCAGCTTGTGTTCAACTGTAACATGCAAAATCCGCAGCGCATTCGGGGCCTCTCGATTGAGGGGATCAAGCATATGGACAGCGCAATCAATTAGTGGCTATCGCAGCCTACCGGGTAAGCCGCGGTATGATCGCCCATCAGACTGATGACACAGGAACGACCTCCCGGCAACTCCCTGAGCACAATGAAAGCTGAAGTTGGAAGTGCTCACTAATTCATGGTTTCGTTTACTTGTGTGCGTGTATGCATCACTGCTTGTCTGCTTCGCAACGATTGTGATTTACCTCAAGACGTATTCGAAGAAATGTAGTCGATGCTCACTTCATGTGCACACGTCATGCAATTCCACGAGTCATGATTTCGCCGCCGCTGGCTGTAGCTCAGACAACCAAGTCGCGAGTCGTGACAGACCGAGTTGACATTGCGAACATGGTAGGCCATGCTGATGGGCCAGGACGCTGTTGGACACGGCCCACTGACCGCCGAACGAAGTGCGGCGGCGAGACAAGTTGAGATAACAGACATAGCGAGGATCGCGCAAGAAGTCGCAACGGACATTTTGTTCCGTTGAAATCGCGATTTCAAAATTCTCCGAGTGCTTAATCCTCTGCTCTGTGCCTGCCGCTGGTAGGCGGTCTTCTATGATGATCGACTTTGCACTCACGACGAGGTCCCCCCACACAACCTGTGTACATAAAGGCCTACGATGCCGTTTCATGGAAAAATACGGCTGTTGAATACGATAGGGATACATCAGTCATCACGCAACATCGGAAAGTACGGATGGTCGCATACCGCAATTGAGCTGAGACGGAACGACTAGGTAGTAGCTCACTGATTCCCGTCACAAATGAGGGTATCGATCGTTTGTTGATGGCGACCATCCGTTGCGACTCGTTGCAGTGCTCAGTTATGGTGTGTAAAGAGAGGCTTGCGTGGTTGGCTTATCATTTGCGAGGAACAGTCATTACCTGGTACAGATCTGGATCTGATACACCGCCTGGCAAGGAAACGGATGATCTAAATCTGGATAGGCAGCGCACACTTCCCATACCGCTGATTCCACATATCTGAGGTGCGTCAATGTAGTGAGCGTGCAGTGGGATGACCGGGCTCGAAGTTCCTTTCTTCATAACGAGATAGATCACCTTGTGCATTCGAATACCGGCTGATGCGTTGAAGCTCATCTCAGTAGCCCAATCCATACGCACGCCGAAGGGACATCCTGGAAATGTGTGTCTTACAAATTAGCAACGAGTGCTGAGAGAAGCTGGTCATGAGTCCGCTGCTCCTAAACACAACGCCTCTGGCCGTGGTGTTCACAAGAATTGAGCACATGCGCGAGAGCAGCTGGTATGCCGGCTGTCGAAGAGGACACGCTATTCGATGCACTTACCCAGATGTAGGCGCATCCGTAGTGATCGCGTCAGTCCCTCCTCAGCGGACACGGTCCTTCTCTGTGACCCTCTGCCGTTCTCTTCGGCCCCATTCGCTCGATGCCACCCGGCAGAATCCGCGTACGGCAAGCGCGACAGTCAGGCTTCTGCTGTTAAAGGCGACCACCCGCGCGCTACTGCCCATGCCTAGCACGCGGCCGGGCGCGCATATTGGTGCTGGGAAGACCCCGAGCATAGCGCTGCTCGAGATGTTCTGGCTTTTCGCGCAGGTGTCTGGGGAGGTGCAGATAGGTTGGCAGGAAGGGGAGACGGAAGGAAGGGTGGAGTGGAGGGAGGTGAATCCGAGCAGGCCGTGTTGAATGCGCACGGCAGTGAGCATCTCTCTTTCCTTCGATGCGAACGCGGACACTGATTGTGTTGTCAACATTGCTGCTGAACACGGCCGTCGGAATCACGTATCATTTCAACGCCCGGAAAGTTACTTCCTTCCGGTTTACGAACAATGGTCAGGTGAGAACGACTCGTCAGTATGTTCTGTCTAACGCTCTACATCAATGGTGCATTGCTGATGTAGGTACACGAATCCTACAGCGCTCCACGGCCACATATATGCTCGCCAACAAATCTTCAACGGCAGAAATCATGCTCAGTTTCGGGTCACCTCGTTTGCATCTCCTTACAAGGATTCGCTGTGACGCATATCGCATCAGATCGCGTTCGGAATCAACGTCCTTGACGACAAGGCCGACGCCACCGCCATCCTCTGCCTGAACACGTCCAGGGCGCCGGGACAGTCCGTGTCCACCACCGGTGGGTTCATTCTATGGCCATCACTATGTGCTCGCTGGTGTGAACATCCCTGTAAGAGCCGATGTACCGCTGTCGAGCGTAATAGACCAGAGGGACCGCATCACTACCCTCGAGAAGATGATAAACCTGTTCAAGGTACGTCTCCGCAGGTGTTCGTATTACTCGCAGATGCGTCTCGGTTGGAAGACTCAAGCGAGCTGCCATATGCTGTTCTTGATATTGATAGCATGGTCTTGTTTACAAGGACTGGACGGCTCAGCACCGACATTCCTTCCCGAACACCATGCTTGGACAGGCCAAAATACTCGTTCTTTTTCAGTTGAGCCCACAGTGTGCCCTGATACTATTCCCTTCAGTCGCTCACGTCAACAATGATGAAGTTCATGTATGTCACCGACATGTTCAACACATTGGTCGTGCAGATGGATGCATTTCTTTTGCGGGAGTGGCGAGGTGTTGGTGTGTGCAAGCACACGTGTGCTGCGGCACAGAGAGGAGCGGATGACGTGCTCGAGCTCAATACAGGTAGAGGGTATTCTGCACAGACAACTTGAAGGATCCCTCCCCGCATGGGGGTCCTTATCGATAGCCTACACATAAATCTAAAGAGACAAGGGAGGGCTCGCCTTAACTTCTTGGCGCATGTTCTAAAGCAGAAAGACCGGAGCAATGGGAGCCTTAGCGCACGGACCGCCTGTCTCGACCACAGTCATCCCCCTGCCTATATTGCATATCTCAGAGCATACCAATGCCATGCGAGCTGTCTGTGTCCAAACGTGCCGAGGCTTATTTTCACAGCTTTCCCGCCGCAGCTTAGATTGCAAAGACTCCAAATGAATAGAACATTGTCCCAATATATCAGTATAGAATCATCGGAACTGATCGACCATCGAAAGGAAACGAGTACAATAAATATAGAAGGGAAGCGACACAGATATGAACGGGAGGGTTGAAGTATATCGCAACGTGCGTGCCTCACACTAGAGGAGATTGCTGTCCACCTGCCGCGTACTCATCCATTTCAATCCCATTCTCATCTTCGGGTATCCGTGCGTCTTCTCCGGCTCCTGAGTCCAAGTTGTCGCCGTTGTCATCGAGATCGGGGAAAGCATCCGCAAGACCATCCTCTGCAGAGTGGTTGGCGATGTCTGAGGCAAACTCTACACTAGAGAGCCAGGGTTGTGGGGAAGCGCTGCCTTGCGAATCGACGAAGGATAGAGATTGGGAGCCGAATGCTTGTGTTGAGCGTTCTGCAGCCTCGCGGATGCAGATGAGAAAGCGGGAGATTAAAATGTTCGACATGCTATAAGATGCAAGATTTGACTCTGTCAGAATATACCTCCAACTACGACACGTGAGGTTTCACGCACGCCGGAATCAAACTTGTTATATCCAGTGTGTAGAAAGACTAGAGCAACTGCTTCAGTATGGGTAATCAATTACATGTCCACGAACACGCACACTACTAACAGTGATAATGGTCACGATGAGGTCGCCAATGTTGAGCAGCGAGATGATTCTGCACATGGAATGAATGTCATCTTCCAGGAAGACATACTATCTTGCTTACAGGAAGTACAAGGTACCTGTGATCACGGATTGTGAGCTGCTGCAGTATATTGCATTACCGCACATTAAAGCTAGTACTCACCATCTCGGAACATGACAGTTGTGAGATTGGGCCTGGTAGTCCACATATCACGTACCAGCTGTGCTTTCACAGAGCTTGTACGGCTAGTGTAGTACCAGGTTGCTGCAACTACGAGGATGTCCGAGATGACCACAGATGCACGAGTGATGATATCCACTATATCAGGAGTAGGGATATCAGCAATTACATCTAGACATACAGGAAGGAGAAACGCACTCCTGTAAACATGAACCAGTGTTTACTAGCAAAAACAATGCAATTCACATACATGTTAAATACTGCTTCGGACATCGACATACTGGATGTACACCCAAGTTGAGGAATGACAACCAATGTCTCTTGGGTCAGGCGCCACTATGACACTCCTGCGTTAACCGTAAACACCTTCTCATACTCAACATACTGACTGTGTTAGTGCTAACGGGCACCATACCAAGGAGCCAGACCGGGAATACCCAGCGCCAGTTGCGTCCGCTCAGAGCATGTACACGCAGAGCGGCCACCACTTCAAAGATAGAATGAGGAGAGCTCGGGGAACGGGTGTGTGTGTGGCTTACATGGAAATATCGCAGTATTGACAAAGAATCCCACCTCATAGGCATAGGTGTAAGACGCACATCTTGTGGGATAAATAATCCGTAAAGAGGGGAAACCCGATACGATGGAACCGACCTCTCATTGAATGCACGCCGTCAATGTGAGATCAACACCTCACGAGATATATGCTGCCTACCTGTGTAGTACTCTGCGGAAGGGGCATGAGCGTAATGATAGTGCCAGTGATAGCAAGCCAGTTGATGGCAGAGAGTAGTGTGGCAATAGATCTTCGCCCTCTCAGACGTCGTATATCATGTGGCAAGTTGAGGGCGACATGATAGATTAGAAGCGCTGAAAGGGTGGTTATTGTCGCAGCATTAGATATGTCACGGCAGTACTGACCAACACATGCATAATCGACACAATTGTCTTGAAAGCTACACCATGGCGTCAAAGTAAGTCCTGCGAAGTTCGGTAGATGCAATGATTTTCACTTGTATTCTAGAACCTCTTCAACGGCCTGTTCTGGTAGTGTCGCCGACATTGCCCGATGACTGAAAGGGATATGATCTGAAGTGGACACGAGAAGATCGCACAATGAGGCATCCACGGGATCTCAATCCACATACATATATTGAGTACAGGCTTCTGCATCTGGACAAAGCAGTGTGTTACATGTCTCGCAGCCTGTGTTCAACTGGAGGATGCAAAGTCCGCAGCGCATCCAGGGCCTCTCAATTGAGGGGATCAAGCACGTAGACAGTGCAATAAATGAGTGGCTATGGTAGCCTACCAGTCAAGCTGTTGAGTGACTATACATCAGATTGGCGACGCAGCGACGAGCCCCCCAAAACTCAGCAGAAAGCGGTCACTTCCGAGGTTATAGACACACGCATTTGTTTACTCGTGTGCGTGTACGCATCACTGCTTGTCGGCTTTTCAATGATTGTTATTATCTCAAGACGCATAAGAAGAAATGTGGTCGATGCTCACCTCGTGCGCACACATCGTGCAAACAGTTGCATGAGTAATGATTTCGTTGTTGTGAATTGAAGCCCAGAAACTCTAGTTGCTAGCTGTGACAGACCGAGTTGACATTGAGAACATAGTAGGTCATGCTCATGATGGGTCAGAACGTCGTCGCAGCACGGCCCATCGACCGAGATCGAACGAAGTGCGGCGACCAGGTGAGCCGAGGCAAAAGACATAGCGAGGAGCGCGCAAGACGTCGCAACGAACATCTTGTTCGGCTGCAATTGTGATTTCATGATTCTCCGAATACTGATTCCTGTGCTCTGTGCCTGCCGCCAGTAAGCGATCTTCGGTGACGGTCAACTATGCACTCATGACGAGGTCCCCCCCCTCCCACACACAATCTGTGTACCCAAGAGCTTACAATGCCGTTTCACGGAAACATACAACTGTTGGATAGGAAAGCGACACATCAATCATCACGCAACTTTGGGAAGGTACAAACGATCGCACACCGCCATTGAGCTGAGATGAAACGACGAGCTAATAGCTCACTAAGTCCCATCGCAACATGAGGGTATTGATCGTGTGTTGACGGCGACCATCTGTTCCGACTCGTCTCGTTGCAGTGCTCAGTTATGGTGTGTAAAGAGAGGCTTGCGTGGTTGGCTCATCATCTTCGAGGAACAGTGATTACGCGCAAAAGAGGTGAATCTGATTCACTGTCTGGCAAGGGAGCGGGTGGGTCTGAATTCGGACAGGCAGCGTACACTTCCCATACTGCCGATTCCACATGTCTGAGGTGCGTTAATACAGGGAGCGTGCAGTGGAATGATCGGGCCTCGAAGCTCCTTTCGTCATAAGGAGATAGATCGCTTTGTGCATTCGACTTTCGGACGGTGTCTCTAAGCTCATCTCCGTACCCCAGTCCATATGCATGATGCAGGGATAATCTGAAAATGTGTGTGTAGTAAAAATTAGTAACGAATGCGGAGAGAAGTCGGCCATGTGTCCGCTGCTCCTAGACACAACGCCTTCATATGTGGTGTCCTCAGAGGCGTAGTACATGAACGAAAGCATCTGGTATGCCGCCTGTCCAAGAGCAGGTAGTCTACCCATCGAAGCGACTCGTTCTCCTTAACGACGGCGGCGATGCTGCGTACTAGACATATCCTCGTCGGGACGTAGGCGGGCCTAGATACTACTAGCTGGAGAAAGATCAGTTTCACAGGAATGATGCAGAGTATACGTCGCTTACATAGACCTACCACCAGTAGCGTCGTTCATTTCGCATCGAATATGATGTAGGACACCTTATACTGCGTAACCCTAGTGAAGGGCCGTCCACCATGGTTCTCACGCTCGGTTGCAGGGCGCCTTTTTTCACGCGTCATTGCCCCGTGGAGGTGGGTCGCGACTGGATTAGACGGCGGAAGCGACCTCTGCACGGCAGCCCATGGCACGAGAGTGCTCGCGTTTAACTGCGCTCCCAGCGACCTCAATTGCTCCTCTCCTCTCATCCCAAATCGCTGAATGATGCGGGTCGTTCACGTTGCTCAGGAATGGTCGCGCTGCATCTCACAGCAACCCTCGCACTGGCCTCCAGCTTGCTACTAGACCAAGATAGGACGACGTGCTGATGGACGCGCAGGGCAGGCCGCCAAGGAATAGTGTCAGTTCGCGCTATCCAAGAGTGAGTACTATGGCCTTTAACATGCCCCCCCCCTCATTCCTGTGTAGCAGCTCGATTCCATACAAGCCTCCTTGGATGCTCGCGGGTCGCCGCAAGTCTTCTTCCGTCTACTCACGCTGGCATCCACTCTTTTGCGACGAGCGAGTATGATTGATATCATGGATTCGTCAATCGCGTGGACGACCGACTGCTCACCAGCATCAACAAGTAGACCACGACTGTACGAGCAGTGCGCCGCGTTGCTGCGTTGATCGTTGCTTATGCATACGTCGTATCCTGATCTGTTGCTGAGATATCTCCTGTGTCTCTGGGGCGCCTTACTATAACAATCCAAGCCTGTGGTGGTTTTGAACGAACGTATAGGGATGTCATGAATACCCCACGTACCCCTAGCGTAGGGCTCGACGCGCAGAACCTATGGGTTTCTTCCGAACATCCTCCCCCATTCAATCCACACACGACCATGTCCTCAGGCTGGCTAGCACATTATACTGAAGCTGGAAAAAGAAGGCACGAGAACGATGATGTGTCTGAATGTTAGACCTTAGCCTACCAACTCGGGTCGCCAGCTTTGAGGTTCCACAGCTAACTTTGCATTGTAGCCATTCACCTAATCCATTGAACCGTCAATGTCTCTCGTTACTCTAGCTCTTCCGAACACTGAAACATAGGCACTAGCGGAAACCGCTACTGCTCTGGTCACATCAACTTGCCGGACGCTGTGGGGCGTCCTACATGCTCATAAACTGCATTCACAGTATCGCTCGCACACGCCGCAGGATTCTTGGGGAAGGCCGTGCTCGAAAATCTATGAGAGCAGATATATCGCTCGCGCTATCCAGGTGAGTGCTCCCATTTTCGGAACGTTCCGATGCCTCTGTAGAATTCTCGCACTAGACGTCAGCTCATGGGATGGCCCTTTGAACTCCTACCTTGCTATTGCCGTGGATACCTCACTCAGGCCAACCTACACGACGAACGGGAGCCATTCACGTCGCGAGGTGCTCATGCGTACGGATGTCGTACCACAGACACTGACGCACTCCATAGTTACAATTGGGCGCAAGCGCGAGATCATCACGTCCACGGTGGACGTACATGACTTTATCACGCCGGAGGTTACCCACGCATATGATCAACGGTGGACTAGTGGTTTGGATTTCCTCCTATATGCAACGCCTCCTTCAGAGACGCAATCTGGGCATGGGTTCGACGATATTCTGCGTGTAGCCTGGGGGCCTCCAGCTCGTTCCTCAATATGGTCGTCTCGTGTGCCCGCCAATGGAGAGATTAGGGCAGCCTAGTGGGCCTCACAATGATATGATCGATATCTATGCCGGGGTTTCTATATTGCAAATCTCCCCAGCTTCCTCTCCAGTAGCCATTCTAATGTCAAAAGTCAGCGCGTTACGGCATGATCTGATGAGGACACCCTTTACCTACTGGTCCAGCTGGAACAAGTGTTGACGAATCTATGTTGTGTATCGATATAATCATACTGCATACTCATCCCTGTCTCGTCTTGTCTATAGAGTATTCATACTTCTGTGAGCTCACGCGATCGGCGGCGCGGCAGATCTTTATCCTGAACGTTGAGGGATACGTTTGTCTCGCGCATTTATCCAAGTTATGCGCATTCATCACGAGCGTACTGGTGCTCCCTAGGGGCGTACCATCATTACTTCACAAATGAATCTTTTCAATACGGCTGACCTACTGGCCTTCCGCCCTTCAATCGGTTGTCTGGTCAGATGCGACCACATAAAGCTAAGAGGGAGGAAGGACGCGCAGCCCATCGCGGTTGCCACACTCGCGAACGCGGACGTGTTCGCGTGTGACTGCAAGGACGCAGAGAGACGATTGTGAGCGTATAATCGTATAATGAAATATATGCCTCTACTGAGCGAAGAGCGAGGCTTGCCGACGAGCGATGTGAAGGGAGATCACCATAGAGCTTGATTTATTAACATGAGGCCCTCCTGGAGCAGCCTGAGCTCTTGAACTATCCCAGCGTGTGATCAAATATTTCGACCGCATACGACCCACGCGGCCGCGGCACAAGAGTGGCGGTATGCGTGCAAGTGTCCCTCCTGTGCGGCTGTGCCTCGAAATTTGTATTGATCACCCCGGTAGATTTCTGCATCCGCGCCGCGAGGCGTAGGCAAGCGATGCAACAGCGTAGAACGTATGTGCGATGGGTGTCCTTGGAGCCGATATGGCTCCCCCGCGCGCAGAGCATAACCATTTGTTATGCCTCGTGGGACTCCGCGCTGCTTGCAGATGAGCATGCGCTGGATGCGAATGAGGAAGACGGTGCGCGTTCATCAAGGGAGTATTAGACGGATCAGAAAACGTCGTTCCAGAGTGGCTGAGCTGAATCGTAAAATAACGCACATGCTCTTTTAAAGCTGATGATTTATGTGAGAACGCCAGCGGGCTGTAGGCGTGCAGCGTATGAGTGCTTCATGTTTTAGTGAGAGTCTGCAACAATTCCGGTCCATAGCATGGCGTTCAGTCACTCGTCGTATTCAGCAGACTTGGAGAAATAAAGTCGAAGATAGCGCACTGATATAAGCAAACGATCGTCGATCCCGGTAGGTGGTCGAGGAGAAATCATAGACCAATAGATAGCGCAATAAATAATAGTACGAGATGGGATGATGGAAAGAAGCTCAAAGTCTCCAAGTCGATGGTTTATCTGGTGGTATATTTTCCAATTTTGTTGTGTCGACGAACCTTTCATCTCCTTCGTCTTGGGTTTATGCGGCTGGAGAAGCACCAAACATTTCATGAGTCGATTAATCTACGCCGAGCTGTATTTTATCAGTCTCATTTTTCGAAGATGTTTTATCTCTTCATTGCCATTGTATATATGGTGAATGTAACAAACAATCACGATCTCCGTGTTTGCAGTAGATGCAAGGAGATAAAGGAGCGGCGACCATGGCCTCGCGGTTCATATTTGAATTTCGATTTCGAATTTGATGGGTCTCCGGGCCGGTGGGCGGTTATTTCCTGTTTCCTCTTGCCGACTCTCGAGTCTGCCATCTCCAGCTGCATTTCACAACTCTCTACAGCTACAGGATACCACTCTACGCAGGGATATATCCTTCGAAGCGAGATCAATGCGGTGTAATGCTAACACAATTATCTTCGACCGCGACGTTGTCCTCGTGCCCTATCGGTAAGTACTTACCACCTTCGAAGTCCTAGCTGGGACAAGGAGGTCGCACTCACAATGACAGCCAGGGAGGAGCATGTTGCAGTCAGTGCAATTGAATAAATACTGAAGCTTCCGTTGTATCGTATTCTGACGCGTGCCCCGCGCAGCTAGAAGTACCATGAATGGATGACGAGCTCCGAGCTCCGTGAACTCACCGCAAGTGAGCCGCTCACGCTCGATGAAGAGTACGAAATGCAGCGTGCGTATCCGTTCATACATGTCCCATGGTGCGGATCACTGTCTGCCCCGTGAGCTAACCAGTGCTTTCATGCGGCGGGCGCTTAGGGAAATGGCAAGTTGATGAAGACAGTGCGTATCTCACCCTGGTATCAAACGCGAAATTCCTTCACTCTAATGTATGACTCATTGGATTGCTCGTACAGAGCTCACGTTCATCATCCATTCCCGTCGACCACTCTCTGAACCATCCGCTGCAGAGGAACCTTCGCCGGAGATGAAATGGGACTGGGACGCTTTACGCGCGATGCCGATGGTTGGAGATGTTAACCTTTTCCTAAAAGAATCACCAGAAGACGAATACTTTGAGGCAGAGGCAGAGATCATGATCGCAGGTGAGTGTTGCGCAGAGACTGCACCCCGAGTACATGCGCTCAGGGCGACCTATCTTCATGTGATCGCTGTGCTATTCGTGTCGTGCATTCAAAGCGACGGCGACATAAGTGCGGCCTCTACTTTATCTTCCTGGGCGTATCCTTTGCATCTTCCCTCTTGCCGAGTTCCGAGAGAGGACGTGCATGCCTGCGAACTCGCCTCTCGAATCCTTTCACGCCTTGTACTTATCGCGATCGTGCGTCATTCTCCCCGATAACCCTCACTTACCGCATTCCGTAGAACCCACCTACCGCCGGCACGGCCTTGCACGCGCGGCATTGGAGCTGCTGCTTTCTTACGCGGCTGCCCCAGATGCCCCCGCACCGCTTCCAGTTCCCCGTACGCGATTCGTTGCACGGATCGGCGCAGAGAACGCGCCTAGCATCGCCCTATTCGAGAAGTTAGGGTTTGTCGTGACGAAGCGTGTGGAGGTGTTTGGAGAAGTGGAGATGCGCTGGAAGGAAGGCAGGGGAGAGGGAGAGTGGAGGAAAGGCGAGAGAGTAGAGCTGAGGGATGTGGAAGGAAGCGTACAGGATTGAATGCGCAGGGAGTTGAATCAGTATCAAGCATGAGGCTTTCCAGGGTTGAAAATGTTGCGATATGTTGGCCTTACGACGTGGAAAGCATATCACACACGACTTCCTACCTTCCCGGAACGTAATAAAGAACAAGGGGGTGTCAAAAGCCCGCCTCTACTGAGTGAAGCTACAGTGATTATGTCGTGAAGGGAAATGTGTGATGCGTTTGTTCCGCTCCCTAATTTCATCTGCGTCATGCACGGGGAAGAGCTAGGGATGCAACATCTTTCATGCGATCGTAGCCGCGTCCGATTGTTTATGATAATGTATGAAGATAACATGCGAACATGATAGCGAACATATACATTACGAATTGAACGTCTCCGTCTCTTGTGTGACCGTGATACGCAGGGGGTCGAATGGAGGGACAGGAGGCAGAGCCGCTGTATGTTTTGTTGTGCTGATGGCATGCCTGTGGATGCATTCGAGTTTGTCCGACGCTACATTGAAGAAAGAATACATACATCTCAAGGGACATCTGATGGCCAGAGATGCTGCATATGCTCTTCATGCAGTCACTTATGCCGTCTCGGAACCAGGTGGGCGGCTCAAGACGACAGCACCGCGTAGCACAAAACTCTAGCGGTTTCACGACCTCAAGCGTGAATAGCTCCCGCGCAGAGGGAATGTATGCGATGTCCACACACATCTTGAAAAGCATGTGCGTGTCGTACCAGATGCTCGCTTCCGCGATCTCTTGTCCTATCTCTGGCGAAGTTAAGTGCTTCGCCAAGAGCGCAAGTCCCCGTCGGATATCTTCGTGGACTCGAGGTAATTGAACAAGGGGGAGTTTCGCAGAATGCTGCAATGCAGAGAAAGCGAGTCGGATAAGTTGTGCGACGCTGCCCTTGCCGTCGGGGGGAGATAGCAGAGCAAATATCGCGCGGATGTCTAAATGCGTCATTGTTAGCGAAATAAGGGCGGCGGTTCACTTGTGCACTTACCGTCAGTGCCGATGGAATACTTGAAACCAAATTGCCAAATGATCCTCACAATTTGATTCTGCACTTCTGGTGGATGACGAGCGATATGCAAAAGCCCTACAAGCCTGACATAGACTGCATTTGCTGGCCCTATACAGCAACCAAAGTGCAAATCGAGAAGGTTCTGTAGCAGAGCCAGAATGCGCATTTGATGCGCTATGCGGTCATGTTCGTCATCGAATATCGCGGGTGTGATTTTGTGAAGGATATCGAGGAACATTTGCGCCATCGCGATGATTGCTTGATGGTCCTGTCTATTCGAGGACCACCTGATGTTCTGCACCAACGTTCTTGTCTCATGCGAGGCGAATGACACTGCTGCAATATCCAAGCCTCCGCGCAGTTCGTCTGCGATCTGATTGAGGCTCACACCGCCAGTAGCAAGTCTAACAGATTGTCGCAACGCAGCAGACGTGATCTGGAGGAACGCTTTCTGAGTCAGATTACAACGCGCATGCTGTAAGCACCCAAGCAGAGATCGAGTGTCTGCCAATGTGGTGAGCAACGTTCGATCGGACAGGGGTCAAGCTGGAGCGTACTCTGTATCCCAGACAGAATATCCCCGTCGTATTGGGAGATAAGCTCTGCAATGCGATCACGGACTACGTGAGAAACGCCTGCGGCGGGAAGCAGACGGATCAGTCTGCCATAAACTGCAGGGTCCGGGAACATGGTAGCGTTGAGAAGGCTTTCCATATGTCCGAGAATGCGCCTTTGATGCCTTTCTCGGTGGTCATCGTTAGGCATGGTCTCTGTGATGAGCCTGGAGAAGATGTCCGTCGAAAGACATCCCATGCCAGCAAGCGTTTGGCTATATTGTACCGCAACAAAGGAATTGGTGTCCGGTAGATCCGTGAGGTAAAAACGCTGAATATGGTGCTTGCAAATGCAGTAATAGAGCGCCAATGCGGCATCTATGCTGATGTCAGGTTGCCGCAAACAGGGATGAACAATCTGCATCAAGAACGAATCTGGAACCGGCTGTCAGAGACCCTCAAATGATCATGTCAAGGACAGCACTCACCAGAGATGCAGCTGCACAGTTCGCATCGATTCTCCAGCGTTGCTGGAGAATGAAGGCCGAACTTATGAAAACATTCTAGTGCATGTCGGCGAAATTCCAGAACGTTGGGTGTGTTGACTGGAGTCGCGCAAATTAAAGACGACAAGTGTTTTGTCAGCTGAGAGACCTGGGGATGTCTCTGCGGGGCACCTAGAGTGCAGTATCTGCTCAGCATATCGATACAAATCATTCCGAGAGCCACATTCGCCGAGGTATTGTGCTCGCTCGAGGACCAAGTAAGGGTTGGTGAGTCTGCTGATTCGTCCACGTCCTGTGCTCTATTGCGAAGAATGCGATAGAATACTCGAAGCGCGGCATCTGGTTGACTCTGTCGAAGACAAAGACGCACCACGGATTCCAGGAATGCGTCGTCCATCAGTGTGCTATCAGCGCACTCAATCATTTGCAGAGCATCGTCGGGACCGTCGCGACGGAGCCGCATAGACATGTTGTCAATATCTTTGAGATCTGATGTTCACCATTTCGATTGTCGGATGTATAGGTTCAGCTGCCAACGGCACGTCGTCCATCACAATGCCTTTGCAGGCACTATATAGTTGCACTATCCTCTTTGATGTGTAAATTTCATATTTTTGAAGATGAGTACTGTTGGCATACCTAGGCGGGAAGTACGAATGACGATACTACGTGCGGTGAGTAGAGCTATAGATTTCCTGCCTGACAGAAGGAGGGTCACTGAGAATGTCCCGTACGTTGCGTACTTTTTCAAAACACATTTACCTAGTAACCAGCGATATGAGCAGGACACGACAAGGATTCAGGATAGCAAAAGGATATTATGAGTGCGGACGAGCTCCAATAAATTGTTTCTCGGCCTGACGGCCTGGACAGCCTCTACCCTGAAAAAACCCGCATAGTCATTTGCGCTGTTAGTGGGCGACCGAGGGCCTCGGGCATGTGCCGGCGGAGCACTGCCACCGCTCGACAATCACGATGACGTCTTAGCGTTGGCGCCTCGCCGGTGATAGCGGTTTCATACCGTAGGAAAGAAACGTATGCGAGGTGGGCCGAATGCGTCTTGATTCGATATGCATAGCGCACCTGCACCATCGGGTCTTCAACCGTTAGCTGTCAAGATGAGCAAATAAATGCTGATGGCTTGTCATCGTGTCAGCCCCAGATGAGACTTCCGGGAGGACGGGTCACGCTATATCATGTCGCTGCGCATGGACACTGCCCCGAATCCAGCAGCTACTCAGCTATGTGGTGTCGCCCATGGTTGGACGGGACGTCGCTAGATGCATAACAGAAAGTAGGTCATCTATTGCGAATTCAAACAACCGAGCGTACCAGGGACCCGGAAGAGGCCTAGAGCCCAGAAGTCCAGAAACGAGGCGATCTGGTGCATGTGTAGTTGCTGAGCGTGGGAATATTTAAATTGTAACGCAGCCTTGTACAAGAGCAAACTTGCGGATATGCTCGAGGAAACGTGCCTTTTGATATTAAAATACCAGTGGTAAGGTGATCGTAGACTATGGACGCACTGCTGGCGGTCTGTCATGCAGGAACAATGTATACACCGCGAGCAAAAAAGACACACCAATAATAGACGCATCATACGATAGAGAAAGTCCGCCATGGGAACACGACTGAAACGTCAGAAGATCACCTCTGGCTGCAGATAAATCGGTTTCAGGAGTGAGCGACGCGAAGACGTCGTAATCCTTCTGCGAATGTTGCGCCCCTCATGTGCATTACCCAGTCATATATGCTATGGGATCGGACAAAAGGGTTATGGTTATAATGAGGATCTCTTCGTCTGGCATAGACGAATCCTGCGACGTGACTGCTATGTGAAGGATGGCAGAGGTCGTTCAGTCGTGGCGGCGATATTCCATAACATCTTCTCGTCCAGATCGCTCGGGTGCGCACACGTTGAAGGCACCAGATCCATGCATCCTGTCCTGTGTAGTGGATGGTGGCCATACGCGGCTCTATACAACAAACCGCCGTCGAACCAGAAAGCCGTCAGAATAGGAATCCTGCCTTTCGCACCAGCAGAGAGAGAGATAACGGACCCAGAGGATGTCGCCTGCGAGGATCCGGTGAACACGGTACTTCTAATGTCACCAGTGCGAATGCTGAACGCGAGAATGTTTGTCACTCCAGATACCATAAACGGCAGCGGCGATGAACCGGCTATAGAAGCTCCTGTGCTCGCCCGTGAGCGCAGGCCAAGAACGCTCTGAAGTCGATGTCGCCAGATATGTCGCCAGTGACGTTGTGTATGTGGTCAGACTTGTGCGATTATGGTAGCTCGAATCTCGGGATCACTCTTGCTTCGGTGCTTATGCACTGCTTGATTTTCGGCACTGGCCGTCATAAACCGGGTTGTTCGTTGAAAGGGGAACGAATGCAAATTGCGGTGTAAGGCATAAGCAATAGGTCAGAACGCACGGAAAGCAGCGCAGCAGCGAGGTTTCGAACATCGGGATCGTCGCGCATCTGTACACAATGAAGGCATCATCAAGCGAAACGCACTGCTCAAGTAGGGCATACCTGATATCGTCGCTGTGCCTTGGTAGAACAAGTACATCCTGTGTGGATTAATTAGCGATGTGGCTGAAGTTCCGTTTCAGCGCTTGTACTCCATCTGTTCGTCAGAATTCATGAAGTCGAACAAAAATAGATATGGAAAATATCAAAACCAAATGTTTTGTCATTATGATGGCGAGCACTGAAGAGAGTCATGACGAGGACGCCGCCCATGAATACGCGGCATATTAGACCCTGTCACACGGGGCCAAATCTATCGCTCGAATGATGTATGGCGAATGCAAGTCTCCCCCATTCCTCACAGCGGGCTTCGTTGCTCTCGCATAACACATGGATGCTCGATGCATGTCGTCGGCCTTACATAACCGGGCGACATGATTTAGAGATTAGCTTTCGAGTCTCCGACACCTCAGCGTGTTTCAGTTTCTGCAGAGAGGTCTATCGTGACTGCTTGCTGGTATGCTGCTAAGGTCATTGTTCGATTGCAAAGGGAGCTGACAGCTGATAACGTCGAGACGCAGGAAGGCTGCCGCACTCGCATGCCGTCCCAGTGTAGTGCACCAGGGAATGCTGTCGGAAATAGGTCGCGATATTTCCAGTGTAGAGACGAGAGTTGTGTTAAAAGTCGAGCATAACATTGTGTACTGGAAAATTGTTCCAAGTCGGGCGCTTAGTTGTGTTCACCTCCTGGTTTGGGTCGCGTGCTGTCTACTGCTGTGCTCACCGCCTGTGCTATTTGTCCCAGTTCTCAGTCATTCGCCGCGCTGCAGGACATCACAGCGAGAGCTACAGCAGCAAGCTGCGAGGCGTGCCTGGTTGGCGGCACCACGACCATCGAGCTCGGAGCCCATGAAGCGTGTGACCTGCTACTGGCATGCGTACAATCAAGGTGGTAGTCATTGGAGCCTCAGGTGTAGGAAAGACTAGTCTCCGGAGTCAGGTACGTCTCCTAGTGCCTCTTCGCGACCGTACGCCCAGACAGCCATATGTAGTATGTTTCAGGCCGTTTCACTACGGGCTACCGAGCCACCATCGGCGCAGATTTCATAACCAAATCGTTGCCTCACCATAGCGCACTCGACGAGACCATAACACTGCAAATATGGGTGCGTCTCTGCGTGCCCTCTCCGCCACGTCAGCTTGCTTGACCTTGTTTTGTTACATAGGACACGGCAGGGCAGGAACGGTTCTCCAGCCTCTCTTCTGCGTTCTTCCGCGGTGCGGACGCAGCCATCCTCATGTTCGACGTCAACCAGCCGGATACACTCCAGGCACTCCAGAGATGGTGGTCCGATTTCCGCGAGAAGGCTCCAGTCCCCGACGACGAGCTCGAGGATTTTTGCTGCGTCGTCGTCGGCAATAAGATTGACGTCCCGGAGACGCAAGGCTCCAGAGTGTCCGAGAGCGGCGCCCTGAACCTCATTGACGAGCTCGTCCCACCGTCCAGCCCGCCGCCCCCCATCATCGACATCCAGACCATCCCAGAGAATGCCGTCAGCGAGAACACGAACGGCCACTCGCCGCCCGCATCCAAGTCCATCGACATCCACGCCCGCCGCCGGCGCAGCGTCTCCAAATCGCGCTCGCGCAGCCGCTCGACGCTCTTCCGCGGCGGCACCCTCGGCACCATGACCACCACGCACTCGATCTACCACACGCCGTCCTCCTCGCTCTTCGACACGTTCGAGTCCGCGCTCTCGTCGCCCGCGCGCACCGCCGCCGCCTCCGCCGCGACCTCCGCCGCCTCGTCGCCTTCCTACTCGCCCCCGCACGGCCCGCGCCGCCAGGCGTCCGCGTCCTCGCTCTCGAGCGTGCCCACGATCACGCCGAGCCTCTTCCTGCGCGACCGCGCGACGACCGCGTCGACGACGCCCGGCTCCGCGTCGGACTCGTTCCACCTCCCGCCGCCGGCCGACCGCCGGCCGAAGCTGTTCTTCGCGTCCGCGAAGACGGGCGAGCACGTCGCGGAGGTGTTTGAGTACGTCGCGCGCCGCGTGGTCATGCGCTGGGAGTACGAGGAGGCGCTGGATGCGCGCACGCTGCACATGCAGGAGGCAGACGACACCATTCACCTCACCCACGCGCACCCAGATCGGACGCGGACCATTGCATCGTGTTGTGGGTCATGACGCCAGAACCCTAGCGCCGTTCCTTGCTGCATCTTCTATCATTATGTGTATATCGGACGCTCATTTCCGCCTCGCTTCGTCTCATGTATGAATCTCATGGAGCATATCACTGTGTCATTGGGTACTTGATTGCAAATCTACAGAAGCTGAATATCACGTTCGCGTCTCGAGGGTATCTTGGTTGATTGAATTGCAGCGTACAAGCAGTGTACAGCCTTCTCCTTCCTGCACAATATACATCAGTGCGCCCACGCGCCAGGCAATACAAGAACCGTAATGAAGAATGAAATGCTATAACTAACTACAAGCCGAGGTGCGCAAACGAAACCGCCGGAGGGAATGACAAAATATGGCAGACATATCATACGACGCATGCAGGGCATATAGAAACAACACATACGCATGCACATCAACAGCTCGTGGAACGACCTACAGGGCGACGCCTCATGATGGGTCGTCATCGATATCGTCGGCGGGCACGCCTCGCACGCCGCCGCTCTGCGTCCGCCCACCGTCTCGCGCCTTCGCGGTTCGCATCTGTGGTATGCGCTTGCCGTTGGGCCTGCTCGTGTCCTCCTGTGTGACGTCTTCCCCTGAGCTCGTCGCCGGGAACGGATACTGCAGCGGTGCTGCCGGCGCCGGCGCCGGCGACGCGGCCTTTGCCTTCTTCGATTTCCGCCGCTTCTTCCCGCTCCCAGTCGTGCTTGTGCTGACCGTCGAGCTGGTGGACGTCGACACCGCTATCTGCGGTGCGTGCAATTGTTGTGGCTGCGACGCTACATCGTGCTCGGGCTCATCCTCCGGTGGCGTGGAGGGCGGATATGGCGCCGGGTCCATCCATTCTTCGTCTTCTTCATCGTCAAAGTCAATCGAATCTTCTGACACTGTGCTAGGTGTCTTCTGCACGTGCTGCGGGATATCAAGCGATGACTTGCCCGCGCCGGGGGTCAGCGGGTCGATCGGGTCGTCCTCCGTGTCTGCTTCTGACTTGGACGCCGCGGTGCCCTGCAGGCTCGCGTCTGGTGACGCAGACTGCGAACGTGGGTCGTCAAGAAGTCCGTCGTCATCCTCGGGCATGTCGATGTCTGGTTCTGAAATCGACTCGAGGCCGATATTGTCCTCCGGATCAGATGGCCAGATGGGCGGCTCGTCGTGTATCGAAAAGATCTGCTTGTGTGTTCGGAACAGCTGCCCATTCTGTCAGGATCGCCTGCTCGTGTCCACTGGGATACACATCACGCACCTCAGTGATCCGCCTGCGGAAATCAATCCAGTCGCTCTCGTCCTTGCACAGGAACCCGATCAACATGCTCGGGTCCAGCCCCGACAGCGGCATCTTCCTGACGCGGTCGCAGTGGAAGGTCCTCAGCTCAGCCGATGAGTACGCTGCCACATAGTGGCGCTGCACGGGGTCAAGGTCCGCGCCTCCCCCAAGCTCTGGACCAGCGCCCAGGCCAAAGGAGTCCGCATCCGAGCCGTCGGGCAGCGCGCTGGAGCTCCGCCAGCGGGCGTGTGACTGCGACGAGCTGCTCGTGGGCGACGTCGACGAGTTGGCGCTCGAGCTGGACAGCTGTTGCTGCAGCGGCGAGGGTGTAGGTGGCGAACGGTGAGCAAAAGGGGAACCGCTCGATGCGCGCAAGGTGGGAGATGTGGGCGAGCGGAAGTGGTGCGACTTGCGTGACGCGCGGTCTCGATCAGACAAGGACGGGTCGGGAGACGTCTGGCGCTCAGGCTCTTCGTGGTAGCTGCTTGGGGCGGGGCTCTCACCCACATGAGGGGGCGGCCGTAGCGAAACGGCAGGGCGAGCATGGTGAGGGTCGAGATAGAAGAGGTTGTCTGCTTGAGAGCCCACAAAGTAGTATGAAGACGAGGGGCGGCCGCCTGCGATTCCAACGGACTGAGGGAAGGTATATAACGCCTGCAGAGACGTCAGATGCTACGTTAGCAAGAACAGCATGCCGCGCACCTTGATTGTGTCATAATATATCGGATTCACACCGTCGAGACCCAAACGAATGCCAATGAGGACGAGTACAGCTCGGTCTCCCCACGATGAGCGCGCGCTTCGTCTTGGAGAGCCCATTGTGGAGCGCGAGACGGCATACACGTCCGACTCGTATACCACACCATCTACCGCAACGCTCACGCCCATACCGGCCTCCGGGAACGCATGCACAAGCGTCCTGTAGCCACGTCAGCCAACAATTGAAGAGCGGTGTCGACCACTTACTTGATTGCACCCGCCGCCGTACTGGGCCCGAACCACTGTCCGACATCTTTCCCGAGCTCCTTCCCAACGAGCGCCATCCGGTGCACACTGAACGGCGACAGTGGCGACGGGGTGTCAAGGAACCATGTAATAATCTGGACATATGTCGCATAGTCTGCCGTGTAAATGGGATATGGTGGACGCCTCCAGTCTGTGATATGCCCGTTAGCTGAACGGTGCCCACGGGTGCACGGGGGAAAGACACAGATACGACCACTGTAGAGAGAGACGCACCTCGTGACAAATGCAGATGAAGCAGCGCGTTCGCAAGCAGCGATTGGCCCGTGCGCAGCATGCACCCCCAGCCCGTATCGCTCGTCCACCCCTTTTCGCCCCCCAATGCCCAATTCCATCGTTTCGGCTGCGGGCTCCCCGCAGTAGGCATCGTGCTCTCCTCGAGATCAGATTCGAGCACCGACAGGCTTGTGTCGCGGATGGGCGTGAACTGCGAGCGATACGTGAGCCAGATGCGCGAGGTAAAGTCGGAGTAGAACACGGGCGGCCAGTTGCGCGAGGGATCCTTGGCGTTGGGCGATGTCGGAGATGGCTGCGATTGCATGAGAAGCGGGTTGCTGTCGGTGATGGGAGACGAGGATGCAGATGAGTTGACGGAGGACGACGCTCTGCGCGACTCGATGGAACCGCGGCGAGTCATGCCGCCGCCGCTGGCGCTGAGAGCGTTGGCAGATGCAGTGGGCGGCGGGGGCGGCTCGTAGCCCGGATGCTCGACGCCGAGCAGCCAGATGGAGTCTGTGCATTTATCGGGTGTCGCATCGCTGTCGAGGAGATAGCGCATCGCCTTGTCGAGATGGCCTTTGCCGTGGCGGGCAGCCGTGAGAAGCGCAGAGCTCTTTGCGCGAGGGGAGACTGCGTTGGCGGCGAACTGCTGGTGAGAGAGGAGAGAGGGCAGAGAGAGATCGGTGGAGGACGAGGAGAAGGTGTGCGAGAGCCAGCCGGAAAGGCGCGTGGGGAGATCCGACAAGCGAGAGGTGGACGAGCTGGAGGTATACAGGCTGGCGGCGTTGTCTGAGAGGGGGCGGTCGCCGCGGGAGCGAATGCGAGGGATGTTGACGGGTTCAACGATGACGGGCGGCTCGTCGGGCGCAGCGTCGTCGGGGTCAGCGCCGGGAGCCTCGACGTCTTGCGACTGGCGGCGCTTGTCGAAGCCGAAGCCCTTCTTGAGGCTCCTGCGGCTCTTGGGGGTGTCGGGGAGGGCGTTGGACGAGGAGGACGAGGAGCTCGCGATGCTGCCGGACTCGACGACGGAGCGTGAACGGTCGCGGCCCTGCTTCTGGAGGAATTTGGAGAGCTTATGCGGGTGATGGGGGGTGGGCGACGACGATGCCGGGGACGGATGTTGCTGGGACATCGTCGTGCTGGTGGTGGTCGTCGACGCCGGCGTCGGTGAGGAGATGGAAGGGGTGGAAAGAGGTCGCAGCCACTCCTAACACGGCTAACCCTGCGGCGGCGGCCCTGCCTCCGAACCTATTCTCAGCAGCCCCCCCTCGGCCTTTCTTTCTAACCTCGTGTGCTCTCCATTCCTATCGCCTTTTGACATAACCGCGGCGGCAGTCTAAACACCCTGCGCGCTGACCTTGCAACACAGCTTCCGGCTCTGCGCAGTCGCCATTGGGCTGGCTGGATATCCAACCCCTCCCACTCATGTCCTCGGCAGCGTGAGACCCCCCTAGACATCCAACTTTCACATACGACAATCGGGAACACTCTCAGATGATGCTGCAGACGCACACGCGTGGCGCCGTCCAAGGTCTGTCCCTTCGCTGCCATCTTCAGCCGTGTGGGCGACCCTCTGGTGCCCGCACACACAAACACGGTCTCACATTCTGCCTGCGACGTGCGCTGGCGATTGGCCTGGCTGATGCGTGATGGGGGACGCTTCTCCCGGTGGTTAGCAGGCTCTGACCCTGCCCGCACGATCGTCTCGCCCGTGGAAGCCCATCCACGCGACCTCGCATGCCGTCACATTCCCAATGCTGGCGTCGTACATTCCCATCCTTCTGCTCCTCGGTGCGCGAGCAGTCCCAGGCCGGCTTGCGGCATTTGCGCGCGCTAACGCCATGTATCGTTGAGATTTCCGGAACTTTGACCGATCGCGTTCAGCAAGGCAGGATGATCATTCGCGCCGAACAGATTATCGTGATCGAAACATCCAGGCTTGCTGCAGTCAGGGACATGCAGTGGCAATGTTCTGTCATGTCTGAGATGGCGAGGAAAGTCATTCACCATGGTATATACACGCGTCGACCTATTTGGTAGAAACGAGAGTAGCTGCTCAATAGTGACGGGTTAGGGTTATTGAAAGGGCAGGAGATTTGCCAAATTAAGTAATTGATAGCGAGATGATATCGATCTGCGGCTGACGTCTGCGACGCGGAGTCCAATCACCACTTCATTCACGTATATCTGTAGCTGAAGCAGCCACGTTACTATGTAGTGCGACTTTTATACCGCTGTCACATCACTCTGCGATGATTCGCTTGTTCCGAAAAACAAACCTCGATAATCGTCTACTCTCTGGACGACTGAGTAAGCATGGGCGTCAGCGCACTCATGGCACCACCGTCCAAACACACAGAGGGTTTGCCCAACATAAAGATGATGGATACAAATACATATCTGGCTGTAAGTTCACGTTCCCCGAAGCACACCCTCGCCCTACGGCGACCACACCTGCGAAAAGTGCGACAGATGCACCTGCACGGCCTTGACGTGTGTGTAGCTGCAGACCCCGTTCAGCGCTATCCCGGCACGCACACAGAGAGAAGCTACGCACTTTGCCAACGCATACTCGCCGAGCTCGCGCCCGATGCCGCTCTGCTTGTACCCGCCAAACGGCACCGCGGGGTGCAGCGAGTTGACGCAGTTGACCCACACCGTGCCCGCCTTGAGCGCGTTCGCGGTGCGCACCGCCTTGTTGATGTCCCGCGTGAACACCGCCGCGGCGAGCCCGTACACCGTGTCGTTCGCCTGCGCGAGGATGTCGTCCTCGTCCCGGAACTTGATCACGACGCCCACCGGCCCGAAGATCTCCTCCTTCACGATCCGCATGTGCGGCTGCACGTCCGTGAAGATCGTCGGCGCGATGAAGTACCCCTCCGAGCCCACCCGCTCGCCCCCGTGGTGCAGCGTCGCGCCCTCCTCCTTCCCGGACTGGATGTACCCCAGTATGCGCTGCCCGCGCCGTCAGAATGCGCGCAGGGAGGGGAGACAGCGGGGCGCCAACGTACCTCGTACTGCACGTGCGAGACTTGCGGGCCCTGGAAGTTGCCCGCCTGGAACGGGTCTCCGACCTTGACGGACCGCGCGCGCTCCGTGAAGCGGTGCAGGAATTCGTCGTAGATCCTCTCGTGCACGAAGATGCGCGAGCCTGCGCAGCACGTCTGCCCGTGGTTGTAGCTGCGGTGCCGGCGTCGGCGCGCGCACACAGGGTAAGAAAAAAGACGGGGAGACGCACTAGATACCGAACGCCGCCCACTCGATGGCGGCATCGAGATCACAGTCGTCGTAGATGATGTTCGGGCTCTTGCCGCCCAGCTCGAGCGTGACGTTCTTCAGGTTCGACTTGGCTGCGGCCTCCATGATCTTGCGGCCGACGAGCGTGCTACCCGTGAACGCCACCTGCGCGCACGGGACAGTGAGAACGCCCCTGTGGGAGGCGGACTGGGCGCACCTTTTCGATGTCCATGTGCTCCGCGATGCCCTGGCCGACGACGCTCCCGTAGCCGTTGAGGATGTTGACGACACCGGGCGGGAAGCCGGCCTCGTGGATGAGCTTGGCGATGAAGAGCGCGGACAGGGGCGTAAATTCGGACGGCTTGAGTACGACCGAGTTGCCCGTGGCGAGAGCGGGGCCGAGCTTCCAGGCGAGCATGAGGACTGCAGGGAGAGTTTCAGAGAGCGCGCGCGCGCGCGCACGACATGTCGCAGGGCCACTCACGAGGGAAGTTCCAAGGGATGATCTGGCCGACGACACCTATGGGCTCGTGACGGGTGTAGACGAGCTTGTCGTCGTTCGTCTCGATGGTCTTGCCCTGGTTCTTGTCGGCCCAGCCTGCGTAGTAGCGGAAGCAGTTGATGACGGCGGTGACATCGTCCTTTGCCCAGTAGAAGGTCTTGCCGTTGTCGAGGGCTTCGACGGCGGAGACGGCGTCAATGTGGGTCTCGATGAGGTTGGCGAGCTTGTTGAGGAGGACGCCGCGGTCGCGGCCGGGCATGTGGAGACCCCAGACGGTGTCAAAAGACTTTTGGGCTGCGCGGACGGCGGTGTTGAGGTCGTCGAGGGTGCCCTCGGCGATCTTGGTGATCAGCTTGCCGGTGGACGGGTTGATGACACTGGGAGGGGGTCAGCGGAGGGCTTGGACGGGGCGCGGAGGACGCACTCGATTGTCTTGCCCGAGGAGCCATCGACAAAGTTGCCGTCGATAAAGAGGCCGGTGGAAAACTCGGCGGTGCCCTTGTAAACTTGGGTGTCGAAGGAGTAGGACCAGGTGGACGGCATGATGATCGCTGGCGGGACGAGGGGTGGGGTGCGCGGGTGGGCGTGTTTTTATAGGAAAAACAAAGTGGAGGCCGGGACTCCATATTCCGTGAGTCGATGAAGGAATCAGAAGACCATGGGAGGGATGCAAGTGGGATTGCTAACGCTGTCAAGGCGCCGCCGTCAGAGGGTCCGGACGAGCCCGTGCACGGTCAGCTGGCTCACGGCTCCTTACTCCCACTGCTCTAACTTTGCCCGGATGCATGATGACGCGAATACTCGCCTTCGCAAACCATCGCAGCTGCTCTATTCGGGACTGCCAACCGATAACGCAGCAGCAGCAGTTCTCCTCATGCCGGCGCCTATTCCAGCCCGTCGATGGTAGTTTGTGGGCGCATCGAGGCGAGTGGTGTGCGACGAACGGACAGGCGAGCTCGGTCTAGGAGTGCGGGGCCCCGCTGCGGGGTTAGAGGCGTCGACGACGGTCGCGGCGCGAGCGCGGGCCCCGTCTCGGCGCGTACCACACGTGCGCCCAATCGTCCTCCTGATGCTCCCCAAGAGCTGCATGGAGTCAAGTGCGTTCCATAGAGGGTAGCCCAGACCGCGCCAGCCTTGCGCAAGATTCGTCATGTCCATTGGAGGAGACCCTGAGTGACTAAAGGGAGACCAGTCAAGCGGACCGCCATTGCACGGCATTGAGGGCATCAGCAACGACAAAGCGTCGGGATGCGCGCGACATGGGGCATGGTTCGTCATGCGGCGACTGCCGTTAGCGATGCGATCGATCGAGTGCGACCACTTGCTGTCCATCGCTCCTTCGTGTTACAAAGTCCCCATGCTTCTTTCATTCTTCATCACCCACTATCATCCCTAAAGCACCCGCCGCCTCAAGCGCGCACCACTCCGTCCGACCTGCTTCCCCGTCCTCGATGGCCTCGCGGCGACAAAACGTCTCCGTGCGAGGCCGCCGCGCTCACTACTCAACACGACCAACCCAGTCGCGCTCTACTCTGCACGTGGTCTCTACTTGCGACGGCTCCTCTCCGCTTGCGTTCCTGTGTATCGGTTCTTTGTATTCTAGACACCTTCCTCTCATCCGCATGTGAGCTCTTCTTTCTTGGTGGCTGCTTTCACTCTCATCAGACGTAGATATGGATGATTGGACGACACGTTCCTACCCATGGCTCTTCAGCGTAATATCACTCAGCGGGCGACACTGTGCTCGGCCATCAACCCTGAGCGTGCGGCCTGCCGTGATAGGGACTACTCGCTATGTATGGCCGGGGGGACTCGCTGAGTTGATACTGATGTCCCTCTCGCGACTGCTCGTGTGCGATGACTGTTATCCGCTAGGTGTCCAGTTTCCTGGTTGATCCTGGTCATGCTAGCGAGTGCCTGTCACGTCCTCATCATCTGTTCTGCGCTGGAGCGACCGGCGAACCTAAACGCACATCGACATCATGAGTGCGTCCTCATTGCTCGCCATCTGATGGGCCATCGCGGTAAGCCTCAACCCTCTGTCACGAAGGTCCGCTCACCCTGTTTGGTCATGGTGCGCATTCCTGCGTGCTGTCGCTTAGACGAGGGGCTGCGCCGCCTCCTACACCCGCACCGTCCGCGAGCGCAACGTCACTTTCCGCGCGCCGGGATATGCACGTCACAGAACACCAGCACCACAAGCGGCGCCAGCGCTTTGCGAACATCACGGCGATTGCGGCGTCGATACGGTATCAAGCATCACGCCGGAGCGCATGCTTGCAGCGGCTGTGAGCCAGTTGCGGGAATGCAGGCGCTGTTCCCGACATCCTATAGTTAGGTACACATGGGTTCGACCCTTACGGCCGCACTGCAGCCCGATACATGTTCTTCTATACAGCCGTTCAATACATGAATCATTGATCGCTTCTTCCGTGATCCTCATGCCTGACACGTTGACAATAGTGATGGCAATACACGTCATCGTCGCACTCTGCCAGCGCTCCGATATGTCCAGTTGCACTTCCATTGGTTCATGGGATGTGTCAATATGATGCAGGCAAAGTGTAATTTAAGAATCAGTCGGAGGTGAAGTAAGTGCTCGGCTTACATTTTCTGACGGAGTATATGGTACGCCGCTTTTGCTACAACAGGATCTGCTGACAGGTGCGCTGCGTGACTATCATATATGCTGGCGGAACACTCGCTGCCCTTAGTGTGACTGCTCTCGATTCACTGGCTCCGGTGTCCTGAAGATCTCGACAACCGCGAAACTCGTCCATCTGGTGCCTACGAGAACTTGTATGGACTCTATACAGCCCGCACATCACCCACGTTATTCGACGTTTAGCCGTTCAGAAGAGTGGACTTGTGATAGAATTCGTACTCTATCTGTTTCCCACCGGTGACTTACCAGCAGCACGACTAGTCGCAGCAAAGCAGTATGCGACGCCCTGCAATCTTGCATCGCTGGAACAAGGGATGTTGGACGCGTCGGCAAGTGCGTATTCTTTCGCAGACCTCGTGTTGTTCATGGCACTTACGCGGAGTTTTTGCCAACGCCCATCCGCGGTCTTCCCCAATGGGATTAAATGCAACGTGAGGTTGCCGCCTCTGCTACTTGTCATACCACTGCTTATTGTTTCTGCGTCGTGCATCCCCCGTTCGAAGTGGCCGTACCCACCACTTCGTGTCCTCGAGGCTGCCCGAGCTTCAGGAGATGTTCCAGACAGTGTTCCAACTTAGCAAGCGAGCATCGTGACATGATTTATACATGTAAGTGATCCAGGGTTGCAGTGAAATAGGTTCTTAGGGCACAGGTGAGTGAACCGTGGAATTGCCTCTCGAATGGACACATGGCTAACCCTTCATTTGTACAACTGCTTCGCAAGCAGTCTGCCAAACCATTGTCCATCGCCTGAACTTGTTTCAGCTTCAATGCCACTGTATAAAACTGTCCACTATGGTCAAGCTCATCGCTTCCACCCCGTGAATGAGGATCGTGCACACGCGATTCTGATTGTGCATCCACCACCTTGTAGCTCACAATTACTGATACTCATCGCACGGAAGGTTCATTCCTACATCCAATACTGGCGCAACTGCGGTATTCCTATGCTTCTCATTATGTTTGAGGTATGTCAGCTGTCTCTTCTTAGGTTAATGGGACTGGGTAGGGAAGACTAGGTAGGGGATTCCACTAGGGAAAACCCTAGGGAAGGCCGTAGGAAAGGCCATAGGGAAGGCCGTAGGAAAGGCCGTAGAAAAGGTGTAGGAAAGGCTGTAGGAGAAATCATAAGAAAGGCTGTAGGAAAGGTGTAGGAAAGGCCGTAGGAAAGGCCGCAGGGAAAGCCCTAGGGAGAGTGTACAAAGAGCGAGTGTAGGGAAGACACAGAAAGAGGTGCAAGAAAGAGGGCAAGAAAAGGCCTAGAGGCCGCGCATGTACGTCCTGGACGCATAATGCCAGACTATGGATGGAAAGAGTTGGAGGCGGCTTTCTAACAAGTGTCGTTCATGAGGGCATGCTTCCCGGACGCACACATTCTGCACTGACCACTACTCTCAACTTACATGAGCCTTGCCCATGAGGTTGTGCTTCCTGGATGCACACATTCTGGACTGGCCACAATTGTTGACTTACCTGAGCCTTGCTCATGGGGGTGTGCTTCCTGGACGCACGCATTCTGCACCGGCCACAACTTTTGACTTACATGAGCCTTGCTCATGGGGGTGTGCTTCCCGGACGCACACATGGTGCACTGACCATGGGGGCACATATAGATGTACTCTCACAAGGAATGGGCCAACGCTGTACCTGTGAGTCACACTGGAGCATGGATAGTACAGTACAATACATAGCTGTTTAATAGTTTTACACCATGGCACTAAAGTCCGAAGTGGGTACACAGAAGTAGAACAAATT